GGGAAAATCTTTCAGCCCAAAATGCGAAATTTTTAAGGTATTAGGCTTTGTTTTTGATGGGAAAATCTTTCAGCCCAAAATGCGAATTTCTTAAGGTATTAGGCTTCGTTTTTGATGGGAAAATCTTTCAGCCCAAAATGCGAATTTCTTAAGGTATTTGGCTTTGTTTTTGATGGGAAAATCTTTCAGCTCAAAATGCGAATTTTGTAAGGTATTAGGCTTTGTTTTTGATGGGAAAACTTTTCAGCCCAAAATGCGAAATTTTTAAGGTATTAGGCTTTGTTTTTGATGGGAAAATCTTTCAGCCCAAAATGCGAATTTCCTAAGGTATTAGGCTTTGTTTTTGATGGGAAAATCTTTCAGCCCAAAATGCGAATTTCTTAAGGTATTTGGCTTTGTTTTTGATGGGAAAATCTTTCAGCTCAAAATGCGAATTTTGTAAGGTATTAGGCTTTGTTTTTGATGGGAAAACTTTTCAGCCCAAAATGCGAAATTTTTAAGGTAGGCTTTGTTTTTTTGGGAGCCCAAAATGCCTTTTTTAAGGTATTAGGCTTTGTTTTAAAGGGAAAATCTTTCAGCCCAAAATGCAATTTTTTAAGGTATTAGGCTTTGATTTTGACGTGAAAACTTTTCAGCCAAAAAGGCAAATTTTTAAGGTATTAGGCTTTGTTTTTGATGGGAAAATCTTTCAGCTCAAAATGCGAATTTTTAAGGTATTAGGCTTCGTTTTTGATGGGAAAATCTTTCAGCCCAAAATGCGAATTTTTTAAGGTATTAGGCTTTATTTTTGATGGGAAAATCTTTCAGCTCAAAATGCGAATTTTTAAGGTATTAGGCTTTGTTTTTGATGGGAAAATCTTTCAGCCCAAAATGCGAACTTTTTAAGGTATTAGGCTTCATTTTTGATGGGAAAATCTTTTAGCCCAAAATGCGAAATTTTTAAGGTATTAGGCTTTGTTTTTGATGGGAAAATCTTTCAGCCCAAAATGCGAAATTTTTAAGGTATTAGGCTTTGTTTTTGATGAGAAAATCTTTCAGCCCAAAATGCGAAATTTTTAAGGTATTAGGCTTTGTTTTTGATGAGAAAAATTTTCAACCAAAAATGCGAATTTCTTAAGGTATTAGGCTTTGTTTTGGATGGGAAAATTTTTCAGCCCAAAATGCGAATTTCTTAAGGTATTAGGCTTTGTTTTTGATGGGAAAATCTTTCAGCCCAAAATGTGAATTTCTTAAGGTATTAGGCTTTGTTTATGATGGGAAAATCTTTCAGCCCAAACTGCGAATTTTGTAAGGTATTAGGCTTTGATTTTGACGGGAAAATTTTTCAGCCAAAAAGGCGAATTTTTTTAAGGTATTAGGCTTTGTTTCTGATGGGGAAATTTTTATCCAAAAATCCAAATTTCTTAATGTATTAGACTTTGTTTTTGATGGGAAAAATTCTACCCAAAAATCCAAATTTTTTAGGGTATAAGGCTTCGTTTTTGATGAGAATATTTTACCCAAAAATCCAAATTTTTGAAGGTGTTAGGCTTTGTTTTTGATGAGAAAAATTTTCAACCAAAAATGCGAATTTCTTAAGGTATTAGGCTTTGTTTTTGATGGGAAAATCTTTCAGCGAAAAATGCGAATTTCTTAAGGTATTAGGCTTTGTTTTTGATGGGAAAATCTTTCAGCCCAAAATGCGAATTTTTTAAGGTATTAGGCTTTGTTTTTGATGGGAAAATCTTTCAGCCCAAAATGCGAAATTGAAGTCTTTAGTCTAGCAAAAAGTGGTGTCCACAAATCCCGGCAAAAATATTGACGTTTATCGCAATTTTTGTAGGTATGAGGCTAAATTTTTGGCGGGAAGAATTTGCAACCAAATGAATAATAGTTTATAGACGGTTGTCGTACTTTGGCTTCAATCTTTTCTCTACTTTGAAAAATATCTTTTTAAAGGCTTTATGCCAAACGTCGTTGAGATTGAAAGCTGTTGTCTCAGTTGGGAACAAAAAGACAAAATAAGACATCAACTATATAAAGATATTTTTAACAAATAAAGCACCAGAAATTAGGCTTATGTGCTACGAGCTGATTAACTAGGAAGAAGGCTTACTATCATCTATACATTTCTAGGAATTATCATGGTTTCTGGAAAGTACCTTTGTCTTCCAGTTTCCAGCAAGTATGCTTGATATATAAAGTCATTTCGCTTTGCAACCTGCATTGTTAAAAAACGACTGCTAACCCTTCCATGAGAAAGTTGCATGCTGAAATCCAGACAGCAATAAGCTTGCGTTTTGTGCGGATTTCCTGCGTCTGTTGAAAAGCAATCCAAGTTATAACTGATTGGCTGCTGCACTGAAAAGCAAGGAAATCCCACCATGCTTGCAAAAATTCAATGCGCCATCTTTAGAGATTCTCTACAGATTTCAGAGTCTTGGCAACAAGAGGCAGCAGCTCTCGGGTCTTTTTCCTCCAGTTTACAGGCATCTTGGCAACTTTACACCAATTTTCACCATGATGGGGTTCTGCAGTAACGCATCTTTCAAGAACACCGGTCTGGTCAGCCTAAAAACAAATTCAAGAAACAAATCAGCATAGCAACTTTATAATACGCTATTTAACTTTTACAGAAAGGCAGCAATCGTAAAAGCCACCCAGAATAGCCAACTTCACCTAATAACATTTAAAGTGTGGCTGGCTGTCGCTGTCACATTTAAATTTGCTGCAAAATAAGAATTTGCGGCTCGTAGCCACGCCCAATTCCGAAATGGAAACCTTCCATTATGATTATCACCAAACTAAGTCGAGTTACAATGCAACAATCAGACTAAATCAAAGGATAGAGGTCCAGCCCCCCAACCCCCCCCCCCACCTAAAAATGAATTTCTGCCTCGGCGCTGAATAGTCAAAGACTCTTGCCGACGAATTTTATCATTTTCCAGCAAATTTGCTTGTTTTGAGTGGTTTTGCCCCCCCCCACACTCCCCCCCCACACACTCACCCCCTGATACTGAATTTCCGCCTCTGCGCTAAATAGCCACTCCAAATTCAGAAAAATATATGATAATTCAGAAAAGATTATACGATAATTCTTTAAGAAGAAAAAGTGGAAACGAACCTCTGTTCCATACTGGACCTCGAATTTATAAAAATAGGCCCAAGAATCGCCGAAGTCTGGGTCAATTTTAACCGTCCTGTTTAGCCAGTCTCTTGTTTTATTGATTTTTCGCTCGCTCCAAAAAAGCCTATAATGGAATAAGCGATCGTTATTCATAACACAAACAGCGAAAAACATGACAGAAAGGAAGCAAACGTTATCAGCAACTTGCAAGAAAATAGCGCAAGTTGGAAAATTGGTAATTAAGCCATGAAGGTACAAATAAATTACGTTTTCATATAGAAAATAACAGCAACGGGAAAAAGTTGTGTTAAACATTCGTTAACAAATGAAATAGCTGACTAGGTAACGAAACAGAAACAACGCCCTGGTACTTTAAGGCATAAAATTCTGAAATGTAATTAGTTGTACAAAAGCTAAAGGCTTTGGCTCTTGACTTTATAGACTAACACTTGCAAACCACGACCATGAAATATAATTTTTTATCTTTATAATTACTTAAATGAAGCTCGATCTTGGGCAGCGATAACACGTGCTGCCATTATCACAGATTAGCGAAAAGCAAACATTGCCTTGGAGAGGTAAGCGTTTATCAAAACTTTATTTTCTATTTCAAAAGAATTTACAATTACCGATACCGGATTAAAACAGATATCAATGAATAATACAATAGCGAGGTTGTACGTGAGAGTTTTGAAAGGTCAATGTTGATATTGGCATTAGTTGCCTAAGTAACAATTATCAAACAATTGCAAAATATTGATAGGATTTCCTTGCAGCTGTTGAAAGATACAGCAACCAGTCGCATTTTAACTGCAACGAATACATAAAACTAAGAGTAGCAAAGCAATACGGTGTATTTCTACCATTCACAAACGAATCCGATTATATTTTTCTTAAGAAATGTTCTCCAACATAATAAACAGGCACTAAGCCGGCCACTGTTGAAACACTCATGAAATTAAGTAAAGGAAAATAAACATACTAAATGATTATGCCGAAATACTTAAAAGGTTTAGAAACAAGCAAAGCCTTCTTTGAAATGCAAAATAAAGAAGTGCTCAATAAGACAGAGTAATGAGACAGGGAAGGTAAAAAACAGTCGATCTCTGCTTGCTTGATTCAAACCTCATCCCGTAATAAAATGCGGAACAACTTTTATTGCATATTTATTGCATAAAAGAATCAGTGCTTTAAAAACTTGCCAATAAATTAAACGAACATAAAGATGCATCGAATAGTGAGGATGAAAATACAACTACAAATTTGAAAAGGCTGAGAAAAAGCTAGAAAGGAAACTTTTGAAGATAAATAATGCAAGCAGGTAGACAGAAAGCTAAATACACAACAGAGCAAGCATTCCAGGCAAAAAGGTAACACAGCTACATACTGCAAGTATCTAGAAAGAGGTGTGTGAGAAAAGGGAGATCTGCTGATAAATTAGAAAAAATCCAAACAGAATTGAATGGTAGGAGAGAAGTAACCAGATTATGTCCGACTGGAAATTGTGATAAAATCCGTGATAAAAATGAGAAGAAATAGAGAAAGGAGGAGAAGAAGAAATGGAAAAAGAGGAAGTAGAAAAGGAAGAAGAACAAGGGAAGAAGAGGGGAAATAAAGAAGGAGAAATGCAGATGAAAAAGAAGAGTAAGGTAAAGAGAAAAAGAAAAAAAGAAAGAGAAAATCCAATCTGGAACAAAACCTCTTGATCTGTAAGGCCAAAATGAATTGTAAAACAGAAAGTTAATAAAATAAAGACAAGATGAAGGCTCTAAGGTTCTTTACTGGCATTCACAGTAACGACACAGTAGCCCCACCTGCTTCAGGACCAATGCCCTTAGTGAAAGCAAAAAATCCTTAGGCACAGTATGATCATTGCAAATATAACTTGACTTACTTTGACACCGCGAGCAAGACATTTGGATCATGTTCGCATTTCTTTAATGCATCGACGCTTTTCGTTTTACGTTGTGGCCTCGATTCCATGAAAATAGCCTCGGCCCAAAGGAGACCTGAATTCGGACAGTCTTGCATGGCTGCAACAAAAAAAAGATAAATCAGCTTTGCATATAAGAGCATATATGATTTAGGTTAGGCGAGCGTCATAAGTGGTGAGCTGGCCCTGTTGTGTGGGCTGAATCTGTTTGCTAAAGACACGCTCACTTTAAGTAAATCGCCATACTAAACAGGGCTAGCCGTGTGTGGTTGCTTATATGGAAGTTAGACAGGCCATTTCTAAAATCAACGAACGTGCCAAAAATTCTTTCATTTCAGATGAGTAATATAAAACTGGAAGAATCGTTAGGAAGCAAAAGCCAGTTCACATTAACACCTGATAACTTTGTGTGAAAGATAGGTTTTCTGTCTGTAAATATGCAAAATGCAAACAAAGAAATTTATGCCTTTAAATTTATATTTGGTTCAAAATCTAGGCATCCAGAATAGCAAATGGGTAATAACCTGCTAGATAAAACCTATATGTTTTATAAAACCTTTAAACAACAAATGTTGGCTTCATTACGACCAAAGTAACAGGGATTTGGTACAAAATGGTGAAGTTGACTTTTCCCTTTCGTTATAAAGATGTTTGATCGTTTGAATAGTAAATTTGCTGCCTTTCACTGAACACATTAGAGTTTCATATGCCTAGCGAACCTTTATCAAACTTAAAAGGAAAACACAACAATTTGAAGAGTTTAAATATTAATGCTAGAATGATAACTATTAATGATCTTCAGACTCCAACATAGTTTGAAATCCAAAAGGGAAGTCCAACATAGTTTGAGCCCAAGAACGAGTGTAAAAGAATTCCGTTTTCCGAACCCTCTTGGCGCACAAAGGATTCCGCTTTTCGACGCACTACAGGAACCTTGGTACATAAGATTATTTGTAGATAAAGATCTTTTGTTGGACACGGAAAAATTTAGCTAGAAACTTCATCATAACTGACTTTATATTAAGATAGCAAAAATTTGTGAAACTTTGCGTTCGAAGACAAAAGAAGTAAAAAAGCACCTTTAGCAATCAGTGATTTGGCAAACTCTTTATTACCACTACGGGACTCTATTCTAATAGCTTCAAGCCTAAAAATGAAAAAAGAAAAGTTAAAAGTCAGAACAATTTATGACTAAATGGTGAGAATTAGGATCAGTTTTGTACACATATCAGTATCAAGCACTTGTAAAAGCTCTGGCTGTATAAAAATGATACATAAACAAAACAGTACCATTAAAACAGTAATTCCCAAGATCAAAAACAGAATTAATTGGGACAATTGATATAGCAGATTTTCTTTTACTAAACAGGAAATGTTACGTGTTTTTATCTTACAGGTAAATAGAATGTTCAAAATCACGCCGGGTCAGTCTTAATGATATTACCAAAGCTCCGGATTCTGAGGATTCCTATGTCTTGCTTGTTCCAAAACAGAGCGCGCTTTGGTGATGTGATCTAAAATAAAAAAAACATTCTTCGAGAATTGATTTCAGGGTATCTGTGATTCATATTTTACGTTTGTAAAAAACTGGCAATGAAAAACGAACAGATCCTACAAAGGGGAAAAACACTACGTGTTGGATTAGTATGTTTGTGATAAAAATGATTGGTGGTCTTGATGATGATGGTAATGATGATGATGATGGTAATGATGATACTGATTGGCAATGATCGTGTCATGATTGGTTATGATCAAGACAATGATTAGTGTTGATGATGTTGATGATGATGAGGGATGATGGTCCTTGACTGTAACCTACATACTGTCGCTGCACAAGTTATGAACCTATATAAATACGATCTTATTAATGATTGGCGTTGATCGTGTTCATGATGCAGATGGGGCGATTGATCATAGCTAGAATGTAGATAGTACAAAGTACACTAGACGGTCGAACTACAAACAGCACGAACCATGTTCTTCTTCTAGCCTTGCTTGCAACAGCCAAAGTGCTGTAGACGTTGGGCATTTCTTTACCTATTACATGAGAAAACAAAACTTTCACCTTACGAACACGAAGACAAATTCTTAAAAGCATAAATATGGAAGATCATGTCAGGCGAGATATTTAGCAATCAATTTTTTGCTTAAAAGCAGGAAGACAAACAATTTTAAAACATCAACAGTAATTAGTGGGAGGAGCATCTTTTTCGAAAAAATATTCTAAATTTTATGAATCAACAAAAAGTTTAAAAATTCAGTCACTTTGTAATGAAAACAACATTTTTTCGCTCTCGTTAATGTAAATCCGTGGCAGATAATTTTTACTTATACAAGCATTAAGAAGGCAGTAGCGACAAGCAAGCATCATCTAAAAATAACATTCACTTACGCCAGCTTTATAGGCCTCTTTCGCTCCTTCGTAGTTTCCTTGCTCTTCCTCAATCTGCCCTTTCATCATCCACAACTAGAATTCAATTCAAGTCAGTACAATTCTTTACAGAAAACGCACATTTTTTATAAACGTTTTTCTGATTTTTTCACCTTTGACCACCATTATCATGGGCTCCGACAAAGGTTGAAAAGTGGGGGAGCCATGGGAAAATTTAAAGCCCATAACAAAAGATTTTTAAAAAACTCTATTGTTTTGCAAAAAAGTGGGGGGCCAAGGCCCGGCCCGCCACCCTTCGTCGGAGGCCCTGATTATTGGTATAAACAATTCTTGAAAAGTTGTTAAATCTACTCAGAACAGTTCTTAAATCTTAGGTAGCTTAACTACGATCGGCTCTTCCGTTCAGACCTTTTCACGTTGTCAATTTTCGGCGTGACCCTTCACGGTTAACATGACGAAGGACAGCACTTGAATATGGCTATATTGCAGAAAACTTAAACGTGTAAAACATTGAGAATTTAGATTCACACTTTTCCATTTGCAAATTAATCACAAAAACGATACAAAACCGCATCAGAAACAATAGAGGTTTAAATCCTTCTTTTCAATCTCGGCATTGTATGCAAATTTAGCATGAAATATTAAAAATGATAAGATTTGCTGATACACGGTTCGGATTCAAGACTAACACCAGTAAAAACATACTTTTGCAAAGTCCGCGTAGTTTTTGAGCGCTTCCTTCAGCATTTCTCTAGCCTTTAAAAAAATGAAAACATTCTCGTTACACATAGCTACAGACAAGAAAATACATGGGCCAAGTGCATCGTTTTCTAGTTGGTGTATTCTATGAGGTGGGAAGGAGGGGGGAAGAGAGAAGGGGGAAATGGGAAGGGGGAAAGGAGAAGGGGAAAGAGGGGGAGAGGAAGGGAGAAAAGAGAAGGGGGAAGAGGGGAAGCATGAAGAAAGAAATGTGGAAGAGGCAAGAGAAGGGAAAAGAGGGGAAGGAGACAGGTTTGAAGTTGACACAATATCAATAAGATGGATGACCAAAACCAAACAAATATCAAGAGCACCATATACACCCCTGGATAAATTGTTGAACTCTGTTAAAATGCCGAAATTCATTATACCAAAGAACAAGGTATTCAAAACAGTTTGCAAAAGTTGTATTAATTTCCCACCCGTTCCGTTTCTGATCTTTGTAAAAAGCGATCGAATTTCGGAAAATAGCACAAAACAGATCTAATCAACCCGTCCAAGATAACTGTAGGAGCATTAATAGTTCAGCCTTCAATTAAAAATATCCTTTTTAAAAAAATACCTATTGCATGTTAAAGTAACACTATGACACACTGAGTTTCTTCAACATTTCAAATGTATCCTCAAAAACAGCCAGCAGTTTAAGAGAGTGTGGGGTTAAAAAGGGTTCCTTATCTAACCCTATTGAATGGCGAAGAGGGAGAGGGAGTCATCAAAATGTAAAGCTTACAGATGTAGACACATATAAAGACTATATTGCTGCTCTTAAGAAATATATCAGGTAATTTACCGACCAACTTATGATCTGGCCAGCCAATTGGTTTCCCTAGGTCAGACAAACCTTTGATTTTAAGGTTGAGATTTTACAAGGAAAAATCAATAGCGACAACGTTGCTGGACATAGCTTTGTTCTTTAGCCTTGAATTTGAGTGTCCAATGAACATGATCTTACTCCCCCAGTACCGTCGATACGAAATGTATATTTTTGGGCTGCCCATTGTATTGTTTCCGGTTCAGTACACTGCTATCAGTGGCGTCACAGCCTTATCGTACGCCCCTGCAATAATCCTGCGTAGGCAGAAAAAGCTATAAAAATTTTCTTATTTACAAAGCTCCTGCGTCCCCCCCCCCCACTCTGGAGTGCAGGGAATGCAGGGGATGTTGTGATGCCCGTGACTATTATAAAGGAAATATAGTGCAGTTTGACAACTATTGGGGGGTTCCAGTTTCCATTTCCACTACCAAATTATCGAGCTTTTCTCTCTTCAGCTATCAGCTTCTTGTGAAATAATCAAAATATACATAAAAAGTTTCTGAAGTACCGTCAGATGAATCCGCATTTATCACCGTAAAGCGGTGAAAATTTAAAACTTCAGTCAAGCCAGTCGGTTAATGCAAAAGATTTAAACTAAACACGGTGAAATAGCGAGTAATAGTCTAGGATTTTAAAGCCAAAAACAGTATGTCGACCACATATCGCCTAAAGGATGTCTAAATTGACTTTTTGACATAGAATAGTCAGGATTTAGACCTCAGTTAAATATTTTCACTAATAAAGAACACACCAGAATGTAAATGAATTAAGCTGAGAACGGCTGTCGAGACAAAGTCGTGCCCGAAAAACTATATTTCCCAGATTCTTCGATCCAAAACCACTGGTCTGGATTTTATGCTTCAACGACCTGCAGAAAACATTTTGCGGAACTGTACAGGTGATCGTGCTAATGGTTCCACTATTTCCATTCCGTATTTTATATCGAATCATTCCAGTTTTTGATGATTCTCGAACATTACACTCTTCCTTTTATAAGAACAATTTTTTCAAAACAAGAACTTCAAAATTGGTTAAAAGTTAAGAACAATTAAGAGCAAGCTGAGGCTGCACTTCTATAAAATTCAATCTTGAACAATGTTTTATCTAAAAAACGAGGATTTTTAGCCATGTATGGATGATTTTTCGGTAAATATTCAAACTTGTCGGCAAATGAAGGTTGTCTCATTCACTTTGTTAGCAAATGAGGCCTGAACACCTCCCTAGAGCGAAAAAGCTAGCAATCACACTGATTACACCCTATTAATTTAAGAACAAATTAAGAACAATCCAGCCTCAGATTTTTGAAAAAATTAATAACAGTCAGCCTGAACTTAAATTTACTGGTTCTTATAAAAAACCGTGTAAGTAGATAAAGTCTTAACCAAGGAGGTGAACTTTACTGTGTAGGAAAAATGGGAAGTTTGAAAATCATGATTATAAAATCTAAATTTGCACGGATAAATAAAAACATTCAAAATCGTTATACAGCTTCTTGTGAGGAGAAACGCTTCTTTATCTGTTTGTGTCTGATAATTCGTGTAAATCGAAGCACAATCTAATCGATTTTGTTTGATTTACAATTTTTCTACCACTAACGAACAATTTTTGATTTTCTATAGCTAAGAAAATGAATCTTTAGTCGATAGTGTATCAAGAAATACAGCAAATTTTTCTTATGATGTCAAAAGAATCAGACATCCTCGAATCACATTTATTTTTCATAAGGGATCGGCTGTCAATAAATTTCAACATGGGCTTCTAAACACGCTGCGAAACAAATATTATCACAAAATAACTTACAGGTTAGCTGTTTCAAACCTGGACAAATATTGTTTAAAACTCCATCAGACCTTAAAAAATGCATGCTTTAAACATGACCATAGACCATTTCAAATCTTATCACAAACTGTTTTAAACCTAACACAATTTCAAGCTAGATCAAAGCATCCTTCAAACCTTACAACAAACTGTTTAAACTATTTAAACCATTTAAAACCTTACTAGAGAATGCCAAAGACCATATCAAACACTGTTTGTAGCCATATAAAAAATTTTTCAAGCATTTGTGCAAGTAAGCTATTCAGTTATTTTGTAGCTAAATATAGACAATTCGCAATTTTAGGGAGACCGAGAACAACTCACATTTGCAATTCTAACAAAGAAGAAAATTTCCCCATTTTTATGGTATGCCCAAGGTGAAGGATTAATCTTACATGGTTCGTGACCTCCCAGCTGAATTGACATTATGATGTCTGGTTGTCAAAAAGATTTCATTTTTTATACTGTAATATAGGGTACTTTTTGGATGAATAATCTAAACTTTATGTATGTTACGTCACATCATTGAGCCTCGTCAAACGCTGGGCAGAGTTGTACTTATGCGAGGTACAGCTCAAATATTACTATATAAAGTTGTCTCTCTACCCATGAATCCAATCTAAACACGTCAAGTCGCAAGCCACTCTCATAGAGATAAAATTGATATCCAAGGTTACGGCAGTTTACGGCTTCCATCTCAATTTTTCGACTTTCACTGTCTGTTCCTGCCTTTCTGTACCAATAAAATATCTATAAAGAATCTATTAACCTAGCATCTATTCTCAAAACTTTGGCAAATGTCTGGGTGTCTATACCTAGGTAAATCGATATCAATTTGAAATCCACGGTATCCCAAATCGGTGGCCCCTGTTAACCCGACCACAGATGAACAGCCTAATGCAGGAAGAGTTTCTTTCTCGCAAGAGAAAGCCAGTTTTCAGGTAAGCTAAATACAAATGTAAATGTTGTCGATTTTGAAACATGAAGTTAACTTACCTGAATTATATTTACAAACCATTTCACTCCTGTCAACTCGACCACAGATGCACAACCGACTTTGAGAAATATGAAGTTCTCGCAAGGGTAAGCCAGTTTTTTAGGCAAGCTAAATACAAATGTAAACAAAATATCGATTCTGGAACTTGAACATGAAATTACCTTACCTGAATTATATTGCCAACCACCCATTCCAACCGCACTGACTTCATGCAAACCTGAAGAAAATAACATATGGCAATTTGGAAAATGTTTTAATCTAAGAGCTGCAAACAAATAGTAAAAAATAACATCATTTTTACTGAGATGCAGTTGATGTGGAATACAAGAGAAACAACAAACCATACCTAAAGGGCGTAAAAATGCGCTTGAAAATTCATTTCATTATAAAAAATGCAAGAGTTGTTGCCATTTTCACGCTTGGAAGCAAAACTGATAAAGTTGATTTAACATTTTGGATTTGGCTCCTTGATAAAATATGGAAGTACATGTTATAAAAATGCAAGATACAACAGACACTTGAAGGCAGATCATCAACAAGAATGAATTAAAAAACATTTATATAATAAAACTGTGAATAACTTTTACACAGATAAGGTAAGGTTGGTGATAATCGGAAATTTTTTATACACTGATTACGATAATGTAAAACGTTTATTACTGTTTGCAAAATATATGGTTCTGCCTATCCAGACTTCTTTTATTAGGAACAGTTTATAGCTTATAGATACAAATTGCATAAAAACCTCATACCCTTGCTGTTGGTGCACTTGTTCGGGCTTTCTGCAGCAATCGCCTAAATGTAAAATAAAAAAACTGTATTATCAAGATAGTAAAGGGAACAAAATCATCAGTATGTCAGTAATGAATCTGCTACAACTTCTAAATCATGGGTCTTTGACAATAAACACTATAAGAAAATTCTATTTTTTCCAGACTTTCTTTTGACATCGATCAAATTTTTCATATTGATATACGAACTTAAGTTGCGTGATATTTGACCGTATCTGTGTATCGGGTAATTAAAGATGCGTTTTAATAGATATAACCTTAACAACAATTATCTAAAAAATTCACCCGTTTTTATCTATGTTTTAAAAAATTATTAGCTGGGTCAGATTCCTAATTTCAACTTTCTATCATAACACAACAACTATCTAAAGCGTATCTAGTTGAAGGGGTTTAAATCCCTAAAAATTGTCCAAAACTGAATCAATTAAATGAAATATCCTCTCAAAATACTTCAGTTAATTGTCTCACTGTTTTCATGTGGTGTGTTCCAACACGTGCTCACATGCAAACAGCTGTTTCGCAGCCCAGTATGACCCTAATAAACAGGGGCTGATCCTGGTAAGTAATCCTCCACTGTCACTGAACACTAAAAATGTGCACAGTCTTTGTAAATGTGACACAGGAGAAAATGATTACTCCATTTTTTGACGCCCACAAGCTAGTGGTGTCCAAATACGATTGAGCAAGGCAAAGGAATTAAAACTTTTATGTTTTAAGATAAGGTTTTACCAGTAATGTCAGTATTTTATCTACCACACAATTTTAATAACCTATCCCCTTCAAATAAACTCCTCCCTTGAATTAGCTCCAATTTAGAAATCGTTTCTAAAAAATTACCCTATGGGGGCTAATTCAAGGATTTATGGTAAAGAACCGTTCCAATCCCTAACAAGCTGTATCTTTGTGTTGCCTGTTCTGCCTATTAAGTAGTAGAATATAACATAGGAATTTAGATTCAGATTCATTTCAGTTTTGCGTTACATGTAAGGCATGAGGGCTAGAGAAATGGCTAGAAAATTCAGAATGAACAGGAAATATTTTGAAAGTTTACGGTCTATCTTCTCGTTAACTTTAATATTAACCTTTGGCTGTTACTACACATGCATAAAGAAAAGCTATCGCGATCCCCACCTCGAAAAACGATTGAAATTTCTGGTTTACGGGTCAATAATGGATGTTTACAAGACCCAATTCTCACACGATTCTGCAATTTTACTTGTTCCCGCGTGAACAGCATAATAGCCCCAACACAATGATAAGTTTTACACGGCTAATCAGTCGTGGCCAACAATTATTTTCCGAACAAGACGAAAACGGCAAATTTTTGACAAAGGCGACGTCGACTTGAAGTCTGTTCCTCATTGTACCGGACGAGTTTTCGCGGCCATGACACTTGCGCATGGCGGACCTTTTGTTACACTTAGCCAATCAAAGTTAGAGATTTCAAACAACAATAAGAAAGAAGACATAAAAGTTTGCAAAAGCAGCAAAATAAAAGACTGCCTTTTAGGCTGCTTTCTGTATCCATTACATAAATTATTAGAAATACAAGCCATCTGAAGCGCTTACAGCGTCCTGGCTATACAAGAGACATTTCCTATAAAAACAACTATATTTTGAAAACAGGCTTGTGAGGAGAGCCTGGCAAAAACACATGAGATGAAAGGACAATGTACCGACTTTATATTAAGGAAGGAACATTTCTTAATATGCTTTTTGCGGCGCTTTTAAGGTTAATCAGCAAAAACTATAGTAATGGAAAACGCTTGTTCAATTGCTGAGCACCTTGGAAAGGCAGCAGCGGGTTTTTCATCATCTTTGTAGTTATAAAGAAATGGAATTCGTAGACATAACATATGGCAAGACACTGTGAAGCAAGCAGCTGTAAGGATACCTTTGTTGCAGAAGGTCGCCTCGAAGTTGCGGGTTATGTCAAAAAGTTAAGCAGAAATTCATACCGCGGTGAGAGAAAAATGTTATAGGAAGAATAGTGCGTCCTATTAATACCTTGCTTTGACCAATAAGCGACTGCTCATCTCTTACGTAGTTGAATTACCAATTTGAATTCATTACTGGAAGGTCAAAAGTAGCTACACTTTGCATACTGACTTTAAGACAACAAGTAGTTCTAACCTTAAAATAAAGCGTGATCGCAAGCAGAAGCTCGCTGAATCGCTTGCAATTTCAATCTATCATTTTCGAAAAGCCATCAAATCATATTTACAGACAGTGCAATGTCTTTCATCTTTCTTTAGCAACAATGGCAGTTTAACGTCTACGAAACTCATTTTTTAATCCAGCAAAGAGTATTTCTCACGATCATATCAGGCGGTAATTGAAAAAGAGCATAATAAGAAAACTTCGTTGAAGGTGAGAAAAAATTTTCAGCGAAATCTTGGCATATCTGATTCGAGGATTGTTATAAATTAGATAAAATAGCAAATAATGCTTTTTCAAGGACATCAATATGTATGAGAAATAGAAAACCAAGAAAAAATAGAAAAGCTATTGTAACTTCAATCAAAGATGGAAACTTTTTAAAAAGCGAACTAATCTGTAGCATCGCCTTTCATACGATTAGAATAGCTGTATGGGAAGATTTGAAAGCAAGACGAGCGCATTAATAAGCCCGTCAGAAGGAAAAATGAGCAACGTAAAGGGGCAAAGCGTGAACCAACATGAAAGTTTCGTGAACCAACATCTCTAAAGTTTAAAAATAAAAGTAGAGTTATCAACAATGGAAAGAAAGAGAGAATGCAAAATTGTTGTCAATTTAACATGGTTTGGTTCGATATAATTTGAAAATCCGGGTTTCCCCACGAGTATTTAAATGATTTAGGATCTTAGTCTTATTGGATGAAGTATTTTCATATGTAGTGCAATGTGCTAGTAGTAGAAACAACTGTCTGTGGCATTTATATACTTCCAGTTTACAAAGAAACCAGATATTAACCTGGATCTGGCAGTCAGCCTTCCAAAGCAACTGAAAACTGCTTTAAAACAAGGATTGAAGATCCGAAATTCAAACTTGGCAGCAGAAAAACCAGCATTGAGATCTCAGCCTTTCGCTTCTACATGTATCAGTCTCATCTCATTTCATGCTTTGTAACTTTCTCAGAAATAAAATATTGCTAAACGGAGGAAATGATTGCTGCTTTGCATACATCACGAGGGCTAATTACGGGAAACAGTCGCAAAAATCAATGAAAGAACATCGTATAGATGCAGTTTTCTTTCTCTTTAACAGTTGACAGTCACTTAAAAACCGGCGCATTTGCCCGACAAAGCTTTACTTTAGCAGCTAAAGAAACCTGCAAAAATATCCGATATAATACCACACAGCCTTTTCTCAAAGTCAATTTGAACTTTGAAACATTTACAATGACTCACATCGTTATCAGTTAGTGTGCGAGATAGCCAGCTGTGATGAACTGGTATTCACAATTATACAAGAAAATTCACGACAGTAGCTGTAATCAAGAACGCTAAATCACCTGGCTCGTTCGTCCTCATTATTTTCACTTTCAAGTTTGACAGCAGCGAGCCAAATCTCCTCACTGTTAGAATTGGCCTGGAAAGCTAAAGCTAGAATTGAGCGTGCAGCTGGGATGTCTCCCTAAAATGCAAAAAATTGCGCAATTATTACAAACGAGCATATTCTACCTTTAAATCTCCAAAAAACTTCATAGTGATATATGGAATGTTGTTTTGCCCGCAATATTATAGCTTTAAACTTAGTCTAATCTATTTTGTCGAAAATCAGTATCATTGAGTACTAAGAGCTCTTTTAGTAGCTATATAGCGAAATTTAACTATGTTTCTATGAATGCCATCATGTCTGTTACATAGCAAGCAACCTAAACATTATGAAAACAAAAGCAAACAAAAATTTTGCAAATTTCGGGCCTGGTATCTAGAATGCTTTTGTCGAGTAGTAGTTATGATAAATAAAGTTCACATTGGTGCCGATACACCACAGTTTCTACGATAATGCTTTTGAACATTGTTACTCAGTGTTTATGCTAAACATGTTAAACAGTGTTTACACTGGTGCTGATACACAGCGTTTACAATAATGCTGTTGAGCAGTGTTTGCATTGGTGCTGTTACTCAGTGTTTATGCTAATCATGTTAAACAGTGTTTAAACTGGTGCGGATACACTGTGTTTATAGCAGTGTTATTAAACAGTGTTTAAACTGGTGCTGATACACTGTGTTTATAGCAGTGTTTTTAAATGGTTTTTAAATTGGTGCTAGTACTCAGCGTTTATTACAATGCCATTAAACATATTTTTCATTGGTGCTGGTCCATAGTGTTTCACTAATGCTGGTAAACAGTGTTTACACTGGTGCTGATATACAGTGCAATCAAACAGTTCTTCATTGGAGCTGAACCATATAGTAGTGCTCACTAACGTTCGGAAAGATGATTTCAGATTACTTGTGAATCTAGCCATACATGTAAAGCAAAAAATGTTTTTGCGAAATTCTCGAAAAATATTTTCACCGAAAGAGATTCATGGGAATAATCTTCAAAGTCTCTTTAATATTCGATGGTTTTTCAACCTTCACAATTCCCTCTAGATAAAATAACAAGAAAGGGACTGATAGAAGGCAATAGACAAAAGAGCATGAAAAACGGCCTTTCGTCAAAAAGATCGTCCTGCAGCGAAACCTGTTCACTTATCCTTCTTAAAATGCTACGATATCCACAAAGCACCTTGAAACTATCCATCATTTTGCAAAACGTTTAATTAAATATTTACAGAATCTTTGATAAAAAATTCATGGAGGACCAATGCTCAATTGTTTGGAGCTTACTTATAATTGCGGGCGTAAGAAATAATTAAAATAATTCTGCTATCATTCGTAGCACCCTGCCAGATTAAGTCAAGACCGAAGTCGCGAAATGACAAGCTTGGCTAAAAATGCTCCACTCATCAGAGAATTTCATTACATGCCATCCGCTTCAATATGCTGGAGACAAGAGGCGGCCAGAAATTAAGCGGAAAAAATTGATTATAAATGAATTAAAAGACAAAAATGAGCAGTTAGAGGTGCCTAAGATGCTCTTGGGGGACTTTTTTCTCAACAAATTAAAAGCTTTGAATGAAGAATTTTGAAAATAAAAGAAAAACTTGGAAAGAAAGTTTGTTTGAGTTTTTGTTTGTGCCTATCAACAGCAGAATAAATGCAGCTTACGAAATTAATAATCATTTCACGAATATCATTTCTCAAGTTCTGAGCCTTTCTAGTATAGTTTCTGTAGTTTCAATATTTACAGATGCAAATATAAACATGGCAGTTGAACTGAAGAAAAACAATATGCTAACTGTGACATTGAAAACACTGATTCACGAATTGAAAAATAAGACCAGTAGAACCATTGGTCCCAGCATTTGACAACAAGTAAGCCTTAGTTGTTGGAAACATATACGCAGTTAAATATAGATCGAGAAACGTTTACAAGCAAGCTCACAAAACACCAGTCCTCTTGTCTGCTGAAATGAGATCCCCAGCATTTCTACTGCCTAACAAAACGACCTGGTTTCACGGTTCATCAGAGAGCAGCCTTCTCTTTCTTATGATTCAGTACACACTAGGTTTGGTACAAACAGACTTAAAATCTATGAAAATTCTTGAAGAAGTGGAATGATTGAAGTCAGGGGGAGGACCAATATTGAGTTCAGAAATTCATCCCAAGTCACGTCCCAAAGGTATAACAAATTTCCCTCTCCCTCACCATCGAGTTTTAATTTTTGAAAATTTTCGAAACACCCCATCCATAAATTCGAAGAAAGTAAAGTTTAATTGGTATACACTTCTTAGTTATTCGTCTTCAAAATTCACCTAGCTCAAAACTTTTCTTTGAAATATAAAAAGACATGAAAATTTTGAAATTTCAACACTTGATAAAGCTTGAAATGCTGAATAAATTTCTCGATGAAAAGAGGTTTTGACAAATACGAAACTACGGTTCACATCATTCAGAAACCAGTTGGTATGAGCGTATAAAACGCAAGATATTCACTCTAAACACGCACTTGAAAAGTAGAGAAACAAATTTGTAGAAAAAATGCCATGCGTTTAATACATTACCAGGAAACGCATTTCCTCCCGATTTTTCAGTCTCAGTTTATTCCAACCCTCGGATTACTAATTTTGAAAATAGTAACTGATCATCGAAAAACGTACCGCAAGCCATTTTGATTTGGCGCCCATCAACCACAGGACCTCTGCTTTTGGACAATGTTTAACAGCATTTTGAAGCAATGATTCAAGACTGTCTCTGAAAACCAAAACGTTAAATGTTTCAACCACCAATAAATCTATCAATCTTTAAGATAAAAATTGAGAACTCAAAAAAAACGACGTAGTATAAAAGGCATCTTGGGACTTTTCTCACAGTCCAATGTGTTAAAAAATCCCCAATCAATTTTTTTGCGAGGCTGAAAACTCATCTAATAGATCTACTGCTATTTGCCAAGACTGCAAGTGCGTTTTAGCAATTTGTTATTTTTTCTCGTTACTACCTAGCATCCAATGGTAGTTTTTAGGACACTGAGAATCTGTGCTTGTCGAGCAGTGTCCAGGTCCTTTCTCTTGATGTAACCGAACCTCGTGATTCCTACGCCTGGATTCACAGAGAGCAGACGACTTTCTTCATTCTAAGTAAAAGTTTCGTTATGGCAGGGAATCGAACCACAGACTATCGTCGCTCTGACCTGTATTTCGCCACCCCAATGAGATATCCTAACAGCGATTTAAGTTAAATTACCCCTCTTTTCGAAATTGTATTGCATGAGGTTAAAAGCATCTTTTAGTGTCTTGCAGTGTAAAGGAGGGTCTTTATGATCGAAAGTTAAAAAGGAAAAAAAATTTATCATCGTCATCGAGGAGATTTAAAAGAATGTGAAAGCCAAGTTTTAAAGAAACAAAACAATTCAATTTAGTAAAGTTGCCGGCTTTAAAATTCCCCACCAAGTTGACATTTCAATAAAATTAACAATATTCTCTTATTTAGGGCAACCTAAGGAATTCGTTGTGACAAAGCAAGACACCAAAATAAATCTGGGATAAGGATAGTTGAAAATATTCTTCTGGGTGAACAATCTTGTCTAAACGGAAGCCACGTTCTCAACATCCAAACCGTACCTTCCAAACCGTAACCAAGGTGAAATTCAACTCATCTGCTCAAAACAATAAAACTGCCAAAAATAATGACCTGTTTCTTCATAAAATGCCAAAGTTAGAGCTTACCTTGTTCCGTGGTTCTTTTCAAAGTACGCTGCCCGCAACCAAATGCTCTTCTTGCTTGGGAAGACAGCCAGTGCATGTGCATAGATCGCCCTGGCACATTCGTAGGCACCATGGGCAGCACACTGGTGAATAAAAACAACTTTAGTTTTTTATAGAAGACTCAAATTATAGTTCTGTCTTATAGTTCTTAGCAAGAAGATTTAAATAAAATTTCCACACTGGGATAAAAGACCATTTGTGATAGTGTTGAGAAGCCTGAGATGGAATGGGATAGGCCATTGTATATCAATATTTTTGTAAACAGTAATAATGGAGCTGTGAAAGTGGTTTGGTTATGGCAAGAATTAGAGGCATATAGCGACAAAAACAGTGATAATGGAAATGCAACATGAATTGACATCAACTATTGACATCACTGGTATGAATTAAACCCGCCCTAATGCAACATCTATTAGTGACGCAAAGAGTTGGGCTAGGATCAATGTTTTATTAAAATGTGGATGAGACACAACAATAAAGGATACAGAATTCTCGAAAGTTTCTGACACAGTTCGGATTAAGCATGAAATAAAGTATATTTCTTGATAAACATTTTACGATTTCAAATTTATTTCTTACTGTTGTGCGTTTGTTTTTTCTTTTTTATCGCAAATTTTTTTGACAAATAAATAAACTATTTTGATAAAAACAGCACTGTTTAGTTATTAAAATTTTTGGTGCTTTGCATCAACTTTAATCTTGGATATTTCTTTTTTAAACCTTTCTCTTATTTCCATTATTGGGTCAGCAAACGTTAAACTTCGAGTCTATCTGAAAAAACTGCTCACAGCATAGAACAATGGATGGCATAGAAAAAGCAACGGAGCCTTACACTTTCTGCATCTTCCATCCACGTGTGCTTGCGGTCTTCTTCTTCAACGCCTATGCCGATTACTGCTCGGCTGAGAATCGAAATTTGATATTCATTTACTAATAAACAGTTTGCCATAAATCTAAATTTATTAACTACCATTCATCAGGATCTAACACACTTTTCTACCGTTTTTAATTGTTTATTACTAGTTAGCAGTTTTTTAGCGGTAAAAAATTAGAAAATGGCTTAGAAAAAAGCAAACATTTGATAACATATTGGCTAAAAGCTTTTTCGTCTTACACTACTCAGAGCATAAAACGTCAGAATAAGGGTCCGAAAGAACATGATGAAATGTTATAAAATTTATATAATATAAAATGTTTGCTTTCTTCAAAGCCGTTATTACGTATTTCAATATACATCTGAATATCAGCTTTGGCATCAGTGAGAATCAAATTCTACACAAAGGAAACAAATAAGTGAGAATCACATAAAATACTTTTCTGAAAAACAAAATCATATCAGTCTTCTGAACTGAAAACATTTGTGTTCTCTACCTTTCCAACTTATGACTAAAGAAGCAAAATTAGGTGAATTATCGTGCACTTAGTGAGCAAAGGTATTGCACAGGTTGGGCAAATCAGTAATGACGACTGCGTTGCAAACAACAAGGCGATCAAAATTCAAACCAGTTTTGTGAAACAATTGACAACACATTTAATTCTAAGATTAAAAAAGTTACCTTTTTAAAAGTAAAACATTTAAACCTTTAATTGGATAGTCTCGCAGCTTTGAAACCTTTATGAGACTTGCTAAAACTTTATCAAAAAGTTTAGTAATAGGCCCTGTTAATCACGACATTAGAGACTCAGAAAAACGTTTGCAAGATCAAATTTAGGTGTTGCAATACTTTTGCTCACTAACTGTACAAATATGACTCCAACGATGTTACCGTAAGAAATAAGGAGCCCATATTAACAGCCTTTTTTTTCCTTCCGAAATTTTATTTATAGTTGATTTGCCACCTCAGGTTAAGATGTACTTTTTGCATATTTGATACAGTTTTTTCAAAATTAGTTTAGGTTCATCATTGACTTTCTTGAATTTTTTGTTATTTTCTAAAACGTCAAAATTTAGTAAATGATAAAAATGTGCAAAAATCGTTTACTCTGGTGGCAAAAATGTCGCCCGAATTAAACCCTAGAAAGGTATTCAACCAAATCTTGATCATCTGAATATAAGCTTGTTTCCATTAAGCTATAAGCTTGTCTGTTGGGTAGCGACAATGCACCTGAGATGACGTCACCTTAGTATGACCAGATAATTCTTTGAAAGCCCTACTCACATGATTGCTTGACACGTTGCAACACTCTGTGCAGCATCAGCCTCCTCCGCATCTTTGATCCACTGTTCCCTATTAATCTCGACTGAATTGGCCTTCAATGAAGCAACAGCTAGAAAAGATAAAGACAGTCTCATATAACTGACTTGTAGTTTGCCTAGATATAAAAGATTTGATTTTGAATAAGAGATAAATGTTGCTCAAGGCTGTCCATGAAAATATCTTACCTAAACTGATGATATTATTACCTAAACTAATGATTTGGATTCAAAGAAAATCTGTAGCCTTAACCTAATCCCATGCTCGCTACGGAAGCTACGTTAATTTTTTCACGAAATCCTAAATTTTTTTGTAGAAATCCTGTTACGGCAAAATCTGAAAATCTTACTATGATCAGACCAGAGTTCAACCCTTTTTGAGGGGAATTTGCATTTACACTACTGAAAAAATTGTTCATACTGGTTCGTTCAAATCTAGACCGTACATGAACAAACGGGCACGCCGTAAAACAATTCAGTGCAACAGAAGCCATTTTTATGCGAAAGACAATGCCTATTTCAATGATAGACAAATGCTTTAAAACATATTACCCTTAGCTGGAATGGAAAAATCTGTCAAATTGGTAACAAGCCATTTAGTTTAAAATTGTATACTGCATGCAAGTCTGTTTTTTAGGAATTCAAAGTGAAATGCTCCGTGGAAAGCTTCTCAAAAAGAGTAAAAGAAATTGTTGGAAACGATCCAAGGCAAAATCCAATTTGCTAGGTACACAAGAACAAAACAAACACACCTCTGTCTATAATCTTTGCTACCATGGAGATGTTTCCATTAGCTTCTTCCAGTTTAGCAGCCGTAATCCAAATAAGGCGATCAGTAGGTATATTCTCCCTTGCCTTATTAAGTACCTGAAATTCAAACACTATTTGAATCATACACTACTAGCCCACAAAGCACCAAGATATTCGAAAATGGATTTCTAACTGTATAGGGCGTATTTCATTGTAGAATGCTGTACATAAATTTGTCGCTGCAATACGTGCGTAATTTTATACTTTTTGTTGTGCTGTCAAGTGTGTAGAATATCTCCTGTAAAAAGCTAGCACTTTGAACATTTATACACTTGAAATGCCATTCATTTAAAAGTTATTTGCAATTCGTTTTATGACCAAAATCAATACGAACTGGGCCTACTAAAAACTTTGTTAGTCTTTTCTATCTTAGTTTTTTTAACAGGAGCAACAAAGTTGATCAGACCGGTTCCATTTATATCCATTCTTGTGTACACTCGGGTCTAAATTCATACCATAAATCCTCGTATTAGCCCCTGGGCGTTTTTTTTTAGATTTTTGGGTGGGGAGTTAATCGAGGGAGGGGGGCTTATACGAGGGGGTGTTTATAAAAATAAAGTAGACATCAAGAAGACATTACTAAAAGGACTCATATATTTTAGTAGGAATTTATTCATTAACATTTAATCAACTATTACCAATAGTATGAAACTTTGTGGTAATTCAATAAAACACCAAAGGCAACCTCAGATGACAACAATCAACAAATCGAGGGGGGCCAATTCGATGACTTACGGTAGCAGGCTTATTCAAGGGAGGGGACTTATTGACAATTTGTAGTTCTAGGGTGGGGACTTGTTCGAAGGGGAGGGGGACAATTCGAGGATTTATGGTACTACATCTACTGTTATACATATCCTCAAGAAATGTTAAAAACAAACCTTCCTTGCGTTTTCATATGACTCCAAGCGTGCCAATGCAAGCCATAACTGCAAAAAAGAAAAGTTATAAAATTGTAAGATCATTATGTTTAATACTTAAGCAAACTTTGATCCAGACTGCAAACGTCAACCGAGATAAAAAGATCTAAAGCTGTTAAAACTCCGTGTAAAAATCACCATCATTTTGAAGCAGCAACATAAAAAAACATTTTCGCTCAGAGAACATTTGAAAAATTAACATTTTCGCATTGTTTTTAAAATTTTTCAAGATTTCACAAGAATAATAGCTTCCGTTAAAGTAAATTCTCTACAGTGAAGACAGAAGGAGCAGAGGAAATAATAGCATATTGTTAAATTTATTTTGAATCGTTTAACATCTAATTCATATTGACGTCATTTGCATCGCTTTTTGTTTCCTCAACTAAGCCCATCATATTCTCTATTCGATTTATGTTATTTTAGTTCGTTATACATGGTACACTAAATTCATTACCTTCACACATAAGTTAGAGGGAAAACTATAAGGTTTTCCCAATGGATATTTGTTTTTCGCCTAGAAGTCATTCATTTGCACATTGAATATTGACATGCACAAGTCATACTCGAAAATAAAATTTACATTATTTTTCACTATTTCTATCGCAAGATCTAGACAATTTAGCAGACGGTCTATTTGATACAATATTCTTTGTTTATGAGATACTCAAAAATACTGGAACTCATTTAAGAAATCTTTAAAAGACTTTAAAGTCTAAAGTTTTAAAGAATTTCCCTTTATTCGGACTATTTGAAACTGTTCCTGAATCAAAACAGATTTATCAAAAGCAGCTGACATTACGAAATATTTCTTGCCGCAAAGAGCTACCTCGAAAATCGGATCAGTATATGGTGAATGGGCTGGTATCCATAGCACTGTTAATGTTTATACAAATAGCATGATTCATATAATACCTCTACACTCTGCGGGCAACACTCCACTGCTCTAGACAGCAAAATGCTCGCATCCTCTGGGTCTTCAAGCTCAACTGCAGCTTTCCATAATCTCACAGAGTTTGGTATGTTCTCGAGAGCTACAAAATATATCAGTAAATTGAAGCGGGAGAAGAATACAAAGGCCATGATATTAGAATTGCTAGCTGGGCTAAAACGCCTTCTTTTAAAAGCGTAAAATTAGCAAAATTATGTTCGGCACATTTATCCAGCGTTTTGTAAAAAAAATATGCTGATCCCTTATCTGTTTCTAAACTTTTGTATAAAACAACCAGAACCTAATATCCGTTTGCATAGAATGTCAGTTAATTACAATTGAATAAAAATCAGCCTATCTTAATGATCAGTTTCTCGTTCTAAAACATCCAAGCACTTTGGTTGAAATTGCAGCAAATCAAAAAGGTAAGCTAGGTATCTTGCATAAAACTTCCAAAATAATTATACGGGAATCACCTTTCCGGTAAACACGTTTTTGCGCCGGAACCTCTTGCTCCAAATCTGCAGCTTTAATCCATAATCGAACAGACTGTGGAAGCTCTTTTATCGCTTGGGTAACAATTGACTTGGCAGTTTCTGGTGGCTGTAAAACCGCAAAGAGGCAGTATAAGTTATAACATTGCAGGCAGTGTTATTTACTAAACGACAAGTGATATAAATAAAAGCATCAAGACAATCTCTCGTTCATAATTATTATTTCAATAATTATTTCTCAAAATAACTGTAGCTGAAAAAATTATTTTAAAACGTCGCTCAACCGCAATACTCCAAGGGCGGGAATATATAGGCCCTCCATTTACTTTTCTGGAATTTTATGCAGACCTCTTACAAAATCGACAGCGAGCTGTAACCTAGCCAAACACAGTGTACTCATTCTTCGTTCATAAAACCGGGTACTACATCAAACTACGGTAGAGCAAATTGAAGAAGAAATTCTGTCTTTTGAACTTTATCTTTTCATTTTCCATCAGCTTCGTAACATTAGATTTCTACACCTCGCAACTCTCTCTACGATCTTAATTAGCGAGCTCTTATATCTATCTAGCGCTGTACTGAGCATGCGTGGGTAATAATAATAATAATAATTATCTGCACGTAATCAGCAATTTGATCCTACTACACATGAACAAAAACGTTCGACAAAAGATTCGAAATTCAAATGTCCATCTTGTGATCACTTTCAACAAACGACTTAATCATACTCAGTATTTTGAAGGTTGACCCCCTGTTTTTAAAAACCCAAAGATTAAATAAATGTTGGACATGGTTATGACCACCCCGTTTCTTTGAACAAAACCCCCTTTAATTAGTAAATCTTAAAACATCACAGACACCACGGACAATGAAGCGCAGTGAAATAAATCTACAAACACAGGATGTTTCATTCTGATGACATCACAGTAGGCAGTAGAACTACCATCACCAGATACGTATTTTGCGTAAATATGCGTAAATTTACGATGTAATATGCGTGTGTATGTCACGTAAAATTATAACTAAAATTATTTTAAAATAGATTGGTACCGACCCAAGGCTTTACTCAACCAAAACAAGTTGCAAGATATCTTTATCTTACATTCGTCGGAGAAATATAAAAATCAAGATTAAATATGACGTCACTGGCTCACCTGCAACCGCACAGCTTCAAGCCAAACATCTTCGTTTTTTTGACACGCCTCCGTCCCTTTGTATATAAGATTCCGTGCTTTTTGGATGTGCCCTGTGACCTCCTCGAGACGTGCTGCAGCAATCCAACCTGACAACGCCAATAACATTAAAAAAATTAACGTCTGAATTCAATTATTATTCTATTTTCAGCCAATCTACGTTATTGCAGATTTTAGGCAATAGCGGATAGGTAGAACCTAGTAAAACCTGATGAATCATGAGGATTTATGTGATTGGGCATTTTGTCTTGAAAATCTTTTGTAACGAGATACGCCTTCATCCAGGCTTCGAAAGGACAACTGACTATGGAATGCCCATAAACACCATCACACAGTCTAAATCCTAAATAAGATTGCCTAAATCTGAATCTTTCTTACTTGCAGGGATTAACTGCATAACGCTTCGTTGAATGCTCACTTACTGTTATAATGACAACTTGTTACTATGTCCTTATGTGGTAATTAAAAGCTCTGTAGCAGGCCCGTCGGAACCGGGGGGGGGCTGGGGAGGCTGGGGGGGGTTGGAGCCCCCCCAAAAATTGTCAAGCTGCAGTATGTTTTCTTTATAATGGTGAACTGAATGAGAAGGAATAGAATGGGCAGCCCCCCAATAATAATTTCGTTCCGATGGCACTGTGTAGGCATCACAAATCTCGCAAATGTCAGCAGCATTACGCACCTGGGCCGTGTTTAGGATTCGTCGTAATCACAGAGTTCAGAAGAAGTCTTGCTTTCTTAATGTCTCTACAATAAGATTTAAAAAAGCGATAAAGAACTTTTTTAAAAAAGCAAAAAGCAAACGAATTGATCTACCCAAATACATACCCAAAAAAAGAATTTGAACAATAACGTGAACCATTTATATATAGATGGAATTTGATAAAATAAAATCCAGCTATATTTGAATGTCGACATCAATTCAAGGTACATTTTATCGGACAAAATTAGAAGTTTGTGAATCAGCTGGTTTCAATTCAATCACTTTTTCTTGCGAAAAGGTAGCCAGTACGATTTGACAAAGATTTTCGCTGATAATTTAGGAATTTCATGAATAAATCATCCATAGAACAGAAGATTCGTGACAAAAAAATTGTGTTTCACGACTATAGGCAACCATATACAGCATATGCAAGATAAATTAATTATTTGTTGATGTGGAAACAAACCCTATATCTCCGCTGGCAGTGGGTGTAACACTTTGAAGATCAGTCAAATATCCTTTAGGGTCGACCACAGTCTGCCCAGAAACTGAGTCTGATGCCTATCAATGAAAAAATCATGCTTTGACTTGCAGTTAACAGAGGCAAGCTATACAAATAATTGTAAACAGAGAATTACTAAAGCTGTAACTCGACATGATTTTCTTTATGGTTCTAGCCTTCACCTCATTGTAAAGTAGTGTATAAAGTTACAGCAAATCCTAATTTCTGTTCTGTCGAGAAAAGCGAATCTTGAAGATGACAAAGGAAGTTTGAAGCCACAGGAAAGGCAGAAGCAAGCATTTTATCAAATCATAACTTATCTAATACTCTATCCAAATTGATAATAAACGTCCCTTTTGAGGTTTCTAAAGAACAAACAACACAGCATACAGTATTTATTCGATTATAAGCAGCCCTCGATTATAAGCCGCAGCAAATTGGGTTACAAAAAGATGAAAGCCGCTCTTGTCTATTAGCCACACCCACAAAACCACGTAGAGATACTTGGTTTGGAATGAAGGGCGAAAAAACTGATAAAACCTGATTGTGTACTTAAACAAAAAAATATACTCTAGAAGCTTAACCAACGAACAATATCGTCCATCATGAGCTTCTAGATGAATTTCTTCCGCATCTTCTACATGATCACCCTCGGCTTTTAGGTAGCAGTCTTGCGGGATCTGAATACAATAATTTTAGCTACCCTCGTTTATGAGCTATCCTCGTTTATAAACCGCCCTCGTTTACAAACCGTCCTTGAAAATAAACCGCAGCAAAACGTGCAAACTGAAAAATTTATATGTATATAGCTTATCTCCTGCATACCCCCTGAACAATTCCTTTCAAATAGAGTCATACAAGGTCATATAAGGTCATATAAGGTCATATAAGGACATATAAGGTCATATAAGGTCATGTAAGAGACAACCAGCCTGAGTTGGCTTCTCTCTCGCACAATATTGATTTCAATGAAATATGAGAAATATGAGAAAATATGAGAAAATATGAGAAATTATTCAAAATTCTATTAATTTTACTGAATTAATTTTGAATGACATTCCTCGGAGAATTGAGAGTCTGATCATGACAAAAAGATGAACAGAAAATTTCATAGATGTACGGATCGAAAGTAACACGAGAGGAAAAAAGTCGCATTGATTGGTTCCTTGTTTATGACCAATAAGCAATCGCTTACCTGGCATCTAGCTAAAGAGTCCACGTGAAAAGAATATTTCTGCCTACACAATCAAAATTTGTTGTCATCTATCGAACTATAAGAATGCGCTACCTGATCAAGTTTAACTCCGACCAGAGACTTTCTAGCTTCACCGATTTTTATCAGATCAAGGTCACCAGACGGAGTGGTGAAGCCGGGTGTAACTGAGCCAGGAGTCATCGCACCAGGGAAAGGCGTTGTGAGTCCACCGAACATCTAAAAAAACATGGAATAAATCATTTTTGAAGATTATGTTCGGTAATCACAAAAGGAAGATAACTTGACAAAAACAGAAAAATCATGGATAGATTCTGAAAACATCATCAGAAAACTTACCTGTTCTTTTGATGATAAAGTTGTTCCTGTGGCTCCAGCAATCAACGCAGATCTTAATACGCTGTCAGGAACTGGTGTAAATCTGAATGCAGAAGGCATAAAAATGTTAGATTGGTATATGCAATTGACACTATGACATGATGATTAAACCTGGATTTAAAGCAGTCTCAAAAGCTAGGACACTGCTCAACGTAGCCTGAAATTCAAAAGAAATGTATCATGAAAATTTCTGCAAAAAACACCAATACCGACGTGCAGCTATATAGACAGTAACAGCATTCTGGATAAACAAGTTTCTAAATTCTACACCTTCTTCGACATTTCTTCAAGGCATATACTACAAATGCCGTTTATTTCAATTGTTTTCTTTTGTGATTGCTATTACCGTATCATTTAGAGTAAACGCCCCCATATTTTGCTATTACTGTATCATCGAAAAAATGCCCTCTTGATGATGTTAAAGTGCCTAAACCACCACTCCCTTTTTCAACCACCCCCCTTGATGGAAAGATTATTTATCGAAAAGGCAATTATCAAGCTATCTCTAATAAAGTTTGTTACGAACAGAGCATGATTTTTGAATTAATACAATATACATTAATTTATCCTGAAAGAAATTGAAGAAATCTTCAATTTTTAAAAAATGGATTTACAAAAATACTTTCCAAGCAGTTTAATAGAACACATAGCCCCGATCATATGGCAAAATCAACATGGCGAAATGAACACGGCAAATGAAAGGAATAATAATAAAAATGATGACTTATGAAGCAAATAAAATGAAGTATGGTATAGGGAAATGTCCTGGCAATGAAGCGAGCATTGAAAGACCAGAGGTACAGTGGACAGGCCCAGAAACATACTTCTCTGATCTTGGGTTTCTCTGCTTTTTGTTTCTGGCATCGCCAACATCAGGAATTGAGGACCATTCATCTGCACTTATGTCCGACAGTTTTCTCTGTAAACAACGTAAATATAAGTTATTGTGTACTGTTAACAGATCTGCTTCAACTGAGCTTGTGACAGAGGGTATAAAAGCCGTCACCCCCCTTTAAACGAGCACAAAAGTAGAGTTCTGCCAAATGCAAGCGCAAGTTTTAACGGAGGACTGCTGCAAAGGGAACAGTTGGAACAAAAAGTTAGAACAGTAATAACACTTGTTTCTGGATCGCAATTTGAAATGCTAACTGCATTACCTAAAACATGTCTGTGTTCTGCTACACTACTTCCGTTTTTCGTTAAAATATCACAAAATTGCATTATGCATTTTTAATATGCTTATAGTTTTCTCACAATGCTACTAACTTCACCTAAATAAAGATTATGGAGAAATTTTGATGGGGAAAATAGCAACTGTGGAGATGAAAATGCAAAGATTCTCTTTAGGAAAGGGCAGGCTCGTTTGGGAACTGGGAAAGAAGTTATGGAAAAGGATGTTGCCGTGGTCATAACATGTGGTGAGAAGAGGGAAGATGTTTGTGGAAAAGAGGTAACGTAAGATGGAGGTGTAGAAAGGGAAGACCTACAAGAAGATAGCAAGATTGCATCGATGAAGCCCTGAGGATGACAGGGAAACGAAAAGAAGATACCCTTGATAGCGTGGAGTGGAGAAAAATTATCTGCACAGTGAGCCCACATAGCTACCAATTTCACCCAGAATGAACTACAAAACGGTTTCCAGAAGTATTTCTTTACCTTCTACACTCTGTATTCACAACACGATATCGACTTTTCGCACTGTCTCAATTCATATTTCTTTATTCTCTCTTTTATTACGTTCCCTTACCTCCTTTTCACTCCCCTGCAATTCAAATCGGATCAGGTAATCGATTTACACTGCCAACCTTTTTTCTTCATTTCTTCTACTAGCTCTCAGCTCAGTCATTTGCCCCCCCCCCCCTTTACAAGTTATTAGCGTACACCTTAGATATAAGAATGAGATATGGAACAATACCTTTAGATCTGAAAACTGCTGTTGGATTTTTGGCCTTTCTTGTCGATACTTTTCGATTTCTTCTTTAAGAAGTCGTTCTCTGTAAGGACATAAAAGTTTCTCATTAAAATCAGAACGAAAGAAACTACAGAAATTTTGCAGCACAAACCTTCTCTTAGAAATTTTGCGACGATACATGTAGAATTGACGGCGATCGTGGCACAATCCAACTAGACATGCTACATATTAATGATACATATATTGGAGAGCATTTGGTGTCCAACAAAATTCCCTATTTATCAAACCATCCAAACTTTGCGCAGCTCCCTTTTATCAAGCCATTTAAACACTGCTTAGCTTTTACTGATTTACGTGTTTTTATTGTTGTTTATTCTCGGCGTATTGCGGTGTTTCATATTTGCTACATTTTTATCGACTTTTCGCCGCAAGAACTCCTTGGTGCCCATCGAGCAGCCTGCTACAGTGGCCTTTTCTTCATTCACACATTTAAACAATGTCGTCACAAAACAGGAGAGTTCGCTGTTCATACCGTCTAAGCTTTCTCCTTTCGTCCATCCTCTTGTCGATGCTATCATACACAGCATCAGCCTCGTCATCATCTTTGTCGTAGTTCCCAGTCGCAAACAAACTGCCTCCATACCCAGCAAACTAATAGGAAAAAGGTAAAAACATTACACTTAATGCTACACAAATGCAATAAGTTAATATTCGGTTAATGAACTGGAATTATTATAGGAAGCTGTGCAGCCGCAGACCAACCAACTAGCAGTTTCTCCGCTAACAATCGAAATGACCGATAAAGCCAGTCAAGATGTGGAGACCCAAGAAATCCCAGAAATAGAGGAAGACCAACTCAGCGAGGTAACTTCTCGAAAAATTAAAGTGAGGGGTTATGACTGGGAGAAATTTCACCCTGTAAAAACCCCTCACTGCTCGCCAACTAATTAATTTTTTTAAAATTTCCATTACTGTCAGGGGCATCGGCAAAGGGTGGGGGGTAAGGGGCACGGTACCCTCCAAAACTTTGTCCGTCGGCACATAACGGATGTTTGCCAAGCAAAAGAAGACATTTTTTCTCACCCTGTAATCTTTTTGGAACAATTGCTTTGTTTTTCAGGAAATGCTAAAAAACCTCCCTTTTTCAATACAGTCCAGATCGCTGCGCAAGAATCATTTATTATTTTGCCTATCGTAGTAGAACTTGCTCCAATTGTCCTGTAACTTATAACTTGCTCCAATTGTTGACTGTGCATCGCCAGTAACAAGGTACTTGAGAGTGACCATCAACCTTGCGCTTGGACCAATCGGATCTCTCACTTTTGTACAATGTTTAAAGAGCAACCCTGGTTAAAAATTGTTCGTACGTACTTGCTGACATTCTGAAGCATTGGAAAAAATACTCTGCGTCGTGCAGCATCATTTCATTGACGAGTAAATAAAACTCCTCCTTTTCCTCGCGCTCCCGATACATACGTCGAACCCAACCCAGAATCTCTTTTTATTCCGTTTTATTTTTCGCAATTTACGAATTTCCAACAATTTGGTTATAATAATCTTTCTAGCAATAGAAACTCGCAACTAATTCTGTTTTGAAAATGCCGCCATTTTAAATGATTTTGGCGCCTTGTACCTTCGAAAAAAAATCGAGTCGAAAAAGGCGAATATATTCGATTCGCGTGAAAGAATTCGCCTAGTGGAAATCAGCCTTTAGGAAACAAAATTCTCTTCCAATCTTATTACAAGAATCTTATCAGTTTGGAAACATGGCAATTCATCAATGACACATGAAGAGCCAAAAATCAAACTTGTGTCAAGATTGTCATTATGATAGTTCATGTTGACATTTGGGCAAATCATAATTTCGAATCAGAATCAGAAATGATAGACCATAGGATAACAAGATTTGTTTCTGTCATTTGTTTCACGGCAGTTTCATGTGATGTATTTTATACCATAATTGGCTTGTTTTTTATCTTGATCGTCAGATCCGACAGCCAGATAACACTGATGGCTGAAGAAACGCATGTTTGGTCTAGCAAGAGCGAGGCGTCAGATTAGCAGAGAGAGAAAGACTGTTTTGGAAAACAAGAAAACAAAAAGCAACAGAAACCAACGAAAGCTGATGCCAAGAAAGCAACACGAAAAACATTCTAAGACACATCTGGCAAAATACCAAGAAAGCACCACGAAAAACATTCTAAGACACATCTGGCAATGATATCAGGGTTGCAACATCTGTTTTGTATTCTCTCCAGGAAACAACAATACAAACATAACATTAAACGACTGACATGCAATACTCATCATTCGCAAGAACAAATATTCGACTTTTTGGTGCAAACGGCTGGAGAAAATCTCATAAATATTTAGACTAAGGGGATGAAACTGGTAGCGTATTTGCTACAATAAAACTGGTGCCTTTATGTCAAAAAAAAGAAAAATATTAATAAAAATATTGATGCTTGCTAGAAGTTGAAATATCCATATAAAATCTTTGGGGTAGCTGGAAACTAAATGTATCAATGGATGTACCATTCGTAAACAGATTTAAAAATGATAATTTTTTCAAGCCAGAAAGCATGCTAGAAAATCTGTAGGATGAGAACACGCTTTTCCGCATTAACCAAATACGCAATCGCTCAACAAATATCAAAGAAACGATTTTGTACTAAAAAACCACCAAAAAACAACTTCTTTCTCCTGCTCCTTAATGCCAGTTTCTTGAAAAGAATATGACTAAAACTATGGCGGCTACATCGCCCTAAAGGAAAACTATAACGAAAACTAACGACATTGCAGTGTCCCACAAACGTAAAAAAACTTTTAATTCTCTCTTCAGAATCGTCTGCTTCTCTTTCAGTGACTTTCATTCTACAAAGGCGTATTAGCGTTACATAAAACTGATTACCTCGTCATAGTTAGAATCATTGAGATCCTCATTTTCGTCATCATCGTCGTCTTTCTTCCTTTTCAATGCTTCAAGATGCCTCTCGTCTCTGTTTCAGACGGGGGAAAATCTTAAGATCAATTTACATGTAGAAATACAGCTCTAAAACTTGCAGGATTTTTTTTAATTTAGGCGCGTCTGGCCTAAATTAATCGCAACGAGAAGTGCCAGACAAAATATTTTTCTTGTGATAGCAGGGATTGCAAAAAATAACTTAAAAAGAAATAAATTCGATCAAGAATACACCTTTAAGTAATATATATAATGAGAGTTGTCTGTTTATAAATATCTTAAAATGGCAATAAACCTAATAAGGTTAAGGTAACAAAACGAGAACAGTTGTTGATGTTGAAATCGCCCTTTGATCCTCCTTATTAAAACTTTTCTGAATTGCCAAGGAAAGATTGTTGAGGCTTTTATTGGCAATTTGCAATAAAACAAAATTATTGAGAACCTCTTGGAGTTGAAATCGCTGCAGTCCAGATAACTGATACTGGAAACCATAGCGTTACATAAATCAATACACTATTATATTTCTTTGCTATTAAATTTTTAGTATCTTTAGACTCCGTCTACCGAAATTCTACATATTGATAAAATAGTAAGAAAGGAAACTAAGGATGAATCTAAAAAAGCATTGATGCATTTTTGATTTTCTAATAAACTATGCTTAAACAAACTTCTTTTCCAAAATAACTTTTTCAAACGAAATTCGCCAGACAAAACTTCTCAAATTATCCATTCATACAAAAAAATGATTGCTTATTTAAAAACCTTAGTTCGTTTATATTAAGACGCAATAAGAAGGAAGAAGTACGAATTGTACGAACATTACGTATGTTTTCAAATGAAATTAAACGAATAATAAGAGGTAGGAATATTTCATTCAACTTTGAATAATTTTTGCTTCAAGAAAAACCGTTTTGTTCAAATTTCTACGCGAATACATCTTATCCACATTGCGAAACACTACAAGAATAATTTACTTACGGAACATCTGTCGAGTCTCTTGCAGGCCCAATATCAGACCGTGTTGTGAAACCTGTCGCACTGAAAAAAAACAATGGCTTGTTACCGATTATAAAATATAATCATATTTTTGACCTGTTTCTTTTAATTAAACTACATCAAGACAAAACATTTAAAAATTATTTGCATTGAAATGCCGAATTAAATTGACAGGGTTCGTTTTTAATACACGAATACAGCCAAGGTATACAAAACATGCGTTAAATTTGAATGCAGACGTTGGCTGGATTTGTAAAAAGATGTCCAATAATTTCATCCAGGGACTTTTTATAAAAGCTGTTTTTATGCTTCACATAAAGCAAATTATAAGTGGTCACAACAGTCTCTAATAAATTTTACATTTACATGGCATGCTTTTCCAAAAGATACACATTCTGTGTATTGAATGTTGATAAACATATAACAGAGAAAAAGACAACATTCTGCATGCTATTCTTGTTGTCAAGTATGTATCATTTTTTCTGGATTGATATCACAAAACGTTTGTCTGTATGTCTAGTTGGACCAAATTTAAGTCACAATTGATCTTACTATTCTAAAAGTCAATTACTTTTTGCCAAGGAATGAACCTAATAAGAAAGCGGGTTGTTTTTAAATCCACAGCTTCATATACAAACATATCTAAACACAAATAGAAATTAAGGAGCCATAAATCACAAATTTGAAATGCAAGAGCATCATGGAGCTAATACATTAGGTCTGCTTTAAAAACACTAAGCACATTTCATCTATTTGCATAATTTTAACATATTATTTAATTTTCATAACAAATTATAAAATTATGAATATAATCTATACATGATTTAGCAGTTTTAATTTTCTCATGAAAGATTAACACTATGAACCAGCCACTTTGTGAAACAGTATTCTATCTACACTTTTGTAACACCTTGAGGGAAATTTATTAAACAAAGCTATTATATCTAATTGGAAATTTGTGGTTTGATTGCATTGGCCAATTCAAGGAGATTGGATCTCTGTCTGAAAAAGTATTCATGATCAATATGTTCAATGGTGAAAAACCACTATTTCGGCATCTTAGCATTTCTCTGGTGAAGTTGTTCAGATATTGAATCCTTTATGGGGTTCATTGTCCCAGAAATAACACATAGCCCAGTTGAAACACTTCTTGATGCGAAAAAGCAAAAATAATATGCAGGATTACTTAGTTTGAGAGTTGTAACTTGTTATTTTAAACTAGCATGAAAAAGCAGCTTTAAGCTACTTGACAAACTGTGTTGTTTAAGTAGCGTCCTAGGTCTTCCAAGAGATATGATTTCAAAGAATAATTGGGAGCTGTCATCTGTCTTTTAATTCTGAGAAACAAAACACGAGCAACGATTCAAACTATGCAGCATGTGCTTGGAAGGACCTAGTCCAGGCTAGATAAAAATGCTACCTAGAAGATCTACAATGATATCTAAATAATTGTGCTTACCCTCTGCCAAGGCCAGGTACATAACCCAGTGGTGCTGGAACCCCAATGAATGCTTTCTTTTTGTTCAACATACTAAATTTTATTGCCTAAGAACAAAACAATCAAAAGTTAAACACAAAAGAAAATAAAACTTTTCCAACCCAACTGAAGAAGATAATTTTTATTTCCATAAAAATAATTCAAATATAATTGAGATTAGGCTACACATAAATATGGAGAATAAATGACTTCTTGGTTGTTTATGTTGCAGTTTTTGATCTATTTTGATTCAATAATTAAATGCCTAACAACATACAGCAGGGCCTTACAAATTATCAAAAACTTTAAAGGTTCATTTAGAGACCAATTAAAACTTTACTCTAATATGGTTGGTCCTTTCTATGATTCTTCAATGGCCTTAATGTTGCAAAGGCTGCATGGATAAAACTTCTGATGCACCAAAAGTCATACTTGCCCTAAGAATGCAATGTTGTAGCAGCCCCTCCCCCAGAATTAGAACTCAACTTCTACTACAAGTGGCTGAAATAATGTGGGCAAGTTGTGGCCATGCTGGCAATCAAAACGCTGTTCCTAGGGTGGGCCAGAATCCCCCAAAACCATATCACCCTAAATTTTGAAAATATTCAACTGTTTTTTCACATCAAGAGGTATTTAATGCTGAAGGCAAGATATTTGATATTCAAGTAAATTTTTTGAAAAGCAACCCTCAACTAATTTCCAAACGAGCATACAAGAAAAACTGCCTACACAATGTGGCACATGTACAACAGCATAGCTTATTTGGTACCAAATGTGCAAATCTTTATTTGCCATTAGATGTTGGGTCAGGACTACGATGACCAAAATAATGTAGAAGGCAAACCTCAATATCAGGATGAAAAATTTCTAGCGAAATAACACAAATTGGAATGCTTCCACGGCTACCGCCCTTCTAACAGCGAGGAATCTTCAAAACCATAAATCATTTTTTAACGAGACAGCTCAAACAATCTACTGTCCGATGTCTACTAAGATGATGGCTTTGAGGGACTTTATGGCGTTTTCATTACCCTTCTAAGCCAAATTTCAGAAATTTGGCTTTTTCAGAACATGTTTGGCTTAGAGCTAGAATTTGGCTTAATTTGGCTTTTTCAGAACGTTTTTCAAATAAAAACATGATTTTACCAAAACAAGGTCCTTGTCATTAAATAAAACATGTGAATATTTAGTATAAACATCATATTTCTATCATCATGATGTAATTTTTATACATATGATGTAATTGTCTGCATTGTAACTAACATTGCTTCCTCAGCGAACTCGCATTTGTAAAAAACCCAATGCAATTATTTAGAAAACACCAGGTGCAATATGTTTATGGCAGGATTTTGAGGTCAATAGAGCGACACAAAACAGATTCGCTTCATTTTTGTCTTTAAACATGTCATTCCTAAAGCCTCATATTTCCATCTTTAAAACCAACAAAGTAATAGTGTAAACCAAATGAGTGTAGCCAGAAAGTTTATTGCTAGAGAGGTTTAGCGGTATGTGTAGATTAACAGAATTCTGTTAAGTTTATAAAATCTTTTCATAGGGATAATGATGAATAATAATATGCTAAATGTGCTTTGTTTTTCTCAGTCTCTCAGTCTCTTTTTCAATTATTAGTGATATTTATTGTTCTATAGCCTTGTTTTAAAATTTGGCCCTTTTGGCTTTATTTCATTACCTATTTGGCTTAGAAGGTTTTTGGGACCTGGCGACCCTTACCCTGAAAACTGCCTTTTTTAGAATGGAAATTTATGTCGTCAAAATTTAAACTATCATAGTTCCGCTAAAGAGTAAGCGACAAACATCACCTTGAATTTATGTTTGTCAGCTGATAGGTTGTTTTGCATGAGGAGGCTGATAGATTATCTAAATAAACCTATCTGGACCAAAAACTGATCTAAATAACTACAGGCCAATACGGTCGATCATGGTGTATTACTAAAAATATTGCATGCATACAGAATAAGAGGCAAAGCTGGTAGTTGGTTTGAATCCTACGTAAATAATGGTAGGCAGGTTTGTTCTCTGAATGGTCAGCATTCAAAAGCCAGAAATATAACCTGTGGTATTTCCCAAGGTTCTTCTTTGGGCCCTCTTCTATTCGTAATTTACTTGAATGACTTGGAAAAGTGTCTTAAGTTCTCCAGTGCTAGCATCAATGTTGAAGTCACCAATATAATGATTGCATCGGATGATATAGCGAAACTAGTTAAGGAGGCACATCATGAGCTTTCAAATCTCTCTGAGTGGATGAGGGTGAATAAACTTAGCCCCAAACCCAAAAAACCAAATTCATGATAACGGGACACCCATTTAAAACTAAAAATCTTGACCTTCCAGAAATGCTGAAACTAAATTACTGTGACATAAAAAGAGAAAATAAGGCAAAATCCCTTGGAGTGATAATTGATGAAAAACTAAATTGGGATAAAGGGGTTTAGGCGCACCAAAGGCAAAATGAGTGGAGGTCTTGCAGCTTCAACAATCGCAACTGTGTAATGTATACTATGCACTAATTGAGAATCATCTTTGTTATGCTGATGTTATCTGGGGTCAGTCTATTAAAAATAAAAATAGCTGCTCTTTAATGCCTTTACGATAGGGGGTGTTCAGTAATACCAATTTCAAGAATAAAAGACAGTTGGTCAGCTTCCTGGTTAAATGTAGAAAATCTTTTCCGTTATGATCAGAATGTCATGACCTATAAGATAATGAACATACTGCGCCCTGAAAGCCTAAGGGGTAAATACCAGCCGAGCTTTTTCCACTCGACCTATAATATGAGACACTGTAAAGATCTCCATATATATCTAGATATAGGACTGTGTTTGCCAAAAAAGGCTTTCATTATGTAGCTCTAGAATCTTTGAATGACACACCTGCTGAAATTTGTGAAATATCAACACTGGATCGTTTCAAAAAACAACTTAAAACGTATCTAAAGAGCTGACACCAAAACACAACATCATGGAAGAACAGCAATAGGTAGGTAAGATTTGTAGGTCTTAAAATCTTTAATTATTAGACTTGTTATCAATGTAATTGGATTCTTAATTAAATCTTTTTTATGTTGCTTAGATTTTAATTTGCTGAAGGGCTAATTTGTACATAAATATATTCAAATGAAAAATCTCTGAAATCTGTCTATTTTTATTGAAATACCAAGTTTTTTATTGTTGAAATATGAAAAAGTGCAAAAAGGGTGATTTCATGGATGAAGTCTAAATATTGCTGATGTGGCAAAATCCTTGATCACTTGGATAACCTCCTTAGATTCATTTCGAATCACTTTAAATTAACGCCGTGGATATTGTTCCGGCACCGGATCTCATTACATTTTCGCTATTCATCCGGCATGCATGCGCATCGACTATTTGCGCATGTACACACTCTGACGCCTGCAATCAGAGGCAAATGAAACAAAGGCAAATCGCGAATTTTAGATGACTTTTAGTTGTTCTTTTCTTTTAAATATTATCTGACAAAAATTCTGTCGAAAAAATTCAAACAAAATAATTTGAACATTAGTGTTTTGTTGGTGAATATCAAAGCAAAAGACCTTGGCCTAAATGCTACGTAATTTCTATTAAGCAGTGTTGCTGGGGAAATGCTCTTCAATAAAGATATCTGACAAACATGCCGGATAACACAAACATGCGCCAATAGTCGATGCGCATGCATGCCGGATGAATAGCGAAAATGTAACGAGATCCGGTGCCGGAACAATAACCACGGCGTTAAATTAACTATGATGCAATTGTGTTTCCAAAGGCTTCCTGCCTTGAACTATGCATGTTGATACTGGTTCTTGGTTTTACTCTGATTTATGTTTATCTCGTGTCAAACGACAATGTGTTTTGCTAATATCTCTATGTTCGACTCGTTTACACTGAGTTGGGGGTAAACAATGATGGCCGACAGTTGATCGATGGTACGAGTGAAACGTAATTTTGTTATAACTTTGCAAAACATTAACCTATAAACCTATAGATGGTCTGATATTAATGTAAACATCGAATGTTATCGTTTGGTATATAGTTTACCTATATAAGACCTATAGATCCTGAGAGATACGTTACTGCATTAGCGCCCATCAGTCCAAATTCTTGATGGAACTTCCAGCAGCTCATGAGCAGCTCGCCGCGCCAGCACAACTTTGAAAGTGTGGAACGAAACAATGAATGCATGCACAAAAAGGTTTAAAACTTTCTTGACACCCGATCTCTTGGCAATAATTGATATACGTATTCTCCATAAAGGGTTTGCACATTTTGCATACTCGCACGACAAATGAAATTGGTAAGTGTTGTGTAGGCCTATCCTAAATAAAATCTACACCAGACACATGGTTAAGGACAATTCGCCAAAATTTATCTATTACATTTTCTATACCCATAATTTGTAGGCATACATTTAAAACTCACCTTATCTAGCCTTTCTATACAGAAGAAGTACTCCAAATGTTAATGGCAGTAGTCTAATACTTAGGCCCTAAAAGTAAATGGCAGACTCTTAGCTTGAATGTTGATTGCCAATCGAGGCTACCATGTTCATGACGAGGTTCTCGTGGCATTACTTCTTTTTTATTGTTGTTATTGTTAATTAATAAACTGTAGGACATATAAAAATAGCTTGTAGATAATCAACCCATATGACTTATAAAAATAGCACACGCAATGATGATTAATAAAATTTCGTCTCAGAAATCATCACCAAGAAATGCCTCGTATTTTGAAAAATTACTAAACGCCAAAGAAAATAAATGCGTTATGTAAAAAAACTATAGAGGCAGGATCTCATCGAGAGAAATGCAAGTTTTTTTGGAATGAAACATAACTTTCAGCAACGCCTCACTCTCATGTATTAATTGACTAAGCGTGATATCAACATGTGTAAGAAGGACTCTGGTAACTTAACCATAAATGTTTAGAATATATCATATTAGAGAGGCATCATACACAATTGTTTCTCGCTCTGGTTGGTTGTTTTCCCGCATTCTCTACGGACAATTGTTTCTCCAGAAACAAAAAAATGAATATCTTTAGGTGCTAGGGGACCCTCTTATCGGTGCTTCATGCCTTCAGAGGGGTTGGCACCAAAGGATCGTTGCCGGGCAAAAGAAGAAATTTTTTTCTTCCCCTGTAATATTTTTGCAACTATTGCAACGTATTAACATTTCTGTAGTGGTTCAACTTTCAAAGTATGTCGCCAAAGTATGATCTTTGAAACAGTAACGCATAAAAGCAGCATATAAGATAATTTATCTTATGACCACACCTTTAAAGAATGAGATACGCCCTTTTTGTCGGCAAGAATCGTTTCTGTACCCCTCCGAAAATGTTTTTTGTATTCGCCCCCGCACGCCTTGATTCTGGTATAAAAAGTAGCATAGTCATCTATATGAGACCTATTCTAAGAAACTCTTCTGGCCCTGTTTTGGAAATTAAGAAAAAATAACGGAATTAAAAAATCAATTTTAGAAAAGTCCAAAATGCTCTCAAAAAACTTACAGTCAAAAAATTGCTCTATCGGTAACTCTGGAACCTTGATTCAAGCTCTGAATCAAATTGAACAGGGCCTGTAATTCTTTGAAAATTGCCCCTGGCATTTGCTTTCATTCCTCTCGAAATCACATGTTTCGTAATCTTGCTCTATTTTCTTTGGCCTCTGCTCCAACCGTTTGAACCAGGTGTTGTGTTATTCTAAACAGCAATCTTGCAGAATTGATTGCAGAATTGAAAGTGGTGTGCTTATACCAACATCGTTTCAAATTCAGAGAAGATATGCAAGGCTCTTTTAGAAATTTGGGGATTCTGAGAAACTAAATGTAAAACACGATTTAACAGAGATGTGACTGATAGGATTTTTGCATGGGATATGAAACCTCTAGTTTTTCAGTGAATTTAATTATTTTCCATTTAATTTTTCAACTGGTTTGCAATGTTGTTGGCTTGTCAGTGAAATCATCTTACGGCAGGTTTTCTCCCCCTGTACTGTTGTTGGCAAAATTTACATTCCATAACTCTACATTTCCTAGTTTGGGGTCGAGGTAAGGTACGCCAATCGTTGTGAAGCAGAGGTCTTGCTAATGGGTTATTTGAATATCGTGTCGAAATATGGAAATGTGACGTAATAAGTAGCTTGTTCCATTGCAATACAATCTGCTATTTTAAAGTCTCTTTAATTCTGGTTTCAGGTCATTGGGTGAGTAGTTCATAGGAAAGGCGAAAAAAATAAGATTTTCTGACAAAAAACTAAAAAAGCATTTTACTTTTTTAAAATTTGATCAGAGAATAACGACATAAGAAACTTAAATAAAACAAGACAAAAAGTCTAATCATTTACTCAAAGTCAAGTGTCATGAATCTTACTCCTTTAAGATTTCTGATCTTCTCCTCTAAAAAATGCATTTTTAAGCACCATCCCTTATTGAAAGAGATTGCCAATCTGATTCAGAACAACCAAATAAATCGTTATATTCAGGTAAAAATCTGTTCTCTCAAATGTAAGAATTACCTAAAAATTAAAAGCCCTGCTATATTTCCGACCAGACCAGAAATGTTGTTCCGACAAAGTGTCTGTTTAGCATTACCGGGGTGTTTTTCGCCCCCTCTAATACCCGTCTATCTACGCCACTGTAAGAAGCAGTTACTTATGAGCACTTGTTACTTTGCTAGCCTAACCACTTATTGACTATTTTCCAATCTATTAACGAACAACCAATATGCTTTAGGATTTAATGTCGTAGGATGACAATTAATGATAGACTATTGACGATCGTTCATCAGCTGGAAAACAATATCCTGATATCGAGTGACTTACTGGCTTTCAAGTCAAGAGACATATTCAAAATAAGTGATATTGTATGTTGTGCAAGTGTACATTGAAGGTCCATAAAAAAAGTATTCACCGTGACTAGGTTTTAACATTTTACAAAGTCTAACCTGACTTTGGAATGTCTTAAAACCCGATTTAATTACGTGCATTTGTTAATCTTTGTAACATTCATACAGTTAAAAATGTGGTTAACGTGAAAAGAAATTCTATTGTTTTTTGTAGGAACTGCTTTTGTACTTGGTTGTTGATGTATTCTCGCTTGTCATAAAGGCCGATCGATGCTCAAAATGAGATTCTACAATGCGAATACTAGGGAGAGGAAAATGGCCGGAAAATGCGGTGGACGGCACAGGAGGTCTTGTGGATATCACCGCGAAAAGCTGCGCGCCAACGCAGCACCTGCTTCATATGATGTATTGTCTGTGGTTGCATTCTCCTGCCTTATTAGCGTGAACCTAAACACGGGATAAGATCACGATCGGCGTTAAAACACAATCGAATTGTTTAATCTGGTTTGTTAAGGCCTACTGGTTATGGTCAAGCAATTACAATAGACGGGATCGGCCGGTAAGCAGAAGAAATTTTTCGCCAAACATTTTACATGTATATAAACGTTGTAAGCTCGAAGTTAGAAGAGCATTCACAATGGAAGCACTCACCAGCTACGAATCTTACGATATCTCCGAGGAGGAAGTTATGAAACAGTTAAATTCAGATCTGATAAAGGAGTCAGAAATTTTAGATGAGGAGGAGTTAATTTGGCAGCCACCTGAGTTTGAGGAAGATATTGAGGGTAGGCCGGGTTTTTCAAATGAATTGCACGCTGATGAAGAAATAAATGCGCTAAAAGTGAAAAGAAATGAGAACAATGAAACAAAGGAGCCTACTAAAGCAGATGTTTGTGAAAGTACATTGACTGCAACCGAAGGCTATAGCATTAAAGTTGAGGTTCAGAATACTGGAAGCCCAGTGGATAGAGCGGCAAATTCTTTACTGAGAAGGACGATATCGGAGCTGGAAAGGGCTTTGAACGATACAAACAAGCTGCTACTTGTAAGAGACACGGAGAACAGTAAAGTACGGGCACAGTTGATGCTTATTGAGAAAAAATACGAAGAGGAGTTGGAGAGACGAAAAGCATTGGAGTTTGCAGATGAGGAAAAAGGTCAGATTATCACGTCACTCGAAGAGCGTTTGAAAAATGAGAAAAAAGAAGTAGAGAGCCTTAAGTTATGGATTGAAAACAATAAAGATGAGAATACAATGAATTTTGTCAAAGAGACTATATGTGCAACGCCTGAGGAAATTGACAAGATACGCGAAATAAATATTGAACAGGAAAAGAAGATCCTCGAATTGAAAATGAGGTTACGCGAATCAGAAATTGCAAGAGAAAAAGAGAAAATTAAGCTCGAAGACTCTAAACAGAGACTGCCAAGTATTTCAAGCAACGACAAGACAAAATGTAAAAACGTTCAGAAGGAGCAAAACCTGCAAATGAAATTACGAATGAAGTTCATGCGAGATGCTTTTTTCTATTTCATGATAGACTATCATGCGGAGGAGCAATTACGAGCAATACTCGCGATCTTAGAATACGAGGATAGAAGACAGGACATCATATTCGAGGCACATAAAATGCGACAGGAGGGTCGTAAATTCTCGGTTTCGCAAGTTTCGAGTAGAAAGTTTACATTTGTGCAGGAGGAGCATCGGTAGTTAATGTCGATGAAATTCCACATTGAGTCCTCGAGATTGAATTCTCGGTATTAGAATCCAGAATATGAATACTCATAGCAAAATCAACTCTTGGATCTATCTTAAATTTTTTAAATTGTTTAAATAATCGACGGGCCTTATTTTGACAATACTGAGTCAGAGGGCCTACTAGAATTCCTTTACGTCTATTCAGAGAACTTTTTAAACATTCTGACTTAACGGAAGCTGCTACTAGCATTTCCTTGCGGTGGATTATTATCCCCTTTTTCAAAAAGCAAAAGCTCGATCTCCCCAGCATGAGCCCCTTGAAGAGCAATGTTAGAGAAGTCACTCAAAATTTGAGGAAAAAGTAGTCTGTTAGACCCTCTTTGGAGAGCCAACACTATCTTTTTATTTACTAAAAACCCAAAAAGCAATAAACATCTCCTTCAAAACAATAACGTCTTTCAAAAAGAGGCTCAATTAAAATGGTTTGGAAAATATATTTAAACGTCTTTGACTCTAGATTTAAGTGTGTGTTTCAATATTAGCGTCAGAAGCTTTGTTTCGTTTAGGGCGCTTTTGGTCTTAGCAGCATGAGCATCGTGAGGTATGCTATTTTGATACTCTGTACTCTACGGCAAGCTTCAAAAGGTTTTAGAGAATAAAAACAATTTTTCTAGGAAATGCAATTAAATTTGCTTCAATGCAATAAATCTGCGTGATATTTGTATTCGTATAATGTTCAAACATCGCTAATTTCAAACAGTAACATCTAATTTCACTTACGCAATTTTAACTTGCTTAGAATGTCATAACTTAAGTTAGCAGTTCGGCAAACCCAATTTCGCTGAAGTGACATAGGTTCCAGAATAGAAAACTCAAAGTAAACAGAAAGCTCCCCCCCCCTTCCTTACTTCACTAACGTACAATTGAAGAAACATTTGAAAAAAATTAGATTGAGTGAGATTGCGAGTCAGTATGAATTAGCTAACGTATTTCGACCAAGAATGAATAAATGCCATTAATACGTTGCTAAGTTATACTTTTGTGTAAAATGTTGATATTATATTTGCTCGTGTAAGTGTACATGAATTCTGTAATCATCTTTCAGGCCTCTGTCGCTTGGAGCCATTCAAAACATATTTGAAAAAGTAAACCAGAAAACCAATGCGGTGTACTCTCCATGCTTTAGTATTGTTCTTAATTCATAAACGGAAAAACCGTCAAACAAAATTAAAATTTTTTTTGCCTCTGGATGTTATGATCCCTGAATGGCTGCTTTTTTAGTATCTTCCGACAAAGATTCTTGATAGAAAGAAACATCAGCTTCCTAAGACCGCCCTAAGATGTACTTATGATTCACTTCAGTCAATAGAAAATACAACGTATTTACTCCTTATTCTATCAAAGATCGTTTCAATCTGCAAACTACGCAATGAGATTTAAAAACAGCTAATCTAAAAGAGGCAGAATTAAGAGTGGACACTCTTTTGTTTTGGAAAAAGTGGTAATCGCCACCGAGTTAGAAAAATTAATATATATGAATATATGGTGAAAATCAAAGATTACAGGCCCTTCCAGTAATATCTGAAAAAGTTATATTCGTGAACGTAAGCATTTGAGTTATAAGAAAGGCTCTAGGCGGGTTAAAATAAAATGCAAAGCTTTTTCTTAGAAGGAATATAACAAATACTCCATTTCAACATATCAGTTGATCAATAACTTGATATATTTCTCTGACAAGCTCTGTACCAGGTCCTTAGAGCTTGCTAGCCCATTTGTTACGAGGCAGTCCGTTTCTATCAAAGCCCAGTGTTCGTTTGACAATTTATCCTTATACGCATGATGTAGGATAGTCTAGGGGCAGTGGCGTATCTACGGGGATTAACCGCTGTCGAATACATTGAAACCGCCAATGTCACAACTAAAAAGAAGTCTCGATAAAGTTGCCTCAAAAATTCGATTATGAAGCATTGCTCGTTCTATAATATTGCCAATCACAGATTTTCCAGCATTAATTACAAAGTTGTCGCATCTCTCTTAACCAGAGGAACTACATGCATGGGATTTTTAGCGAAACTTTCAGTGATTGTCAGGGTATTGTATTTTCTTTGTCAAAAAAGCAAATGACGAGGGCAGGATTCTTCGGAGATCCGTAGGTTTTCAGCCTAAAGATGTGAGCTAACTTTCCTCGGAAATTTGACTAAAAATCTCAATGCACAAAAAATACATTAAAATCCCAAAAATATTCATTATGAATCAATGAGAAAAACTGCTAATATAAATTCTAAAACTGACACAGCGAAATTTCAAGTTTGTTATTTATCGTTTTTGAATAAAAAATGTAATGTTTCACTCTATTTAAGAAAACGAATCAATGTTGACGGGACCCTAGACCGAACATGTTGAAAGATTTTGGAAGCTAAGGACAGAAATTCACTATCGTTAAAATGATTTACAACGAAATACAATGCTGTTCAAGTTGCAACGAACAATTCGCTTGAATCCAAAAAAATTTACAGAAAAACTGTTGCAGAGATTGGTAACAGTGACGCCATATAGAACTTTGCTGATGGAGCCTCGTTCTGATATCGAGATAGCCTCGTTCTGATACTGGATAACGTCGTTTTCATTAGAGGTACTTGGCAGCTATCTCCTTTTTATTTTAAACAAAATTCGGCGACAGATGATGCATGCTTAGCCTCGTACAAAATTCATACATGCGCTTGAGTTGCAGGTGTTTCTCTTCTGCCTAATTTCTACTTAGGAATTAGGCAGATGGGTATCTCCTGCACATCAGGTGAAGCGTCAACATTTTAGCGCATGCGTTTACTCAGAGTTTAAGGGCAAGAGGCATGTAACTTGGATTTTTTCAAAACAAAGAGATAAAATAGTTCATAGGCGGAAACAAAGTAAGACGACGACGAGAATCCAAAATTTTGCAAAATAGAATATTAAAATGAATTAAATGTTTAAATAGTTAAACGCTCCGATATAGGGGATAACACATAGGGGGAAAACTTGACTCAGACCTATTAAACCTGCGATTTTGTCAAGTTCAAACGACCAATAACCGAATCAGGCTACGCCATGGGCATTGCAATATTGGTAAGGTGAAAACAGGGTTAAAGAGGAATCTCAGAAATTTCTATTGTGTGTTTCAGGCCTCAAAAACAGCAAAGAGACCGACAAGAGTTCCTTTCTGATTGAGTTTTATTCTGTGGTCCAGCTTATAGTTACATAAGTGCTGAAAGAAGGCAAGAAGGCTCCTACAGAAAACATACAAATGACTAGTGGCTGTTTGTTAAAAAACGTACCATAAGTACCACGAGTGATTGTAAAATTCAAATGGGGAAGGAGATGTTGAAAAATACGCGTGTTTAGATAGAAATTAGCATACAAATAGCAGGTGCTGAGGCTTGGCAAAGAATGAGCACTGATTGAAGACTTGCAGGTTGCGAGTAAAAGGTTTCTGACCCTGTGACCCCTAGGAAAAATCACTTTCAGTTTTCTAACGAAAAATGTTGCTTTGTTTAGTGTGATAATAAAAAAGAGAAATAGCTAATTAGATACGTTCAAGTCCTTGAGTTGAAAAGCTAAAATATTAAAAATATCGCAATGGAGGGAGTGTTTAAAGAAGAAACCAAAGCCATTGAAGGAGGCCAAAGAAATGAAATGATAATGGAAGCAGCGAAAATGTTTCAAGAGCACATGAAAACAACTGCGAAAGATGGATTCTTTTCAAAATTACGAGAAAACAATGCACAGCTGAACTTAAGTAGCATTTGGCAAGGTTCAATTGCAAGTCTAATGTCCTGTGACAATATAACAGACGATTTGGTAAAAGAAGCCATGCAAGAATTGGAAACTGCATTGACTGAAAGTCAGAAGCTATTAAGCGAGAGAGACGAAGAGATTGCAATGCTTAGAGGTGCGTTGGAGAGCACAAAACAACCACAAATTACGGATATAAACAGGCAGGCAGAACTACTTGAAGAACTGGAAAACTCGCAGAAACGAATAATGGAGCTCGAAAATGAATTATCTGAAATACGAAAAAAGGAGCAGAGGAATTTAAGTAAAGCTCAAGCAGCCGTTCTTCAAACGATAAATGTGAGCGATTCGACCTTCCCAGAATGCACTTGTTACTGTGGTTCTGTGTGTAATGCATTAAGAGATGTGGTTGAAGTGAAGAAAAAGCTGGAAATAACAGAGCAAAAATATTCAAATCTGAAGAAGAAGATAAGAGAGAGACGAAAGGCAGAAGCAGAGATGTATCAACAAAGAAACACACATAAACTGACTGTCGCAGATAGATCACCTGGCTGTGTGTTGCAATGAAGCGCTGGGACAATATAATTCAACGCCATGACTTGATCGTGTACTTATCGGCTGTGTAAAATATTTTGATATCGTATATAAACCTCAGTAATGTATCCTGTTAATATACCTCAGTAATGTATTTTGGCATCAAGCATAACCTTTCTTTGGGAAATTAGCTGCGAGGGCAAGATTTTGTTTATATAAAGAGAAGGATAATGGCCTATTACTTGAAATGATGGAAAGTAACTGCGGCTGCAGGGGCAAGCCGGACATGAACAATCCGGAGAGCTACCATGTTTTGCTTGATGTCATATTTCTAGGAGAGCGTTCCCTGACCCTAGGCGACCTATGATTCGTTCATGTAGTCAAAAAACTCCTTGACGTGTATGACACGAGGTTAATCGGATTATCCGAACCAGATCCTTCACCTTCGCCGGGCAATTGCCCATTGCCCCCCTAATTAGCATGCTTAAAAAACTGGTTTCTTTCATGAACTCTAACGAAGCTGTGACAAAAATTGACAGGTGATACAAAAAAACTTTCCGTATCTTGTAAATCAAAATATTGTAGACTACAACATTGTTTTACTTTCCGATTGAGCAAATTAACGTCAATCTCAATCAAATTAAGCTTGCAAACAAGCGGCATGCAGAGATTCAAATATTGGTTCATTATATGTTACAGTAAGGTGAGATGTTATGTTACAGAAAAACATTTTTGATTGAAATGAGGAAGTAGAAGGGAGTTTGTTTATTGAAACAGGTTGAAACTTAATTTTCGCTGCTTTGTTGGTTGCATAAAACAATAACACTAAAAGATACAGTAGACATGTCCGAAAACTTGACACTATTAGCATACATAGACTTTTTAGCAATGTTATTTAATGCAATGTCATGTCAGATGAAACACCTCATCTATGATTTTTCTAAACCCTACCATGATCAAACTGACGATATTCTGAAGATCGAGACAAGCAAAATTTGCCGGAAATTCCTGATCATTTTGTGGAAGCATCAACTATGGTGGAAACAATCAACATTATATGAGAAAATACTTCAATGCAGAATAGTGTCACACAGAATCTAGAATCTTTTCATATAAGAGATTTCAATAATCAATGAAACCCGATTTCGTTGTTTCTATCCTGTTCCTTTGTACCTCCAGAGAGTAATCCATTACATTCACTAATGGTTAAGATTTCCTTTCTTAAATTAAATACTTATCTTTGTAAAATTCGCTTTTAAGCAAACATTTTCATAAAGTGGACACTTTGGATTAAATTATGTCCAAACGAAATATAAATTGCTGATTCAATCTAAAAACATAACAGTATATTTTGTGGTTTGAGATAACTGGAAATAAACAATTCTTTAAATTTCAGTGTCTAAAACTTATGCGAAATTATGAATCTTTCAATTAGTTACAAAATACATAAATATTTTTTGATACCTTTACTGTACAATTATGCAATCAGTATAATTGTATAAAAGAAGAATAGCATTATTGACAATGCTCATTTGTACAAAACAACATACAACAACACAATAGATCACATTTATCTAAAACAAAGTAATTTGCATGCTCTCTGTTGCTTTCTATTACCAAGAACTGTTACAATGTGAATTGAAAGCCAATGGGATGATAACTTCAAACAGAGTCATGTGTCATTGCATTTGTCACTTTCATTCCAAAATAAATTATTGTCAAAAATAAACGTCAAAGAACTAACTTCAGATCTCTGTTTTTGCCAAAAAGTAAAGTTCTGCCAATGCCACAACTGTTCCCACAATTACAGAGAAAAGTATGCGCTATTAAAACAAAAAGAGACTGGAATAATGCATGTGTTTATAAACAAAGTAGCAGAATGGACAAGGAAACATGTCTACCCAGTTAATCCCAAATATATGTAAAAATACTTGTTAAGATTTTATTGAGATTCTTAGACGAATTTAGACCTTGCATGATTAAAATACTTTTAGAGTCAGTCCTTAACAGTTGATATATTATCACAACAATATTGTTGGCTTATAAGCTAACTTACTTGTAATGAAGAATAGCATTCTGAAGAACTTACTTCCAGGTGACAATGGACACATTAAGTGCCTTAGCCTAGAAGTAATAGCACTTCAGCTAATATATCAACATAAGGTATCTCAACAGTAAAGGGATGACTGAAGAAGCAGCTTGAAACTCAAAATTTAAATCATAACATACCATGCCAATTTCATTCCAGGCATATTCTGATGCATAGTAAGCAAAAAATGCACATCCCAAAATGGTTATGATGTAATTCATGACTGACGTCAGCTGTTGAGAAGTTGTCCTCACTACATTTGGAATCAAAGGTTACAGTTTATTACTTCATCAACCAGCTGAAACTACAACAGATTTGCTAATTTGACATCCTTAATATTTAAATCTCTAATTATGATCTCTAATTAGATAATATTTGTGCTGATCAAAGACTCAGATGAAATAACAACTTAACAATAAAGATCATGCCATCTATAAGCAATTGTAATTTATATTTTATTGGTTTTATTCTTGGCTGCTCTGCAGAAGGAGATAATTTTTTCGATAATTTGCAAAGCAAAAAAAGAATGTCAAATCCTGTTGTACCCTGGATAATTTGGACTTCCATAAATACAGACTAATTTCAATTCCCTTTGAATTCTCCTACCTGATGAAGTCAAATGCCATATCCCAGATAAATAAGACATTCACCATGTCAAACCATTTCTTTACCTCCTTCAAGGTCAGACTAAACAGGGTTCAACTGTAAATTGCCCTCCCATCTGTGATGGGCAACAACCTTCTCTGAATTTTGAAGACTTCAAAGCTGGTTGGTAGTTGAGTATTAAAGTATGAGAGGTTGACATAGCAATTTTGATATTCTAAACTTCAAGAAATGAATGCCGCTGCAACCCTCTTTCAATTTTGGTACTGACACTGTTTGTTTATACCCTTTTACTTTGTCTTTAAAAATCTCTTTATTCAGACATACTTTGATAATTTTTTTATCAATAACACTGTGTTACTTTTTGCAATTTCATTGAAATTTCACTCATTGAAGCTACATTAAAACTATGGGTCCATTGAAATTGAGTGACTAAAAAAGAAGGCATATTTAATAACAAACAACAAGGTTGGACAAACATTTTGAATTTATTACATACCTTCAGCACCAAATTCTTCTCCTAGGTTTCGTTTTTTCTTCAATAAAAAGCAAAAAGTGATACATTAGAAAGTTTAGCAATATCTATCAGTGAAGTTTACAGTGGCAACTGATGATAAACATAAATTAATATCGTTTTTTCGAAAAGGCCTGGAAACCACAATTTTTTTAAAAATTGATCTAGTCTAAAAAGTAATACATTTAGATTGGCTGGCGTAATTGCCAGGGCACGGGTGATTGTGAATATATGAGATAGTTTGAACAGTTGAAATAGTTTCTCTAGGCCAATTCTGTTTGCCACATCTAGTTCACTATAATCTAAATGAGTTTTTCTATCCTTTCCTAAATTTTCAATACAAACTTGTCAATCATTTACAAATCAGTTGGAAAATTTGTCCCAACATTTGTTATCTAAACCCTTCCCCCGAAATTTTCTCTTTGAACTTTGATGAATTTAGAAAACAGCCCTGTAGAATATTATAGAAGACAGGTCTACCTTATCTCTCTTCTCTATCTTCATCTTTATCTCCTTATCTCGCGTCATCTCTTCATTACATTAAATGTTGGCTAACCAACCGTGAAAATAGGAAAAACCCATTAGATCTTATTGCAACATAAATGGAAACATATAAAATATTCGATGAAGTTTAGTATTGGTACCTGGGTTACATTCTTCACCATTGACCTATACTTCTTTTCTTCTTGTTCTGCTTTCAGTCTTTCCAACCTTGCCAGAAGTTCAGGGCTCTGTAATACATCATAGTGTCTCAAGTGTTTATAGTGTCTCAATTTTAAAATTTTCAACCATTCTGGATGAGCAGAAGTCAGACTTTGCACAGTGAATGACAAATTATATTTAGGAAAAAAACTTTCATTAAATTTGCATAAAAATTGAATGTATCCATGCAGATTTGAAAGGACTTTAGGACTCTGAAAATTCTCTTAAAGGTTGGGTTATCTTGTAGCAATTGCTTGTTGAATTTCAAGGGTCCTTGAAATAAGAGAAGCCTGACAAATTAGTATAACTGATCAATAGCCAGTAAGATACATTCTTTGTTATTACATGAAAACTCACTGAAATATAAACATTATTCTTTGTTTTGGTAAACCATGAACAGTGCAGTGCACAAACGGTGCAATGCATGAATGCTATCTGCTAGGAATATTGGCTCTTGATTGTGGTGATTGATGAGGAAACCGTAGCCATTTAATCAGTTTCAATTTCAGTTTCATTTTTTTAAAATTCCACTACATACAATTAATGCAATATTTCAACAAATAAATAGCTAAACAACAAGAAAATAAGACTGTGTTATAGAAAAATTGTACATTGGCACATGAAAATTATTACCATATATAAATGAAAGGGAACAAAGAGAATAAGATAAATTGTGTGGAGTGAATTTCTAAAGGAAGAGCTCTCTCAGTAGTCAAACTAATTGAGGAGAGAGCACCCCTTATTTTAATAGTATTTCATGTAAATTTGATTTTATACATTGAGACTGTGTCTAGGGTAGATGGTGATCTTCTGGCATCAATAATTCTATACCCTGGGTACCAGAGCCACAAAACCTTAAGTGCGTAAACAGAATATCAGCTAACATCTGTCAATTAATGAAGGTGAGAAGTCAACTAAATAACTAAAGTTCTAGAATAAACTTTTGTCAAGTGAACTCAAAAAATTTCTATAGTCACCAGATTATGGCGGTACAAATACTTTTCCACCCAACATATTTCTGAATGATATCAAATTAAAATTTTGATGTTGAAGCATACCTTTCCTGGTTCTTTAACCGGCTCCTCGTAAATTCCACTTCCTTCTAAGAATTCGTGAAAGTATTTGTATTTTGAAGGTTCTAAAACAGTAAATACGATCGATTTTTAAAAGAATGTGGCAATGATTTAAGTTAATTTCCATTAAAAATCAGATTCAACTCTTCGGTTTACTTTAACGACTTACTTTGCTTTTGCAGCTGGGAGAATAATTGCGAAACATGCTTGTACTCTGTCACATCGACTGAGTCAATTTGCTTTATCCTATCTAAAAATATTTTGCTTTCTAATCCTTCCACAGCAACTTTCATGGACTTGGTAACTCTGACCAGAACCTGGTCCTCCATTATAAATTAAAAACATTCAAAGAACATGATCCCGAGGCTCCTTCATAATGACGAATTTCCCGCCAAAAACTAAAAACCAAAAACTATGGCGTCGGTAGCTCAGTTTGACGTGGAGAGCGTTCTTGCTAAATTTAAAAAGCTAGAGGATGCTATCAAAAGTGGCATAGATGCAAGCCAAGAAATTGCCTTAGATTGCGAAGAGAACGATGCTGGTTGCAAGGAAATCCGACAACTCAAAGATGTCATGCTTGGGTATGTGAGTATGAGTCGCGATATCAAGCAGTGGGAGAGAGTCGCACGAAAGACGGTTGCAGATTTTCGTAAAGACTACGATCCAGCCAGGTAGAATTTACATAAATGTCTAAATTCGAGGTTATGTGGTTGTTGGAGACTGGGTTTAACCAACTTGGCCGCAATTTTAAAAGAGGCAAAAGAGCTAGTACCTCACTTTTCTGGTAGTAGAAACAAAATTGTTTCCTCTTAAAACTCTGCCCGTCGATTTGTTGATTGCACACCCAATGTTTTTCCTCAAAATGAGGTAACACCTCTGAAGTTTGGTATTGCGTTATGGGAATTTGATTTCCTTGGGGATTGACCTGATAAATTTGGCATCACTAGTGTCATCGAGTTTTTAAAAAACATACAACAAAGTTAGGAATGATTGTAAACCACTTCATTAAAATGTTTTGCGGCCATTCATACAAGACATTCAATTTTAGGTCTTATAATCTACGTAACTGGGGGTCAGCAATCTTCAAACAGATGTAATACAATTAAATGCATCAATAAAGAGTCTCTGACAAGATAGAAAACTGACTGATTTAGAGAGAATTTCTTGTAATTTTTAATTCAGAGGCCAGCAGTAATAGATTGGGCATCCTTTAGAAACATGACTTGAGGAGATTCCAGTATGCAGAATATGTGAGTTTCAGTCCTCGTAATTCAGCCATGGCACCATTAGTGCTCACTTAACTACCAAACTTTTGTTTATCTAGGAAGTGTATAGGTCTACAAGTGCTTTCACAAGCAAGTTTATAAGTAGGCAGAAATGATAATGGAAAATACCAATGAAACTCTTTTACAGAAAGAAGCCATACAATTGATGAAAACTAGGCCAAAATGTCTGCCATAATATGTTGGACTGTATATGCATTCTACCTGCCATGTGGTTAGGCAGCTGTCATAGCCATAGTCATTGTAGTAGCTGAAGGAAAGCTCTTTTTTAACTCTAGTACTCAGCCAACCAATATCGAAGAAATTTTCAACCAAAATTTGCAAAAGGAACAATCAGCCAACAGTCCAGAAGACCTTGAGAGGCACAATGCTCTCAGAGAGTTCAAGGAGAATATCTGGAACATTCACCATTCAGAAGAGCAATTCTTAGATGAAGAAGCTACCCAAGATGATGATAGCATTTTAATTGGAAAGAAAACAGGAGACAGGTTACTTTGTCCAATTACAATGGTAAGCTAGTTTGCAGCAGACAATTTTTTTGTTTTCCCTTGAACAAAGTCTGGAGCTATTTTTTTTAGGAAAAGAAGCATTTAGCTGAATACATTATTGCCCCCAATCAAGTGTAATACAGTCTGATGTTAACAGTGGTGACTAGCAGACTATTAATTCGTGAAATTTTGCTAGTCTAACAAGCTAACACAATTTTCTTATAATCGGTTTTATAGCTCATCTGTTGAATGATTTAAAGTTTATGAAATTTTCATCGTTTGTGTCATCAAGATAGATTTCACACACTTCCCTTCAAAATATAATGGGAGCTGGTAGAGGAAAAGAGATCTTGAAAAACAGCTGTCCGCATAACCTTGCATCAAGAATTTCTAGAATAATTTACATATTACCTAGCAAAATTCTGATAAAAAATCCCTTAAATGTACTTGACCCCTTGCGCTTTTCATCACTGCTGCAATCTGTTAACGCCAATTTTATTAAAATAATTATGCTGATTTTTTGCAGTGAACCAAATTTGAATTCTCTACAAAAAGCAGAATATATTTATGACATTTGTCATGGCTTCAAAACGGTTAAAAAGAAGAAAAATATTTTCTGCATTATTAGCAAGATATTTTCAACCAACTTTTAACATTGTTCTTCTTCTTAGTATTTGATAATCTACTGTCTTTATATTTTAGACTGAGATGAAAAACCCAATGAAAAGTAAATTATGTGGTCATAGTTACGATAAAACAGCCATTGAACAACATATTAAAAGGATGAGACAAAAAGCAAAATGCCCAGTGGTTGGATGTCAATATATACTCAAAATGGATGACTTAATAGTGGATATCATACTCAACAGAGAACTAAGGAAAAGGCATTAGATAACTTTTTGTACTCGTATTACAACAAGCAATACACATCAGTTTGAAACATTTAATATGTAAATATATTTGTTTAGAAACAAGCTTCTTATTTTTAAAACGTTTGCCATTCTGTGCAGTAAAAGTGGAAAACAGCTTTGCAAGAAATCACTGCCGGACTTTTTACAGCTGCCACTATTTGTAGCCATAATTTGAAAGATCTCAGACCATTACAACCATAGCCATGCAGTAGAGAATGAAGCTCTGCAGGAATATCTTGAGTCATAAAAAGCTAAAGCATTTGGATTTGAAATAAATATTTTAATCAATTATCTAAGCACACATTTTAGGATGACACAAATATACAAAATACTTCTATCTACTCTTGTCAACTTGAAAAGCAATAAAAGGCATCCATGAAACAAATTGGCCAGAAAGTTTGAATATTGTTTCAAATGTTCAATGTATAAAGTAGTTTTTAAGCAAAATTGATTGCTCCTTGGATCAAAATTCAACTTTCTAGAATACTGTGTTTCTGTATGGCAAGCTTTATAATGTTTGGTGCATAAATTTGATACTTTCAGATCTCAGTTTTCTGCCTAAGGGATGCCAATTTGCTTCATGATATAAACACAAGCAAGTACAAATTATCTCAATTACACTTTCTTATCTTCTGAAAATTAAGTCAATTTCATAGATGCAATCCTTGTTAAAAATCACATTTACTGATAAGTAACAATCTATACCTAGTTATATCAATAAAAAGTTTGTTTATCTATACATAAAACTCTGTCTTTACCTGGAAAACATTCTGATATTGTGGTTTTTAGGGTAAAAATTTGTAATAATAACAAAACACAAATTCTAACATTTTATACTGAATATGGTCTATCGAATACAGTTTGAATGATTTGGATGTATTGGGTCAATCATAAGTAAATACAATACAATTTAACATTTTACGTGGTCAAAATGCAATAAAAATATGTTGACCATGAGCTGGGAAGAGAAACTCTTTGCCAGTTTCACATTAAACTGTTAACAAGCTGAAGTTTTTCCTAGCTTGTGGTAATATTTTCATCACATTTCGCATCATGGAGTCAATTATTAAGCTAACTTTTACAAAGCATGACAAAATTTATTGTAAGCTCTTTCAGATTGTCATAGTGCTCTCAAGACTCTTTTCACAAATAACACCAAGCATTTGAGCTGCTTTGATAAATTCTTTGAGACTGAGCATAGGTCTGAGGTTCTGAATGACTGTTATGGTTACTAAATATGAGGGCTGGTTGCCCATAGCTGGAGTTATTAGCCATATATTTGACATGTTGTACAAAAACTTTGTTACATTTTTTAAAAACACATTGTTAAATGGTTTTACCAATTTCATTTCTTTCAAATTTTTAATAGGAGAAATTCTTTAAATTTTGATTTTTGCATCAATTCAGTAAGAAATTCTATAGCCTTGCGTTGATTTAGGGGAGCAAAGCTAGACAAATTTTTACTCCCAATAGCTATAAAGTTCAAATTCTGAAACAAGACAAACCTAGCCACTTATAGTTAAAACATAAATGCAATCAACAAACTGGATGAAAGGTCTTAAAAATAAATACGCAGAAACTTTTGTATCAGATTCTGTGGAACAATAACTCATAAAGGCCAACGCGTTTTAAATTAAAGTTACTGAAATGTGAATGCATTCACTCCATAGTCTTGAGGTTTTTAATTATCGAACTGGAAAAGCTTTCCTTCTCTGATCCTCACTCTTTCTTCGTGTCTTTTTGCTAATCCACTTCATAGGCTGCAAAGGTGTTGACTTCTTTTCCTCTAATTCTAAAATTCCATGTATTGGCATGTTAGTGGACATGAAATTTCTCACAGACTCTGAGTCAGAATCTGAATGTCGCCTATGTCTACGGTAACTAGGTGGCACAAAGTCAAATGCATAATCATATGCACTCATTCCAAACACTTTTCCATAGCTTAACCCAGTAGATTGTGGGTCCTGACCATTTGCCTCAGGAAGTTCATAATTATAGCCAAAACTTGGATTATAAGTGGGAATTTCAATTTGTGAAAACTCTGACTCAGGCATCATTTCCATTTCCGGCATCAATTCTGTCTCAGGGACCTCATTTGTTTGGGTCATTGGAGTGGCTCGTCTTGCATAGGACCCATAGTCCAAGATAACCTTTCCGTCAGCGACAGCAATGTGAGGTGAGCGCAGTGCTGTTCTTACTTCACTCTCAGGAAGTGGTATATCTTCAATTGGACCTGGTTTTCCCTTGTTTTTGTTTACTTGTGGATTCCTTGCTATTTTCTCAGTTCCAGATACTAAATTGAACCCACCTGCAACAGCTTGCTTTGGATCTTTAGTGGGGTCAATATCAACAGCAAGCTTTTTTGGTGTTCCATCATTAATCTGTTTTGCTTCTTTTGATTCTGAAGGTGTTGGATTGGAAGACTTTGAAGACATTGATTTTCCCTGGCTTTTCAACACAGCAAGTAGTTTCTCTGATAAAGCGAAAGTACATTAAACTTTGATATGAGAGAAATTAAAGTCAACACAATACAATATACATTTTCATTGCTTTTTCTATAAACATAGCGGTAGTTTATTATCTGGAAGAATATCACTTTTACTATTGGCTGTTTTTGTTAAGAAAAGTATCGGGAGTTAAATTTAACTTTATCTAAATCTCTTCGCACAGGGCCTAATCTGTTTGGGGAGGTTTTTGTGGTAGGTATGGTTGGTGTTTATGTTGTTAAGCAAGACACCGTAACTTCTTATTTCAACAGTTGCCATCAAATGACATGCTGGCAATATCAAAGTAAGTCACCTTAAGCAACTAGGATACAATTGGTTAACCTCTTTCCATTCGCTGAGCTAATTCGCTAAAATATGAAACACAAGTGAACAGTCAAATGTTTTGTCAGCTTAGGGCTGATAAACAAAGCCAAGGAAGTTGGAATGGACCTTTGCAAATATATGGCATTGACAACTGGATATTTTTGTGTCTTATTACAGTTCTCAACAGGATATTTAAACTTACTACGAATAGTTTCCACATGTTCCACAAACCATACTTCAATCCAGCATGGTGTCTCTTCATCCACCATGGTATCTTTAATGAAACTAATACAAACCTGAAATCAGAAAGGTCTTTGTCAAAGCAAGATGTGCTTAGGTATTAGCAGCAGCATAGCCAGGGTGGGAAGATTAGAAGGCAAATTAAGAGGGGGGTAAAAACCCAATATTTTTACACCGTCATGCTGGAAAACGCTTATTTTGAAAACATATAAAACGGGTCATGTCATGTGTGTGTACCAATGGTTGGTTTATCAATACAATAATAGTCATGATTAGCTTTTTGTGCTGACCTTTTTCGTTTCACAATCTCAAAATTTTCCTCTATGGAAACCTCTTTTTCAAAACCGGAAAAAATATATAAAAAATAAAAGGTCTCGTTTTAAAGTTTCGAACTAAGTCCATTCTCTTAAGAGTAAAATCTACGAAGTTCTTGGCAAGCATTTCGGTTTTTAGGAATACAAAATTCCCAGACATCAGCACAGGGGTTGGGATCTTTTCGTATCATTAGTTGTATCCTTATCAATTCCCACGTCAAAATTCTTTCTCTGCATTGCATGAAGTCAAAGGAAATGACTTCACAGTCCGAATCAGCTTCTTCGCTTCACCGCAACTAGCAGGTAGATTTAAAAAAATCATCACCATAACGCCCGAACTTCTAACGAAAGGGGTGTTCACCCTAAAAATGACAAAACCACGTAAACCTGAGTATAGGGATTACCTTCTCCCCCTTGCCTGTGAAATCTGCCCGGGGAGAGAACGTTAGAAACAGCTAGAAGCCTCTTATTGTAAACCAGCTTTTTGAATAATTACAAAAAGCAGTATACATTTGACATCTGCTATTTCAAACTCTCAAAAAAAAGTGGAATGTACTTTCTCAAAGAAGCAGAATCAATAAAGTTTTATACGAATTGACGGGCTTAAACGAATACGAATTCTGAATGATTTGAACGATACCTTCAGAAACAATGTAAGGAATTTTTGTATCCTAGGTCTGATAAAGTTGAATGACTTAGCTGTCTTAAACTAAACACTATTTTCATGTTAAAGTACGGATAACCTATATTAACGGAAAAACCTATACATCGGACACCTTTCAAAAACGGGCAGATATTTTAGTCAAAATGGTCAAAATATTTTTAAAGGAACCTCTATACAACAGACACCTTTGAGAACGGACAATTACACTGGTTTAAACGGTTCTGTTACAGTAGAATCCCGTTATAACGTACTCGGTTATTACGTACTTTCGGATATAACGTACTGGTGTGCTTGGTCCCGGCAAAAGGTGTGCTTGGTTTTAGTCAACTTTTATTTACCCTCGTTACAACGTACTTCGGATATAACGTACTTAATACGCTGGTCCCTTAAAGTATGTTATAACCGGATGATACTGTATCAATATAATTGGAAAAAAATTCCTTACTTTGCATGTGCCCATAAGCTTGCTTCTAGTCGCCTGCTCATCCTTTACTGCGTTGGAGCATTCTTCATTCAAAGTGTCTTTGTACTCGCCAACATCAAATATCTTAAGGAAAAACAAAACATTTTGCCTCACCATGCCATAAAGGGGGATAAAATTAATAAATTCTAGTAAGGGATGGGAAAAAGATGTAAGGAACAAGGAGCTTGCTATGAGTGTATGACGAAGGATAGAGTGCTTGGAAAATCTGCTACTCACAGATTGTCAATATCAGAATATCTCTTATTCATAAATTTATCAAATCATTACTATTTGCATTTGCTATTTTTAGATGGAACAAAATAGCGGAAAATTTTTCGGTACCGAAAAAAAAATCTCTATTTTCAGAGACCTGAGTAAGAAATATGAAGGGGAGCAAATAATAGTTCTTTTTAATTGCACCACTTCTTCACCTTAGAAATAGGTCAACTGCTTATGAAAAGGACACCAGTACAACCTAAACAAAATCAAATCAAAAGTCTAATTCATCTAATAACATTTATTAAATCATGTAGACAAATGGTCTGATACCCTACCCTATGTATTCTTCATCGCCTCCTCTCCGCATCGAGGCTCGCTGTGCATGCACAGCTCACTACGTTCTGACTAGAGATGTATTCCTATTGGCTATTCCAATTCGCATGCACAGCGACCTAGATGCTACGAGGAGGCTCGAAGAACTCAAATCGGAGTTCGCCGAGTCTCCTCCAATTAGGATTTCTATCAAAGTTGAAAAAGGTTGCACTAAGCACAGCTATATAAGAACAGCAGCAGGGCTCTAGGCATATATTAACATATGCATGACAATCGTGTCCACATACCTTCATAGGAACACCCTGCGTAAGTTTGCCGTTCAATTTTATCAATTCTGGAGACAGAAAGTATCCCTGAAATAAATAAACACAGTAAAATCTTTGTACAAATGAATAAAAGCGGACGGTTTAATTAATAACAGCAGCAAGCATACAAAATCAGTTTTACGTGAAGGGAAGACCCTAATTCAAAACCTCATCTAGAGTTAGTAACTGAACTGAAATGCAGATGGGTATAACGACTGAGCACATAACATCCTAAACTAATTTCAAATGGGATATACATTATGTTAAAATCATCAAATGGGATATATAAAACGAATTTCTGTCGTGAATACGCATGTTTTCAGACAATCCTTTGCATGTAAAAATTGTCCATCGTTCAAAAGGCTTAAAAAGCGATAGACTGACTATGCAAAACAAACAAACTAGTACTTTACAAAGTCCAGAAAAGGTAACCTTCCTCCAGACAAAAACATTCCAAAAGACAAACCTTCTCCACAAAACAATAAAGTGAGCGTGGTTTTGGTGTGTCTTAGAAGCTTCTATTGTTTTTTCGTGGACTTTCCTCCGGTCAGTGGCCGTACGATCGTAATGTTTTGGTACTGACTCTGGTACTTTATATATTTCAAACTACCAGTTTTAAAGTGCCTTTAATTTGTACATCTTTGTTAAATAAAAGTTGCAGAATAGTTTCCGAAAAAAATTCTTTTTGCACAGTCAATTTTTGAAATATAGCTTTAGTGAAATAGTCTGTACGTCACTAAGCAACAATATATTCATGCTATAAATGTAATCTTTTCAAACAACCAGGAAAATTCAAGACAAATCTTTTCCTAAGCCAATCTTTCCTTGCGTCAAACTATTATGAATTACAATCATTTGGAAGCCGACTTAAGATGTTTAGCTAAATGTCATTCTCATCACTCATCCCAGATCACAACAGCCTTTGAAGCACTTCTGCTGTTATTACGGTAGGTCCTTCAGTTTCCTCTAACAGTATATTATATTACAGCCTTCTGTTACACTCCTGTCGATCATATACTTGACAACAGTTTTGTACCAGGCTTTCTAAAATAAATGGCATACCCTGACAAAAATTGGGTTCTTCCCTATCCGTGTAGCCCAAACATTGCCACTATCATCTTGGTGTAATTTGAGTCCCTACAAAATCGAATTGGTAAGATTCATACGATATAACAAAAAAGGTTGTTTAAAATATACAACAATTACAGATTTGTGAGGAGATATAGAAGCTGCAGTAGAAAGGAGCGTGTCCCTTATCATAGTAAATACTGTAGTGAGGCTTTCTATAAATTTCAGGGCCTCCTACGAAGGGAGGGGGGCGGGGACATAGTACCACCCCCACTTTTTGCAAAACAATTGAGCTTTTTTCAATATCTTTTGTTAGGGATGTTAAATTTTCCCTTGCCACCCCCCCACTTTCCAACTTGTGTGGGAGCCTATGAATTTGGTACTGTATACGACAATTAAAAAGGAGGAATAAATTGTGTTACTGAGGCTGATACGACAAGATTGCATCTGCATGGTAGCACTCCTTAATAGCACTTCCTGTGTTATCTAAACAAAATAAGCTATTCCCACAGTTTGTAAGGCAGAATTTCCGTTTTTAAATGCTTCAAAAGTGGGTATGCTGAACAGAAATGGTTTCGATTTGAATAGGCAATATGCTTTCATACGAAGAAATAATGCATATCCACATACCTTTCCAATGCAATTTTTCACCTTTAGCACTTTAGCGTCTCCAGTTTTTGAAGGCAGATAACACAACCCTATCCTGAAGAAAATTGAAGATCTCTGATTGGTTCATGGCTTATTGAAGGCAAATTTTATAACTACTAAATACTCTTGACGATTAACCGTCTCTGACAACTCAAGTACAACAAATGTTCTCTTTGTGACAGATCAAATTATGTTGATCCTTGCCAAAAGTCTTGGTACACGACACAAGATTTTGAAAGTTTTATTTTGCATTCCCTTCAGCCACAAAAAATTTTGCTTTATGCAATGTTAAGAGGTTCGGTTTGGTCCAATGGCATCCTTTCAGGTAGCTCTGGTATTCAACTATACAGCCAACATTGTTTCGGGGGAGAGTATGTGCTGTATTGGATTTTTCCACGGGAAACATGAAATATTTTCAATAAACTTAATAAGCAGGGCATCCCAAGGACTTTTGGCATGCATTGTAAGTATGTCCTTCTCTACACTGCTAACGAAATAATCTAATGAAACGCAGAGCCCAGAAAACTGGGTTATCACATTTTCATTCTAGTAAACAAAAAAGGTGGTTCATACAAGGTGATTTTCATCCCATCTACCTTGATCCCCGAAGACAAGCCCCGATCATTCCCATATAAACAGGAAACAAATTTTTATGCGAATAAATAATTAGGTAATATTTCAGACAAATGCTCAACCCAGATCGGCGGGATTAAGTAGTTTGCATATACAGTTTGGTATTACCAACAAATAATTTTAGGCTCCTTAAAGTAGCAAATTGTAGAAAAATGTAGCAAAAATGTATGTATTACGTAATGGGGTTGGAAAATTCGCGGCAATAGAATCAGTATGGGTACAGTGGCAAATAACTAAATTTTCTCCCGTTCCACATTTTAGATCCTGACCAATGTCTATCTAAGTCAAGTTTAGTCTACAACTATATGCATATATAGGTTTGAATTCATTTGAAAATGCATTAGTCTGTGAAAGGTTTATGAAATTTGACCAATTATTCTTACAAAGGGCATTTCTGATCAAATATTAAACAACAGCTGATCATGATTCAAGTTACCTAAGATTGTTTTATCATAACCTCATGTTCTCCGCAGATGACCCAGTGATTTCTTTTCTGTCAATTTTCTCAATTGCGATCAGAAATCTTAATGCATTTATGATTATCACAAAAGAGCGATTTCGGGTGCCGCATTTGCACAAGGGAAGGCTGTTGCAAATTTAATCACAACGAGTCTTATTGAGAATGATACCGCAAATACTTCAACGAAATACTGATCCATTTTGTGTGGCAATAAGTCTCGCAAGAGGTTGTCATCAATTCGTTTAAATTGTAATTGAATTTTTCGTTATATTCATTGGGCTCGAAATTCTATAAAAGTGACCTACATGATTTAATCAGTTCCTGATAAAGCACGAGCTGCCCGAAACAGATTTATGAAAATTCACTATCTGCCGATACTGTAAGAAGTTTTGCTTGGTATACCAACAAGGTTTTTTAAAAAAAGCAAACATTTAGTAAACTAAAGCTTTTCGTCTGATACTCTTCAGAGTTTAAAACGTCAGAACATAGGAAACTCTACGCTAGGAAATATATATACCCAGTTGTGGATCGAAATAGGCCAATCAGAAACACGAGCACATGACTGTTGAGGTTGACCAATCAGTGCCGCTTGCCTATTGAGAATGCTACCAATGGAGTCCTAAGGTGAAAACGAACTCCTTTTGTCCACACAGTAGCGGTTTTTTCGTGCTTATGTAGATATTTGCTTTTTTCAAAGCCATTTTCAAGTTTTGTACCACCAAAAGATTGTTAACAAGGTTTTAACTGATCTGCGCTCTTCATGCATCTTATATAGATTTAAAAATGGCTTCCACTTGATGTGAAGTGTCGGCAAATCGACATATCAGTAAATTCAATAATGCAAATTCTTAGGAAAAGAAGAAACTAAGCATCGAGCATGCCAAAAAGTTCATTGACTGAGTCATAGAATCAGAGTGAACCAAGCAGGGAACTGCTTTCATGACAGATTCTTTAGTTCTATATGATTCAATTATAACTTTAGGTTATACCAGATCAGTTTATAAATGACCTGAAAAGCACCGTAAAATCACGTAGAAAGGAAAAAATGACCAAGCCCTCGACAAAACGTAGCTTCTTTTGTTTACAATCCATCCTTTCTATCTGAACCAAATAAGCCTTTGGTAACATAAAATATACCACGTTTGAAGATGTCAAGTGACTGTGTGGATGAAAGAGCTAAAACTGGGATTGAAGGAAAATTAATGTCTTCTTACTTAGCAGAATCGTCGACAATATTTGATCCATCAATGGTTATGACTGACTGATGCAAGAAGAACGAGGCAACATGAAACTGTCGCTCGTAGCAGTCGACGCGGCACCACGCCTTGAGCCGTCCGCGGGTGAAGTCCCTCATCAGCGGCAGCTCTCCGCCGTAAATCTGTGGCCGACCACTCTGCTTTTGACTTCCATACTAGAATGTAACAACAATAATTTAACTAATAGGATTATAAAATATATTTACAGAAACGACATAACTTGGTTATTACTTGAAGACGGTATTGAGAGTGATCAACAGAAAAGGATGCATTCAAATGCAGTACAGACGAGAGTTTGAAAGCAAATAACGGAAATAATGAAAAATGGTCAAATGGGGCATAACAAACATAGACTCCGTTGAAGGAATTAGGGCAACCATTCAATGCTACTTTCGACCATCCCATGCTACTTAAAAAATTACTAAATCTGAAAATTCTAAACCAGAATGTTTTACAATGCTATCACTACCTTCATCGCAAAGTTGAAAATAAATTATAGGAAATATATATAAATATATAAAAATAAATCATAAGAAGTCTGCAAACAAAGATGGAGATAGAAATTGAAGATCAGGTAGCTGCTTAATTGTTACATCTGTAATTTAAATGTTATACTAATATTTCTGTTATAAATGGCCTACTTTTCTAGAGCCAACCAGAAAGTCGTCTTTGCTTCGAGGTCGTCTTGAACCAACCGTTGCCGAATCTGTGATCATTTTTGCTGCCTTCTTTTTCTGATTCTCCCTCAACTTTCTTCTGGTTTCCTATTATACAATTTTGACAGAGTCATCGATCGATAGGAAAAGTTTAGTATTGTTGTAAAAATTTGAGTAGATGGGACTGGGACGCTTCTTGGTCAATGTTTTGTGACAAATAATCAATAAATTCTTAGAAAATTATGGGGTTATAAGATTTTTGAAAAACTAATAATGGGGGGAGTCCATTTATTGGGGGCCTTAGAGGAAGCTGATCAGTTTCAATTATTTCAGGTTTCAGAAATCGACATCAGCGTTAGCGTTAGAGGGTGATATAGAGAATCGATATAAAAAATTAATGACAATAACCCCTGTGCAATTATTGAACAGAGTAAAAGTTTGGGAAATTTAGGCTACCTTTATGGAGTCATATCTCAGTCATATAGCTAAAATGAAAAAACCCATTCCATAATTTTGAATTTCCAAGACCACATTTTGGATTTCCAAGACCACGAAATGTGGGAAAAACCACTCTAAAATAGGCCCTGCAGTAGATGAACTTCAGAACTGGTGTCTACAAGGGTTCTTCTTTGATAGGTAAATGCGCAAATCGAGTCGTTTTCAATTTCATCACTAAGAAGAACATGTTCAAATGACTTACATCGTTCTCCTTATCGTGTCTCCGCACATCCTGCTTGCTCATCGTTATCAAAGCCTCGTGTAGCTTGGCAGGTTTGGTAGATACCTGAAAAAGAGGCGACCATTCATAAGCTCGCGTAGAATGATACAATAAGCAGACATTAGAAATGGCAGAGATTGCAAATTGGTAATATTTGCAAAAGCAAAGTTAGATCGACAAACAATCGTGAAAATGCAGACACGTTCCGGAAAACAGTAAGAGTAGTCATTAAACAAGGTTAATTTTATTGCCGAGTTGCCTAACAGAATGGTTCGAAAGGAAATGAGAATTAACACCAAAATCATACAAGCAACAAAAGTACTTAGTACTTAGAAATATTTAATACAGCATGTTTGATGTTCTCTGATCGCCTAACAAGAAACAAAATGACCTGTCTGCTGACATGATGGTGTGTCATGTCTATAAAGATATGGCTGACACTTGATAAAAGACCTTGAGACCTTTACTTTATTTGAAAAGGCTGTAATATCTGCACCTTTCAATTTCTTAACAGAAATAGTGAAGTATCTTTTATTTTACCAATATCATTTGTAAATTTTCCCACATGAAATTGAAAACATTTTTTGATAGCTGAAAACATTTGATAAGAAATTAAACATTTCATATTAATTAGTTTATTATCTTCAAAGATAATGTCGGTTTTTGGGACAAATGTCGTGGTTTTCTTTCACTGTTGACTAAAAGAATGCTAAATGAAATTTTGTGATAAAGCAACTGGAGGTAATAAAAAAGCTGAAATCAGGAACTCGAGCTAAGAAACACGATTATAAACCTTTTGTACTCGGTTAAAAGCATACGATAAAACATTAAGAAACTCATGTACTAGGATAGTTTTGCAAATTCTTTTAATTGGTGTACACGGGTCAGCGTTAGGCCGATACAGGTCGAATGATAACAACCAAGCAAATTAGAACAACTGAGCTTCTGGCTCAAGAGGAAGACATCGAACTTGTAGAATGCTTATTGGGAAAATTTAACATTCGAAAGAAAGCAGGGAAAACAAATTGCGACGCTTTTCAAAGGACTTGGATCAACCCAAGCGAGATAAAAAGCGTTAACTTTTAGAAAAACAAAACAAGAAACAGAGAAGTCTGTACTTCCTTGTACAATAACATCTTTAAAAATATTTTGCTTGCTGCTAGGGAAAGTTTATATTTTTAGTACATAAGGATCAAAGTAAATGCTCTTTTGGTCTTTGCCTAAACGTCGGTCAAATAGATGTTTAATCCAACAGAATTTGCGCATAGACTATCCTAAGGCAATATGAGATGCCGGAGAATTAGGCTAGGAATCAGCGTGGAGCCAAGGGAAAAATATTTTCATTGGGAGAGATTATTAGTGATAACAGCTGTGAAGTAATGCAAAGAGAAATGTTATCAAACAGAGAGTCTTAATAATAATAACATAATCTTTAATATGGGACGATCTTTAAAATGCGAGGGTAATCATATTCTGTACAATCAGGGATATGGGAATAGGAGGAAATCACAACAAAACGGCAAATTTTGCTAGTTTTCATCAATTTTTGTCCCATTATCGATTTATTATTATTTCCTCGCATTAACAAATTCAGTAGGGGGATGTAAGATAAGATCAATTTGAGCATGGTACAATTTCTGTAGATGTGGATTGGGAATCAAACTTCCGCTGAGGCGCTGTACCGCAGCAAGAGGGAAACAAGGCGCAAGTTGGTATCTGCGAAGAGTGCAAATCTGCAACAAAATAAGTACGTCAGGGGGGGGGGGGGTAGTAACATTTTTTACAAAAGTTGAAGATTTTAAACGATTGCAGGAAGAAAAAAACTGCTACAAATATTCTGAAATTTACTTAAAGCAAACCTAAAGGGCGTGGCCGCAAAAGCTTTTTTCACTCGCAGGGGAGCCTGGCCTGTCCTTATTATTTATTTTATTTATTCTTATTTAAACACGATACCCTATAAGCTATTAAACAAATTAACTAGAATACACAACTAAAGCTGCTCTTCCAAGGGGTCGTGTTTGCGTCGCTATTTGTTTTGGGATCTCGTTCCAGATACTTGCTCCCTGGTATCCAAAAAGTTTTTTGCTGTATTCAAGACGAAGCCGAGAAATTTCGAAATCATTAATTTTTCTTGTGTTATATTTCGAAATATTCGACCTAGGAGAGAATTTATTTTTGAGGTTCTCTGGGCAGAGTCCATTGTTTACTTTGTATGTAGTAATTAGACTGTCATATTTTATCAGATTTTGTACATTGAGCCAATCACATACCCAGCCATCTTTGTGCTTTGCACATACAATTAGTCTGCGTGCCCTGTTTTGCAACCTCTGTAGGGATTCCATTTTAGAGTTTGACAGACTTCCCCAAATGACGCTGCAATATCTCAGATGGCTTTCAATTAATGCTCTATAAACAGTTGTCAATTGTGTCTGGGAAATGATGTTTTTGAGTTTACATATCGCCCCTAAACCGTTTTTTATCTTTCGCTTTACGTTTTTGAGTTGCTCTTCCCAATTCATGCTTTCGTCAATTGTGACACCTAGATATTTTGTTCTTTTAACTCTGAATAATTTTTCATCTTCTACCTCGAGGTCAGGGAAGTCTTTGGCTCTGTTCAGTTGTTTTGGGTGCCCTATCAAAATAAAATCACTTTTTTTCAGCATTTAGGCTAAGTTTGTTTTGCCTCATCCAGGATGATACAAGGTCAAGTCGCCCTTTATGTCGTTAAAGAGCTCGTTGATCTCTATGGAGGCATAAGAAATGCTTGTTTCATCTGCGTACATATTTGGTTTAGATTTTTTCAAACATTTTTCAAAATCATTCATATAAATAATGAAAAGCAAGGGACCCAAATACGACCCCTGTGGTATTCCGCACTGAATTAAACGCTTGTTTGACGATTTACCATCTATAAAACAATACTTCTCTCTTCCGGTAAGGTATGAAGTGAACAAACAGTGTGCAAAATCAGTGACTTCGTAGGCTAATAACTTCATCAACAGAACATCATGGTCGATAGTATTCGGAATTTTTTTCAATTTCCGCTCGTTTTTGCAGAAGGATTAGTATAAAGTCCTTCGCCTTATTTAGACATTACCCATAATATAGACACTAGAATGCTGAAATGCTTGAATTCATAAAAGAAACTAGCCTGCGTGCAGACTCTACTGTTTTCAACTCGGCTACTCGTTTTCCTTTTATTATCTTTCCGTTGAGTTGAAACAAAAATTTACTGTTTGGCTAAATTTTTAATTCAACTCAACGGAAAGATAGAAAAAAGAAACAGCGGAGCCGAGTTGATTCAATCCAACGGAAAGATAGAAAAAAGAAACAGCGGAGCCGAGTTGATTCAATTCAACGGAAAGAAAGAAAAAAGAAACAGCGGAGCCGAGTTGATTCAATTCAACGGAAAGATAGAAAAAAGAAACAGCGGAGCCGAGTTGATTCAATTCAACGGAAAGATAGAAAAAAGGAAATAGAGGAGCCCAGTTGAAAACAGTAGAGTATACACGCAGGCTATAAAAAACTAGATACTGAAGTGCTTGTCAAGAATTTTGTAGATTTTGCTCTTAGGAAAATGGACTTACTTTGAAGCTTTAAAATACTGACTATCGTTTTTAGATATTTGCTGACAACTTTGAAAAATAAGTTTTTACACGTCGAACTTCCTCGCCTGACACGACTCAGAAAAAAACGTGAGAGGAATTGTGAAGAAATAGCCAGTTGTAGAATAACCAGCCACAAAATCCTACATATGACTGTTATTGTACTTGGTTAGCCCACAATTGCCATGTAAAAAGCTTTTTACAAACAAATCAATGGATTTTTTCAAATACATTTACAAAAAAGGCATTTTCCGAATTTTTAACGGTGTGGTCGACAAAAATTGCCGATAGTCAACAAAGTGTCCGGCTTCTTTTTGCCCCTTAAAACTTCCGACCCTGGCTACGCCACTGCCCAGGGGTGTGCCCACTGATCTGAAAAAAGGACTGGATCGAACAACCTTTTGTTCTCCTACATCAGCACGATGAAGCTGATCGAGTCTCTCCATCTTGAGACCTTTCGCGCCTAAAGTTTGGGCTGCCATTTGCTAAAACGGAGCACGCATAGTGCTGCGCCTTAAATTTTGCATTAATCATTAAGTTCTTAAATATTCCAAGATATAACAGGCCTAGGAAAATAAGTGAACAGTGGATTCTTCGTTACATAAGCTTAAATGTTTAACGTAACTTACGAGTTACCATGGCAAAAATGTTTAACGTAACTTACGAATGATGCAAGTTTTGTTTCAACGGTTACTTTGAATTTTGCTATGAAACAGCAAGTTTAACTGAAACCAACATGATTGCTCTCTAGTTTCAAGCAACACCGCGAGGTCTCAAGATGGACGCTGCAATGTGGAATCAACGCTGGGCTGGAGAAGCTCGACCCAGTCTTTTTTTGAGGTCAGTGGGTGTACCCCGGCGTCCCCCAATCGGGACAGACTTGGTTACATTGCTAAGACCACTGTGTTTAAGGCGCAATGTAGCTGCATAGGTCAATAAGCGATCTGGCAGAAGCCTTAATCAGACAGCTTCTTCATTCCAAAACCAAAACTCCAGTCCAAAAGCTCTGTACATACATTTAAATTTCTGGTGCGCGAACTATGTCCAATTTGCAGGTTTAAGGAATTAATTGATGTAAAAAACTTCCACCATCAGGCAAAAAAAAGAACAAATCCTATTGATATATCAATAGTGTTTCATCACTTTTTTTGAAAATCTTTGAAAAGGGCATTTAGAGTAATTTAGAGGACGCTGCATCTAAAACTTTTTCGGGAACCCCTTCACCCCTGCCCGCCACAAATATTTCCGGTTTGCCCCTCCAGATGTTGGAACGCCCCTAAGAGACCAAGAAACGAAGAATGAGTTAAATGGAGTCATCGGGCTAAACATCGAACTATGTTCTATTTCCTATATATTAGGGTACTGAATAGGAAGCAACTTAATAGAAGACCTTCACCCCACAACCCCCACGCCCCCCGCCCCCCCATAAAGATAAATTTTATCGGACGACGCTGTTAAATAAAGAACCCTAATGACTGCGCATTCAGGAATATTTCCTCTTCGCAGCCCCCTGGAGCATCCCCCTCTGAACTTTAGATTAACAGAGCCAGATACATGCAAGTCAAATAAGTGCTGATCAGTCCTTAACCCCCACTCCATCTCTGAGATAAGCAGGCGGAAAGCCAAAAAGTTGACAAATCCATAATAACGAATGCTACATACCGACATCAGGAAATTCCCGATAGTTCTTTCCTCGTGTTTTCTGTTGTTCATCAGGAACTCGTAATCTATCCTCGCTAGTCTTCCACGAAACACTAGAATAATGGAATGAGAAAACGTAACAAGGAAATCGAGTCAGACCACCGCAAGATTAGAAGCAATCATTAAAAGTATCAGGCAAGAATCGAGGAGTTGGTTGCGAAAGATCAAAATAAACAGTTCGATATTAATGACACGATTATTCAAAATGCTGTACAAAAGATCTCAAATTACAAAGGGTTAAGTCATTTCCTTGTATTTCCTTCTTCCAAGATCAGTCAACATTTAAAGTAAAATCTCGTAGGATTTCATAACAAACAGAGCAGTAACAATGGGTGTTGCCATGAGGTCCTTTGAGAGGTTTGAGAGCGTTGCGACGATCGAACTAAAGATAACGGTGTATTATATAAGCTTCACAGTGGCTTACTTATCACCGCTTTGAAACAATAGCGCCCATTCTAAATTACAATGTTCCCTGAGCGCCTATTGAACGTCACTTAGGTACACGGGCGTGTATTTTAGTCAGCGAGTTAGTCACCAAATAATTTCAACGTGGATAGTTAGGCGTTCATCAATCACAAAAGAATGCACAGACTTGAAATTTTTCAATTACACGGACTTGAAACACAAGAACATAAAATAACATTTAACAGAAGACCTGATAAGCCCACAGTAAGAATTTGTTAATCTTATACTCATATGGAACTTTTGAAACTACACTGATCGGGGCTTAAGACTATCCTTGGAAAACAACCAGGACCAGGAAGAGGGTTTTCGCGAACAAGTTGTCAGATGTGGGAATCAAAGAAAATTTTGAAAACAATTACACTCTTTCTTTGAAACAAAACACTTAAACGTAACCCTGGGGCTCGATTTGCCAAAAAATAAAGACAACGTAAGAACACGCATAGCCAGAATTGCACACTCTATATCTCAGATTTTAACAAAACAGATCAGATTTTATCAGTTAATCAACCTTTCTAATGAAAATTTCATACAAAACTGTTATCCAGTAGTCATAGAAACAGTGTAAAGTATGTACTTAAAGAAAAATCAGTGCTGAAGTAAGAACAAAGAGCAAAAAGCCAACCCAAAAAGCAAGAAAATCGAGCCGCGGTAGAAATTGTTGGTTCTCATAAAAGATAGTGCAGGGGAATTATGAAAAAAGCTTTGAAGAGTGGGCGATTATGAGTCACTTTGCAACAATCTAAATTCGCACAAAAGGTTAAATCTGTAGAATTTTAAGGATGTCTCAAGCTTAATTGCAAATAGTTGAAGATAGCATGCAAAAGCGGAAAAATAGCACGATGATTCAAGGATTCGTCATTTAATTATTTATCTCAGTTTTTTCAATGTATCAGATTTCAAGGAAGCACTTTGATCACACATTGTCCGGTGAACCGATGCAGGCATAAAAGTAAGTAGATTGTGTTAAATTTGATGTTGAATAATTAATATCAGAAAGTTGAATGAGAAATCAGAAAAATTTGGTACAGATAATGAAAGCTTGGAATAATTTAGTGATTGAAAGCACGAGAATTGTAATAAAGTTGTTTGGACTATCTTTTTTAAAAAACAAATGAGAATACATTAATTTGCACAAGGTAAACCCTCGGCCTACCTCTATACTATATTGAAAAGGTCTATTTGGTATTATGTAAATAAGTTTTGTTTCTGTGTAGCCTAGTGATAAATCAGTGGATTCGGGCATTGTGATGAATAAAAATACATTTCTTAAGACTGAGAAAACAGATACATGTGAAAATTGACATTGCAAGATAAAAAATTTGAAAGGAATGAGAATGGATTAGGAACGCGAAGAGAGCACAACAGAAGTACGCTAAGGGGGGGGGGGAGGAGGGGGGGGGTTGGTAGGAGAGGGATTTCGTGTAGGAAACTGTCTATATAAAAGGCATCCCTAAGACTTGCATATTTATAGCTCAACTGATGTAGATTATAGAAAAAAGTACTCCTTATAGTTATGTGGTTTTCTATTTCATATTATTTCATGTGGTTTTCTATTTCAAACACTACAGCACTTCAAACATAATGAAAAACATTTAGCATAAAAATCTTAAAGGGGGATGGACAAGCGGAGAGGGAGTAATGATCGGTGTTGAATAGGATCTTAAATCGAGTCGCTTGTAACAGAGTACTATTTTATAGCAGTTCGCTATAGCGTCCACAGTCGTGGCCCATATGGCTCTTCCCCTGGTTAAAAGTGGTCTACTCAAGATAATAAAATATCTTTAAAAAAATTTAAAACACTGTTTGGATTGTTTTTACATAGCAAGAATTGCCAATTGTACAACATGGATGAAACTGGGTGGCTTCGATCTGCTTTTTCGTAGCCAAATGGGTCAACTGGTTTATGGTTGCAAAAATTAATCATATGCAAGCTCTAGAATTCCTTTTTTAAATCTCTAAAGAGTTTGCCCAAAAGATTAGCCCCCCATAACAGAGCCAACTATTAGAAAAGGTCACAATAGCTGTCTGCTCGACGGACTCCAAGGAGTTCTTGCGGCGAAAATTCGATGAAAATGTAGCAAAAAAGAAACACCGCAATGTGACGAGGATGAACAACAATAAATACACGTAAATTAACGAAGGCTAATATTTCGCCCCGGCATACGGGGCTTCATCAGAGCAGAAGTCAAAAATATCATTTATATTATTTTTTATATCATTTTGTACAGAAAAATAATTGGAATGGTGAGGGGGGGGGGTGTAATATTTCATGACCTGTTATATTTGCTGTGAAGATAAATACTCAGAAGATTGGACAATTGTATATGATATACAGTTTTGAAATAAAATAAAAGTATACTTATATTGCGTTAATTCAATGATGGAAATGCAAGGCTACATTTCGTGATCTTTAATAGTCGTAGCGAATATTATTGACAAGAGCTCGGAAAAAGATAGATTTTATAAAATTGAGAAATAAAATTTGTTTCTTTAGATAAACAAAGAAAAACTCACTTTTCTGAACAGTGACGACGTCCCTCTTCACCTTTTCTAAATGGCTGTCCAGCTCATTCTCGTGTCGGTGTTTCAGAAATACCTAGAGGACAAAGACAAATTTAAATGGGCGGGCATCTCTCGGTTTCCAAAACGTCAATGCGGGTGACATTCGCGGTAAGCACCTTATTACATAACTTCTTTATACGGGATGCTTGAATTTTAAGCATGCAACTTACACTCTTTAAAAACACTCCACAGCCAATTATCACATAATTAAATTCTTCAATATGATTTGAAATGTATAATGGTAGAGCAGTTGTGAAATTATATATGCAATCATTGATAATAAATATGTAATGAAGATTATTCAGTAAACACCACAATCCTATTGAAACGGATAAAGGCATCCGAGACTGCTTATCAATGTTTCCCATAAAGCAGACCGAAATTACTTTATCGTTGCAGCAAATAAATACGTTATTAAAACTACATTCTACATTTGCAAATATTTCAAGTTCTAAACATTGGCGTGGTGGAAATTGTCAGTTTCAATAATCTCTTTTAACTGCAAACTGCAATGAGGCAGTTTTTAATACGAGTAGGTAGAAGTAAGCTTTTAATAGCATCATACATGTTAATAAACCTGTTTAGTGTGGGAATGTTGCAAAACATCTCTCCATTTTTCAAGTTTCTAGTTCCTTTTATCTTAAAGGTGGGTTATATTCCAAAAGAAAAGAATGAAGAATTGCATGAATCGAGTTAGACTCGATAGGGCTGTTAGGCTCATCGGAATAATAATATCCTTTTGAATGTTAACGTATCCAGAAGTCACTGGCTATGAAGCATACAACTGAAATGGTAACTGGTTTAAGGTAAACTTTGACCGGTCTGTGACTTATTAATTTAACTTGATATGAAGCATACAACTGTTATGTTCACTGGTTAAAGAACACTCTCACTCACTCTCATATGAGGCATACCTATATTATAGCAAATTGCAGTGGCAAGCCCCATAGTTTTGAAAATTATACCCGTACTCCTAAACGTAAAGATACTCTAAAGAAAAATTTTGAAATTTCCCCTAGAAATTGGCTGCCACTGTGTCCCCCCCCCCCCATACCATATATCAGTGCTGTTTGCATTTAGCATGAGTTGGGGAAAGATGGTTAGTGAATCACCTGCTTCAAAACTGTAAGGTGACAGAGAACAGTCCGATTGCGCAAATATTAGGATGATAAATTTATTACTGCCTATAGGCAAATTATAGTAATGCAGAATCAAGTCTGCCCACCTGAAGCCTGGATTGGTTTACCTAATCCCCATGCATTCTCACTCAATAAAAGGCGACCACTCCCTTTCCTTAAGAAGTCTTGAGTGTGCAGCTTTAAAATGCCAATTGTCGAAGCCTAATAATGCCAATTAATTGAAGGGCTGCAGCGTATCTTCTGCTTCAGGATTTTAACACCACACATACTTCAAAACTCCAACGAATGCAAAGAATGGTTAAACGCTACATGTTGAAGATTTTGGCAACGGATGCAAAATTCTGATCTCCAAAGACACTCCTTTCCGGGTTTCCATATGCGATCATTATCATTTTCACTTCAATAAGTCATAACCTATTAAATATTCCCTAGGTTTTCCTGCACAGCTAATTCTTTAACAGTTAATACGTTTTTTGAACTCCAGTCAACAAACTTAGGAAAGACACTCGCTTAGATGGCGCGCCAAAAAGGAGATGATAGGCGGCAACTGGCATTTCCAGCAAGGCATATTCCAAAAAAGGGTACACTTTCTTCTACAAGGGAAATTCGTTACATCATCGTTCTAAGGGCATTTTTTGTATTTGTTGAGACCTAGCTTTCGAAGCTTGTGACAGGACCCTGGAAAGCTATGCTTATCCATCAGTTTCCTGGTCCTTTCTCTTTGAAATTACAGAGAGCTGGCGACTCTTTACAATCTACGTGACAGTCTCGTCATGTCAGTGACTCGAGCCCGAGACCTTGGATATGTAATCTGCTACCCTAATCACTGAGCCATCATCGTAATTTTATACCGATCTGAAGTGAAAATTAAAAACCATTTTACTGATGAGACTCCAAGAGTTATCCTACTTCAGTGTGGTAGAAATTTCTCCATAACGAGAAGGAAATAGTACGGACGAAGAAAGATGTAATCTGTTATCCTCAATCGATAAAAGCAGTTCCAGTGTTAACATGAGCGGTTCAGTGTTGTAAATGTTCGAAATTAAATACGCTTCTCAGAAATATATAGGTGCTACTACTTTTCCAACAGACCCAAAACCAATGTAAGAAAATAATTGCCAAAAAACATAATCACCTTTAAAACTACCTCCACAAGGGCAATAAATAATGGAGACATTACCAAAATATTATCATCAAGTAACAAAAACAATCAAAATGATGGATGAAATCATTACTCAGCTCTCTTACCTTTGCATTCCCAAACTTATGTCCAAAAATGTTGGATTTATTCATGATAATCTCGACGTTTTCCCTGTTACATGGAATAGTTGACACCAGAGGGAAACAGATGAACTTGTACCTGTGGAATGAATTGTATCTGCATCAGGAGCAGCTTTTTAACAGAAGTAATTCAGGAGGGCATTTTTGTCATTAGCTTTATATAAATTGCTGTTTGAGGTCAACGTCTAAAACATTGAAATATTCAGAAAGTTAGAAAATTCCAGATGTAATAGGATGGAAAATCGTGTGCTTTCTAAAAGTATAACCTTGGCAACAAAAGTGTCATAAATGATTGATAAAAATCTATCAGATATCTTGAAAAGACTACAAATATCCTTGGTCCTTTTCAGCAACTTCTATTCGTTTGTTTCAAGCCAGAGTGAACAAACACAAATACTTTTATAACTAATACAAATGCTGCGTATATTGGTCTGTTGGCCTTTTGTGCACAGCATCGCTTTTGCCTGTCAAGAACTGACAGGTTGTCGTGACATTCTTCATTCAAGTAGCCAGTCATTCTGGACTTGACTTACCCAGACATGTTTGTGTATTTGCGCACAATACAATATTAGCTGCCACAAGCAGAAACACACATTGATCCCCCTTCCCACACCCACCTCCCATCAAAAGGTTTTCACAGCTATGAAAATAAAAGACCAGACCAGACTAGATAAAAACCAAAATCTGTTTCTCTTTGGGTATTATGAACAGTAACTAACCTTTCTAAAAATTGCTTAAAAGTGAGCCTGGCTGGGAATCCATCTTCACGAACTCGCAGAGTGTCATATAGGCAGAATCCTTGTATTTGCTTGAGAATAACTGAGTCATCGAATTCGTTAGGTTTCTCGCTGTTATTTGACTTGATACATCTAAAACGATAGAGAAATAATCAAATGACTGTTAAGCGCAAGACATACTAACATTTTTAAAGCAATTATGTATGGCTGGATACAGGCATCTGGTAGATATTGCTAAGAAATCAAGTGTGCTAAAAATTGCATAAGGCAGCAAGTAACCGCAATGTCGTTAGAACATTAGGGCACTATGCAGAACCTGCCTAGCTGCTGTATCAGACTATCAGAACGACAACTAAAGGTGCATAAAGGAAAATATTATAACTTAACTATAATGGTCAAAAGTTTGTCTTATATAGTAGCACAGCGGTTGCAGAATGGGGCCTAACAAATGTGCAATGAAAGGGAACAGCTTTCTAGGCAAAACAATCACGAATTGCGAAAAATTGGTTCTTAAACAGGTAACAAACGACTCAAACTGCTAAAAAACCAAATAAAGACGACTTCACAGCCCATAGCAACTATTTTTTTGCTTATTGCCGAATGGACTTCTAAATACATGGATGGCATAGAGATTTATTATGGTCGAGAATTCTAAAACCGTCTGGTTTTACCATAAATCATTACCCAAAGTACAGCGAAGAATAAAATCGTAAAGAATTTAATTGCATATACTTCAAAACGTTGATTTACCTGATAAAATGTGGTTGACTTTGAAGTATTTTTTCCATTAATTCCACGAGAGAGTTCTAAAAAAATGTAAATCGAGTTTATAGGCAATTTCGAACGAAGATTTGTGGAAATTTATTGATAACAAAAGATTTATACCTAGTTAAACTCTTGAATATGTGATAAATGCTTTAATCGATGCAAAATATTTTCTGTCAAAAGGGTTGTAGATCTGTTATGTACATGAGGGTGGGAACATTTGAAATCTTTACCACGACTTGGTGTAAAAGTGTGAATATGCATACACTGATTTAGGGGAAAAGCTATACATGCTATTTTTATTCTATAAAATGTTTGGCAATGTTCTGTTTTAACTTGGCAAAATGATAATTAATGCTATTTTGACAAAGCATAATCAAAATAAATCAAAGAAATCGTGAAGGAGACAAAGAACAAAATCAAAAGCATTGCTAGTTTTATTGGAGCATAAGACTTCAAACAGACGTATAATTTAAAAGAAACAAATCTTTGAAGAATGAAGGATAGTGAGACCAAAACCTATGTTAAACTGTCTGAAAAGACATCCTCTTGTCAATATTAAATATCGAAAAATGTTTAGTAAAAACTATACAAACCCGGAACTGTGTTCCAGTCGTAAAATTTGGCTTTTGTTTACGACCTCGGGCTGACGTCGAGCTAGCCTCGCTTGTTTTCCTACAAAAAATTAGACAGTTGGTGCTTAATAGGAGAACAAAACGAAAAGTAACTTAACCACGCTTAAACCAAAGTTAGGTAAAAGACTCAAAAAAATGTTAACTATGGATTTAAAACTCTCTTTTAACCAAAATCAGCAGTTATAAATCATCAAAAAAATTTTTACTAACAAAAACATTGTTCCACAATATCTCAGACAAAAGACAAAGAAATAATTGCAGGATTGTATTAATTTTTCAGTTATCTGTACTTAAATACCTTTTTCTTGGAGTTTGCTTCGAATCCTTTGGGTTGTCTTTCACTGAATTTGGACTGGAATAAAAAGAGATTTCTAAATTTTTCCTTTCCAGGAAAATCTAAACATAACTTTCAAAGATTCAATTTCTTCAATTTTAAGACTTTTTGGTAAAATTCTAACTTTGACCTTTGATATCTTATCTCTTTCGTGTATGTTACTAGTTTCTCTTGAACTTAGGTACGTTTTAGACAGGTCCTTGATTAATATCAGCAAGTAGTTGCTGAACAAAGTTAAGCCCTGTCCACACTGCAATAACCCGGGTTCTCCCCAAGTTTTCGCTAACCCAGGTTAGATTTTGCAGTGTGGACACAACTAACCTGGGTTCGCCCTGGGTTCGCCCTGGGTTAGTTTAACCCATTTCCAGAGATGGGTCCAACCAAGGTAAGTTTTATGAACTTCTAGTGTGGACACAAACCTGGGGCGAACCTGGATTAGTTTGTGTAGTGTGGACAGGGCTTTAATCTGTATAAATATGAAATGTAACATTATTTAGATGGGTTACATCCTTTTGGAAATGAAAACATTCAAATAAATTTTTCATAACAGTCTGTTTTAGAAATATTTGACAACCAAAACAAATGGCAGACAAGTCAAGTGGAAAAAACTTTGAACTTTGACAGTAACTTTAGGACTGCTTAATTGGAATCAAATCATCATATATTCAATTGATTCATCAACATTTTGTCGTAGTGACAATTTTCTGATGACGGCATTCAAGCGTGAAATTCGGAGTAGCAGCTTGCACAAAGTGTGTACGGTACTACCAAGACGGCATCCAGCAGTATTTCACTGACCGGTACGGTACACAATTATTTTCATTAGCATCGCATTGGCATAATTAATGACAGGGCAGTTAAGGAATCGTATAAGCATTATTGATGACAGGGCAAGTCTAAGGCAGTTAAGGAATCGTATATCAACTTGTTAAAGTACCTTTGCACCGCTCCACAAAAAACGAGTTTAATATTTAGGGTACGATTCACTTGATAACAGTTACTAGAGCATTGCTAAGAGTATTAAGTTTTTCGCTTACTCGATGACGAATGATCCAGTTTTCGAAATGGTTCCTTGAAAAAGCGAGCTCACAACGCTGTTGCTAGAGTCTAAAACAGGATTTTGAGAAAAAGTTATGGAAAAGAGTTAGGGACATTAAACGATGTTTAAGCTGTGCAAATGACTATAATATGAAATAATACTTAAACAAAATGCCAATGTAGATGCCGAAACATGTTAACAAGAATGCTGAAATTCAAGTTTAGAAGACAGTGACCAGAGAAAAAAGACCACAGTAGGAGGGAAGAGAAAAGGACAGAGAAGGAGTGAAGGAAAGATGACAGCGGGGTAAGGAAGGAGAGGGGAAGGAGAAGAAAAGAAGAGGAAATAGATGAAATTGAACATCATCAGGGGAGAACAGGAAATGGGATGGATGGGAAAGTATGAAACGGTCCTCACTAAACCACCTTTTGTCTGTTAGCATAAATTTCAGCGAAACAATGCCCTGTCAAATTTTATTCAACTTGGATGACTATTAATAAATACTATGTATACAATGAGGCAGGTATATATTAAATAAATGACAAAGATCAAATGAATAGGTATAGTTCGAAAAAGCCTGATGAATATTTTGGATACCTTCTAAACAATTTGTCGCAGTTATGACAAGCATACTATAAATCCAAAAAAATAAACTTGCAACGGAATTATACGCATGGATAGATTGCTGAACATTTCTTATAATATCATTTTTCAAACTTGCCTACAGATCTGGTTGTAGAGTTTGCCTTAAAGACTCATTGCTAACAATGAGCCATTGAGCCACGTAAGCGTCCCATAATGCATTTTTGGACAGTCTGAAATCAATTTTGGTTAATCCGTAGAAGTTTACTGCCATTGTTTGGACCGTCACCCCGCTCGCAAAGGCCCATTGTTAGCAATGAGTCTTTAAAGTGCACTTTAGCGAGGCTTGGTATGATAAGGGTCGGCATGGAAAAGAAAGAAAAAAAAGGCATTGAAAGGAATAAGGAAGCTGAAACAGAGTGGCAGAAATGGAGGGAAGATCGATAGTGCTAAGTAAAAGAAGGAGTTGGAAAAAGGGGCTGGAATATGGGATGGATGGAAAATGAAATGAAAAGAAAGAAATTAAAGCAAAGAAAGGGGAAAGAAGAAAAGAGCAATTTTGAAAAATGTTGAAATAAGAATAGATGTACCTTTTAGACAGTCGATAATATGACTACTAATTGTTGCTCTGTTTTTCTGAAGAAAACCATCCACAAAGTAATGAACCTAAAAAAAATTCGACTAAACTAAAAACTATGCTTCTGCTAAATTCGTATGGAAAAAGTAAAAACACGGAAGACAAATGTATGAAACACTGAGTTTCTGTAGAAACAAGTACTATCACGGAGTAATAGAAACCAGTTTGTATACAATCAAATTGGCTTCAGTTGAAAATGGCAACTGACTTAACAGTGGACTAGACGACTAGGCCTTGATTTTCGAAGTTCGATCTTTAAATAAAATATGCTGTTTTATTGATATCAAAAATGATTATATCAAAAAGATGTGTATAATATTTTTTCATCTCCTCCGCTGCTTTGACGTCATCGTATTTCATTTAATACGCGGAAGTTGTACCCTCTATTTTCTATCTAGTTGTTAGATGCGGAATGTTTGATGAAGAAACAACAGAGTCGTTCCTTGTCAGACGGTTGACAATAATAACAGGCTCATCTATACAGTGTTGCTATTACTATCAAGTGAAGCATCAAATCTCAAAAATCAGGTTAAACTAAATCAGGTTAAACAATTCCTCTTGGATGTAAATTGAAAAATCATTTCTAAGCACACCCTTTACTGAAAAGCAGATTAAAAACAACTTCAAATAGTAAGACATAAGATGTCTAACCATGGCATTGCGAAGGACAGGTACAGAGAAAACTCGATATACCACATACCTTCCCATTAAAGTGAGTGATTGCAAACATTGGTCTTTTGCTGCTGATATTGGAGTAATTAGTATGATCGACGCAGTTGGCATTGAACTTCGAGACCAACGTGTTATCGTCTGCGTTAGGGTAGCGGCTTTCTTCGTCTAGTAATGCAAACAGCCCTGAAGGCTTCTACAAGGACAAGAGCTTGAAATGAGGTCAAAGCCGTGGGTTAGGGCTATTAGAAGCAGTAGATGTAATTTTCTAGGCTACACACTACATAAAACTATAATGATTAGAAAGTATGAAAGGAAAGGTTTCGAAATAAGTCTTACAAGATCCTTAAAATCTATCAATTAAAACTTTGTGACAATCATCATATCAATACGTGCTTTGTGGATACTTATATGGAAAACCTGTTTTTTATTTGAAAAGAAATCTACCCCTAACATCCCTCGTGTTTTCTCCTCAATCACTTAAATGCTAGCTTCCCAAATGCGAACTTTTTCCAGAATTTTTTGAATAACTGGTGGCCTGTTACACCATACGATCCAATGAAATTACAACAATGAAAACGATTATATTGTATAAACACCGTCTTTAAAAGAGAAGGTTATCTTTAAAACAAAATTTTTACACATTCAATCATACAATTTGATAAAGCAGATCTGTGACCAAACATAAGCATGTGATACAACTAAACAAACAAGGCCAGCATTAAAAAAGGCTGGACACTTTCATGACTAAGCAAGAATTGAGCTCTGTTTTGAGGGATTCTGCTATCAATATTAGAAAGCCTACAGAAAAATGTGCAAAACATTTAGAAGATGCCTTTTGTGGGGTTGAATTAAGTCAAGTATTGAAACTCAATGTAGGAAAGCAATTGAAATGTAACTTTTTACCTTTTTCAGTTGGCTAAGAAAAAAAATTCCGTGGAAAACACTAGTTGTTAATCGAGCTTTATGTTCTTAACCGATAGAGTGGTTACTTACCTCTAATAAAAGATTAATTATTGTTTTATTGTCTGGATAATCTAGAGCGAGTCCTTCAACGCCTTCTTGCTCGTGTTCCAGCTGTGAAGCGCAAATTAAAAAATAGTAATAGCCACAGATGGAAACATTTGCTCAAAAAGCTGAATCCTTTAAGGAATAAAAGCTAAACAAGATTTAGTGTTACAATGCCGAAGACCACATTAAAGGTTATTGCGCAACCGGCGACTTCATTTTCAAAACCGGCCTAATATCGTCCTGCATGAAAATACAAAATACAATCAATTTCGCAGGACAGCTGCCGCTAAGCATGCCGGTTGCGCAAGAGCCTTTAATGAAAAGAACTGAAACATTTTTAAAAAACTTTAAATTCTATAACTTACGAGATTTGAAGTAAGATTTATGGGTATTTTAAGGAAAATTTTAGAGCCAAAACAGAAAGGACCGTGGTAACGAACCCACTTGATAAGAGTATTACATGCAGGCATACGTTTATACATGCTGGTGCATAAATACTAAAACATTACAAATGCAAAGATTACAATAATTGGCATGTGATCAAAATGCATACCAAAGTAACGCAACTCTAGCAATCTCCGTCGAATTTATTGCAATCTGAACTGTGAAAAAACACAACAACAGATGCACGATGGCAAAAATGGCATTATTTCAGACATTTTTTGTATTAGACAACAAACAATTTCTAGCATAAAATACGTACCTTTTCCCATGCGAATATATGCTGAACATAAAAGAAATTCAGTTGTTCATTTGCAGAATTAACACACAGCTGCTCAAATGTGTTCGTTTCAAATTCCTCAAACCCAAAAATATCCAAAAGTCCCAATGAAGGAGCATTTGCAACCCTTAAAAAAATGTTTCGAAAATTTTTAGATGGCGCCCAACTCGGTTAGTAAAGCGACAAAAAGAGTTTGGAATGCAATAAGAATAAATAAATATTACACACTGCTCGGTATGAAAAGATCAATAAGTATCGTGAAATTTACAAGGCAATTAAAAGGGTAGGTTTCATTGATTCATTGGTAAGCGAGCATCAGAGAAACATAAGCAAAAATCATCACCCAATAGATATGACTCATTAAAGAACCTCCAACAGAATATCTGGCCTAAGGGTCCACATGTTTCACTTGCCATTTATCCAGATAAGCAATTTCATATACAGAAAACAGTTAGAACTACTAATAAATAATCCAGACAAAAGAAAAATAAAACTTTTAATTCCAATAATTATTTGAGAAATGTATTGTCCTGTCTTCAAATAAAGTCAGGTTGGTTTCTTTGTAATGTAGTAATTGCAGACTAATCATGCTGGGTGTAGAGACAACCGGCGATAGTGCTTTACTATTACTTAAACAATCATAAAATTCTCGCTTTTCGTATGTTTGTAGATTAAATGTGCAAACTCTTTTAACTCACTTTTTCTTGTGGTCTAGGCATTGAATGAAACTATTGATTTTGAAAACAATCCAACTGAACAGTCTGCCATAAAGTTCTTTAGACAGGAGATCTCGTCCTACACTGGCTTTTGAAATACTTTTGGCGGCTGTCATTGTTTCTCCTGGAATTAAACAAAACAAAATGTAAGAAAAAATGGAAAAAATAAAAATGAAGCAAACAAAAATTAAACAAAACAAAATAGAACAAAACTGAATTAAACATAACTTAGGAAAATTTAGCAATTACGATTTAAGTTAAAAGTAAAACAAAGTGAGCACATACATCGTATAAAACTTTTATCTCTAGCTAAGGATTACTAATTCTCGTTCGATTAATGTTTTATCTATTTCAAACAAAAAATGTTCGAAATGGCTGTTTTCCACGAATCAAAAATAAGATAAATAAAACCAATTTATAAATCATGTTTCAACTGATGGAAACGATGATTAAAACAAAGTTTATATCATGAGTTGATAAGGACAACAAAAACATAACATATAGCAAAATTACTTTCATTATTAAAAAGAAATATCTAGCTTCTATCCAGACTGCATTCTTTATCATGCGTGGATAATATATTCTCAGATATTTTAATAATAGCAAAAAATGATTTTCACGTAGTTTCTTACGTGATTTCATGTTGTTAATCTTAGTCTTTCAGTATGTATTCTTGTTTGCGTTATGTTACCTTAATTGTTAATTCAGGATTCTAAACTAAGAGCAGTTTTTAAAAGGTCATTGTCATTCGCAGCAAAATGTCGAGTATCGAGGGAGTATCGTTAATCACATCTGCGCAAAATCTCCGCACAATACACAGAAAATGTAGTCTGGGCTTCTATTTTCGACTACTCAACGACTTTTCAGCCAGTCTACTCGTGATATAAGCTAATCTCTGTTGATCAAAAGCAAAGATTAGATGTGACCCAATGATATCCAGTAATCGTAATGCAGTATTTAAACAGCTTACCATCAACAGTTGCAGTTAATGTAGTTAACGCTTTCTCAAATTTTTCCTTGTCCATGCCAAGAAGGATAGCAGCTAAGAAGCATAAAACAGAACTGTCATTAGGCATGGTACAACAAATAACCTAATGATGTGTTACGTAATTATACCTAGGGAAGTGAAAGCTAAGACCAACGCCTGGCAAATCCAACGAGCAACAAAGGCGAGAGCAGCTGCATGTAGGAACATGCAAGAAATAAAAAAGGATATTGTGGAGATGAGTATAAAATGAATAAACCTCTCTTACTTATTGGAAAAGCTTCTGAATATATTAAATTGCTGCAAAATTCAATGTATGCATGATCATTCTTTTAGCCTGAATATTGAATAAAGACTTAACAAACTGATTTAAATTCAACGATGATGTCGTTTGGCTAGAACTTTAAGATCACGTTACATTGAGGCTTTAAAAATAGAAGTGAAAACCATTGATTGCACAGTAAAACGGGTTATCCCCATCCCTTACCAATCCTGAGCATAAAGATGTCAAACCAAATTTCCTTCCTCCCATTGCCCTAACTTTGTTCACCAACTTAATTTCAGAAATGATGTCAATTTTTCAACGATACCAAAGAGGCCAACTTCTTCCTAACTTACTGGAAACTTGAACCATTTTTAGCGGTACAAAGTTTGAAAATGGCTTTGAAAAATGTTTGCTTTTATCAAAGCCATTTTCTAATTGTAAAGTGAAAAAACAAAAAGCAAGAAAGATACAAGGTAACAGTGTAACCGCACAAAGATAAGAAAAACTTACCATTTTCAATTGAATCTGTTGTGTTAACGAAGAGCTCTGCGCTGTCATCTTTGGTGGCAAATTTCATATTTCCAACATTCAAAATTCCTGATAAAACTTGAAAACAATCTGCAATTTCCTAAAAAATGAAAATGGTAAGGAGGGTTTAGAGCGACGTTTAACAGAAAAAGCTATATGAGAAGATGTAGCCTTCGTTCTTGAATAAAACTTACAGTGAATATGCTATTTTATTGGAATAAAAACTTTTCTCATCGTTATAACCCTTAAATGATAGATCTTTCATTACCTTCCCTTTTTCGAATCTAATTGAAAAGCCTGTAGCCCAACTTCTAGATCTATCCGTGAATATTGGAACCTAACAGTAAAAAATTCCCATTTTTGTGCATGCTCTGCTGAATGGCAGTATGAGAATGTTCTGGCATAATAACTTATACTTGGGGCTAAAAAAGGTTCTTTCCCCTAAAGAATTATCTCCAATAATGACCGATGCCAATAACAAATTTATTTCGAATAAAGTTCTCTTGATTCACTCTTTGCTCACTCTTTGCAGCCGCAAGCCAGTACCCAAACCGATGCCTATGGTAACTACTAAATAAAAAAGCCTTTATTAGAGATGGCTGGATTTCTCTGATAAAAGACCCAAGAAGGGAGGAAAAGGCGCTCAGGACTTTACTTGCACGTCTCGATTGCAGTTAATTTAAATGAAAACATGGCACGCCAAAAGTCAAAATAACTGGAGCATTCCAGTTTTGATAACCTAACTTCACAATTTAATATAGTCATGTTGGCTAAGTACATTTCTGAGAAAAACTAAACAAGCTGTAGTATGGAAAATAGCGTGAAGATTTTACGATACACCAGGGCAGACGTTTCTATATTATTCTCTCAACTGGGTCGATGAGTGACAATTGTATTGTCTCTGTACAGTGAAAAAATGGTACTGATTTTTTTTATCAATCAAAACCTAAAGAGAAAAACAACTTACTTTATTTGCACCATGCAGTGGGGAAGGAGATATAGTCATCTGGTCCCGACTGCAGATGGTGCTTACAATTCAACAGAATTACAATAGTCAATAATAAGTTTGTCTCACATTAGATGTCGGAAGAAATCGGTCATAAAAATAAGTTCTGAACTGTAATTAGACAGTCCAGAATGCCCAAAAATGGTCCTGATTGAAATGCGATTGATGGCCTACTTACAGGCAATGTCTAAGCATCAACAACAGATAGTTTAATTTCGTCCAGTTAAAAAACAATCGAAAACTTTCTTCTTGTGTGTCTCCAAAATAAGGTAATCAAGTTGCATGAAATTCAAAATAATGGCTCTGTTTCCTTTCTTTTCGTATCTTCCACTAACAAAACTGGGCTGAGTAAAAATACTCCCTAATATCAAACATCAATATGACTTCTTAGATATTTTTGTTAACAATCTAGACTTCGAATTAGAAAAGTACCTTACAGATTTGAAATTGAATAATTAGTTCTAACTGAATTATGGTCGGGCTTTAATCTGTGCTTTTAAATGGATGCACTCTTGTATACATATGTTGATGTTTTCTCTTGACACGAAAGCTCTTGCGGTTATCTATCAATGAATTCAATGGATTTAAATTCTAAATGCTACACTGAAGACCAACAAAAGACAATAAATACTATAATTTCATATCAGTCAATGACGGAAAAAAGTCGTGTTTCACAACAGCTAATACATTGCAAAGATTTGGTAATTTGTTATTTTCATAGTTCAAAGCTATCTTCAAACCGATCACAAGCTATTGCTCAATTTGACGGTAACCATGAACATTAAACAAAAGTCACAGCAAGGAAAACAAAATGAGGATTGGTTTTTGAAGCACCTTTTTTCTTGTCTAAATCTGATATAAAATCCTTCTCAAAATGGTTTTCTCTCAAACTGAGTTATATAATCGACAAAATCAATTGAAAATTACGTTTAAACACTAATCAATACGAAATGTGAAGTAGAATGCGTCTTTGTGGTAACTTAACTCCTCAGAATCAAGCCAAAGACAATTTACTGCATTCTGTTGTTGAGAGGATGCTCATACGGAGAGGTTACTGTAGACCAAAGACTTAAATAAGAGTTCTATAGCACTTCAGGGGATGCGCTGCCATGGTAGAAATGTAGCACAGCATGAGTAAGAAATACACTGAAACCGTAAAATGTTTGTGCAAGGTAAGGTGGGTGATGTAAGAAAAACCAGCCATTGAGGCATTACGTTATTTGTTGAAGCATCATCTTATCTCTGCTAGCTAGAAAGAGAGGCTTAATCTGATTATGTTGTTTGTTTACTTCAGGAGATTTACTGGATTTTAAGTGTTGTTCTGGTGTGCGATTGGATGATACGCTTGATCTATATTTAGAATTTTTGCTCGTTGCAAATGCACGCTTTGATCCCTGCAGAAATCCCTTCAAAAAGGAAGGTATTGGAATGAAATACTTTACGCAAGCCAAGGAACATGCAGCAAAGAACAAACTGTTATCAAATTGGCTATCATATGTACGTCACATGAACAAAATTTGAATACAATAATATAACGACTTTGTACAAGAAATGAATACTTGGTACGACGTTTCGAACATAACTCCTTATGAAGAGTCATGCTCGAAATATCGTACCAAATATTCATTTCTTGTACAAAGTCGTACAAAGTACAAAGTTTTATTGTATTCAAATTTTGTTCATTTTCGACGTACAACACGCACAACTTCATTGATTATCATTTAAACTTGGCTTGTTTGCAACAAATTACTTAAGCCTTACCTCTATCGTGAAGCCAATGTTCTTCATTGATTTGCAAACACCCAAATACATCCTTTTCAGGTAGTTTTCTTCAGCTTGTGAATCTGCAAGTGGTGTGCCAAAACCAAGGTATCTGCAGAGATGAATTTAATTTGTCATCAGTAGTGTATATAGTATGTTATGGCCAGACTGGCTGTGGAAAGGATCTACGTTTCTAGCAAGGCTTAATTCCTCTTCCTGCGCATTAAAATGAATATAAATCGAATCGAAATCCTCACACTGCGATCTTTTTCCAACATAATTTAGTAAGAGAATACGAAAGAAACAGTAACGTGTCGGTGCAGGCGTATTGTTTGAGAAACGTTTCGCCAAGGATCTCTAACAAATCTGAAAATTCCGAACTGGCTTAAGGATCAAGTTTTTATTCAAAAAAGCGAAGAACATTGAAAAACAACTTAGGAACAACTTTTGCATATATTTAATCAAATTTTGTTACATAAAACGAATTTAGAAAGAAAAAGCAGAAGGTAGAGATTGGTGGAGACTATGGTAAACTGCGAATCCCATGTTCGGAGTCTTAATCTTTATAAGTTCGTTGGATCTATTTCTAACTGCGTTTTTACCTGTGGTTTTCCATTGTTCCAAGGTATAGCTGGTCAAGTTCTTCTTGAGACATCCCGTGAAAAAGATAGTAAAATATGTGGAAATTTCTCCCTTCCTAGAAAGAAGAACAGATGTGGCGATGTTATAAGCAACAGAAGTCACATTCTCAAGAACAGAAGTCCCAAAGGGAACAAGCAGCAGTTGCGAAGCCAAAGGTCCTGCTTGTCCTGCTGGGCAGGACCACAAATTTCCAAAGATAACAATTTTTAAAATTAGAAAAATTGATTCACTTTATGAAATCATTACATGCCTGATTCAAAGGCATTTCTTGTCTTATTCTACACTTACACTTCGTGGCTGTACCCCTTTTCAATTCTGAGACACAAGGTGACTGTAATGGAATTCTGAGAATCCCGTTCGTAAGTTGATATCGTCGAAAATTTAGCCAGGTGGCCATTTTAGAAAGAATTTTTGTGATGCTCTTTTGACTTATTCAATGTAAGGCAGGAGGAACTTGAAAGGATCCGAACCCTCTTCCCCTTTTTTCAACATATGCAGAAGGGCGTTTCCCCTTTTTCGAGGGTCGTTAGGGCGTGGCTTCAGGCGATTTTTCTGGGGGCTACGCCCCCAAACCCTCTTTAAGCTGGACCACCTGCTTCGCCATTGACAAGCAGACAAGCAAGCATTGTATCCACCTTATAAAACATCAGGACGGTGCCTGCGATGAGAACCTCTCTGAGTAAAGCAATACAACAAATGACGGTTTCTGAAGAGGGGAGGGGTATTTTATAATTAGAGATTTCAATAGCAAACACACTTGGGTTAACCTAGACATTTCTTTGGCACTGAACAAACAACGATATCGATTACCACAGAATGCAGAGGCCATGATTCCTCGAGGCGAAACCTTGAAAATGTTATCCCAAACCCATTTTAGGACTAAATTGATTGGATACAGCCAAGGCAAACTAGATGCCTGTTCAGGGCATGCACCGTTCAGGAAAGGACACCTAACCCAAATCGAAATTTGCACCTAGGCCTAGTTGAGTATTTCCTGAGGGGCGTCCGCCCAGTGCTTCCAACCAGCCAATCCTCCCCTGGGAATCCTGGGTGCAAAGTAAATAGCACCTTAAGCCGTTTCTATTCAAGCAAAGAAATCAAACAGACAAATTGACTCAGGATCTTAAAGCAAGTAAAAGAATTCAAGCACCGATCGCGAAATCTGCTTTAAAACTCCGGAACAATTGCATAAAAGAGCCATAATAAACAGAACTGTTTACAAACAATGATGTGTCTAGACGCGGCAGTCTGGGATTGAAACATCAATAGCAAACACGGAAATAGCATAAAATAAAACTCTCTAAAGAAATCTGTAAAAATAGGAAGAAAATAAAACCTGGAAGGTTTTAGACCACTTAAAACAACATAATTAACAGGAAATTCAGTTTGTGTAGATCTAAATCCTATAAGTAAAAACACAAGCAATCCTTTTCAGTGCATCAAATCTTCGTTTTGGCAATAACCCTTTCAACTTCTTAACCAAGCTTCACACTATTTCCAAGCACAACATATTTGCTACCTTGACAGGCTATTATCTAAAAACAGGATTTTAGCTAATGAAAGTTAATTTCGTTAATTCGACCGAAAACAAATTCGATGGTCTGCTAAAATGTCTGAGCAGAGAAGGAAAATATTTTTTAATAGTAGCCTTAAAAAGATTATTTGCCGAAATGAATCTGTAAATGAATTATTTATATTGACTTGACAAAATATAAATATTGAAACCAAACTGATAAAAACACGAAATATTTAATGTACTATCAATCAAAACAGAATTTCAAAGAAAGTTTTTTTTAAATGCTACATTGAATTACCTTTCTCTGTCTGATCACTCTGGTCTTTTCTAGCATATAATCGGAAAATGATGCTGAAGTGGATAAGAAAAATCTTTATGAGAAAATTTGTTATCTTTTCATAAATTTATTAAAATGATGATTGAAAAAAAAATTCTAGTAACAGAAAAGTGGTGATTGACTGCAGAAGCTTTGTACTTGAAGAGTGTCATGAAAAGCTTTAGCACCATATTTCAAAATTTTTGCTGTTTTTCAAAGGCATTTTTAACTTCTGTATCACAAAAAGATTGGCTGCAGATTATAACATTGGGATGGCAGAATTTTTGTAGGTGGAGAAATGTGTGATATTAAACACAAAAGTGTGCTTGTCTTTAAAGTAAGATAGTTCTAAACCTTTCTAATCTAACTCATCAAACTTAAAAGGCCTTGAGGTAGGGAAATGAAAATATGTGTCGACCCAGTAATAGACCTTAGCCCAAACCTCTGTCATTTTGAAAGAAATGAACAATTCACTTTGTTGCATAGTTACCCAACATTATTCTCTAACAAAATCTAGCACTAACATTGCTTCGCTTCTGCAAATTAATGCTGAATGTAGTGAAGGATCTTTCTAGTAGTTATTGAATATGGTGAACTTTAGAAGCACTGAATACCAGAAAATTCATATCCACACGATACAAAATTCCATGGAAGCCAAAAAACACAGGGCAAAGAATTAAAATCCTACCTGAAATAACAGTTCTGTCTGGTGAAAAGAAAAATTGCAAAAATTTTCCAAATCTTGTTGCATTTCTACTAAGTGGTGTTTTTGCATGTCCAAATGCATCCAAAATAATATTTGCCTGAACAGAAAATTATGCTTTAAGTGTTATTGACCTTTCTAACACTTTGAAATAAAACAATAAAACATCTTATAAAGCCTGGTCTGATAGGTTTATAGGTTATTCTTAGAGATTGATAAGCTGGTTTTTCAAGAAACAATAATTTACTAACAATATCTTACGAACACTCTCTAAAACTAGCTAAAACCAAGGCTTTTGAAAACAAACATAAACATCATCAGGCTTCTTACACAAACCAAATAGACAAAGGGATGTAATTTTGTTATTTACACTGAAGATACCCAGTTCATGAAGATCAAGGCTGCTAATGAAATGGTATTCAAAAAGAAATCTAATTCAGTAGAAGTCTTTTAAAACAGATATGTTCCTGCTCTTATGGACAAAGTTAAAATTTCAATGGAAAAGAGTAAAAAAACGTTTTATTTGATACCAATTAACATACCATTGTAATCTTATACTGAATGTCTGGTTTCTCTGCTTTTAACAGTTTCAATAAGCTGCTCAAAACTATCCGACCAATCTCTGTCTTGCCAGAGCATGTTTCTCCAGCAATTACACAACACTGACTTTCAGCTTTTTCACATATTCCCTCATACATTGATAGGGCAACACCATGTGGATGGGGACCCTTTGCATTCTCTTTATTTGCCTATCAATAAAGATATGAACTATATTCTACAAAACTCCTACAATAATAAAGCTTCAAATTGTGTTGCTTTTAATGCATCACTTGTGTTAACTTGAAAGATAAAAACTTAAACAATGTTAAAAGCTTATTTCAGGTTAAATTCTTCTGATTGAATATCACTACAAATAAAATTGGTCTGTTAGTTGTGAGGCAGTATCAAAGTTCGCACAATAATATTCTCTAAAAAATGGCCTGCTTCAAAATGCTTTATTATGGCAACCACCAAAATATGATGGCAAATGACAAAAACTTTGCTTATTTCAATGTTCAACATATCTGGTAGATTACTGAAACACAACTGAAATTTGTTTTTGTTTTTGTAAACAATATTTACTGTTTATTCATAAAAGAGAAAGGCAATTTGGCAAAATGAGCCGATAAAATGTTTGAGTGGTGATAACATTATCTAGCTTAACATAGCTTTGCAAAATGTTATATTTACATAACATTTATTTCTAAAAATATTTCCAACATACACTTAGATCAGCTCATAAAAAAATACTAACCAAGTCCTGCTTTGACACACCTCTGAAAGCATTCAGTGCTACCAACACATCTCCAAGAAATGTCTAGATTCCAAAACAAACAAAAAAGAATGAAGAATATTTTACACTCTTTTCTTAGAGAACAATTTTTGAGAAAACAAGCCTCAAAACTGGTCAAAAAATAAGAACAGATTAAGAACACAAGCTGAGGCTGAGGCAATAAAATCTCCTCAAAAACTTGTTTTCAGAAAACAAGGAGTTTTTTGCTATCTAGAGTGTTGCTTTGTCTGTGAATTCTTAAACTTGTAAGCAAATAAAGGATTGTCAACTCACTCTATTGGCAAATAGGCCATGGACACTCACTCCCCTTGAACACAATATTCAGAGATGGCACCGATTACACCCTAATAACTTAAGAACATCTTTTTATTCTTTTATTTTTCAATGCATCAAGGTAATAAGGAGAAAAATATTATTTTTCGTTCTGCAACAATATCTAACAATATTTAAAAATGTATAGAGTTTACAAAAACAAGTCAAAAATCAAACCAAGTGCTAAAAAGACAACTAGCTCAATACATGAGAAGCATTTAAGTCTCTTTTCAAAAAACTTACATTTAAAGGTAAACACAGAAGAGAAAATTTTGAAGGCAAGAAATGTTTTTCACAAAAAATTTTCAACTATTTTGTTGAGATTGGTGCCATACAACTAGAAAATTTACATTCTTGCAAGGGATTGGATACAAAAAAGATGAAAGGCTAACAGAACTGGACCAGGTCTTGTTGCTAAACCAAAAAATATATTTCTACTCTGGGATGGCTTTTTACATGCAAATAGGCTCTATTTAAGCTTAATAACTCTAAATTGTTTAGAATTCTATTGCCAGGAAAAGGCTTATAGGCAAAGATAATTAAATCTTCAAAAATATATTACAGATTTTTATCAATAAAAAGCTAAGAAACAGATTACTTGTTCAAAACAAACTATGCTTATAGAATCACTTAAGCCTTAATTGAAAAATAAATTCTTTAGGTAGCCGGAAATATCGAGCTAGACAAGTTTAGTAACAGAACAATGCAAAATTTTGCTTCCCACTTCGAATGGTGCTGCGGCCCTTACTTCATTTTATAAATCGATAAAAAGGTTTCATTCACCCTTCGATGTCAAGAGTTTTTATGATGAAATTTACAAGTTATAACATTTAAGTGCATTTAGAAAATTAGCAGCTGGGGAAAGGAGAGGAGGACGTGAAAGAAATTAAGAAGACAGCAAGGAGAGTTGCTAACAAATATAAACTTACGAAATTTTCGCCTCTCTTCTCCCGTTCTTTCAAAATCTCCAAGAGAGAGCCTTCATCTTCCAACCCTAGGTCTACAAGGTTGTCATCCATTTGTAACTTTTGAATGTTTCTTTTTATTTTCTTGCGGTCACGGAACAACGTCAATATGTTTATCTGGCCTAACAGCAAGGGTCTTTTGTTGACGCTATCCGACCAGTGATGTCAAGACGTCGAGCTTCTTTTACGAGTTTGTAGTTTTAGGTTTCAACCCATTTAGTAATTACAGTGTTAAAAATGTAAGCGATGTGCCGAATAAACTTATTTTTATCCATATTTAAACAGTTTACAGCATTTCTGGCGTGTTCCTGCACATTCGAACTATTGTCCAACGCGATGAATAATTCAAATTAAATTTTCTACGTATACTGCAAACGAGGCCACAGTTTGAACGAGATTTCTACCCCGATTTTTGAAAATGTTCTCATTTCAGTTCTACATCCCTATCTTCACCCAAGGTTCTACAGTAGGATTTTTGTGTGTAACATACTTGCCAACCACCATCCATGTAACATCAATGAGCAACTTTTAACTATTTACGTTCACATTTATGATCTATGTGCGTGCAAACAGACATGTCGTACTTAGAGGCATTTACACTCTACAGTGATTTTGTGCTTTAGAATTCATGTCGATCTAGGTGAACATAAAGAGTTTAAGAAAAATGAAATAATACATCATTGTAAGTTAGTTGTGCTGTATTTTAGTATTTGCTATAGTGGCTTTTGGAATCACGGATTTGCAATCCAGTTTGCTGACTGGCAGCACTTGCTTCTGGGGTCAGAAAATTAAAAATGTATTTCAAATTCAAATCAAAACGTACTCTGGTATTATTTACAGTCTACAAAGAAAAGGTAAAGAGTTGAAAAATATCCATTAGTAGGAACAGTGAAAATGGTCTATTTTTGAAAACAATCGACTGTTTCTAAAGATGAACGTCCTATATTGGTTCATGTTTAAGTTAAGGGTATCAGCCTGGCACTAAAGCTGGGATTATCATATAACGTAAAATACATAAAAATTCAGGCCCTTTTTCTAAACAGTCACCAGCCTTGTTCTAATTTTTTCACTAGAAGGAAGATATTTATTAAAAACACATCTTTTCATAAAACAAATGATATTATTCAAAACAAATTTAAAAGTACATATATAAGCTAATTCTTTTAATATGCAACTGTCTTATTAAGTCTAAAATTTCTTTCTTCAACTACAAGAGGCAATTTTTCTCCACCAAGGCCTGCTCTTCGCTCTAAGTATTTGTTTCAGATCACTGATCACTTCATTAAGATCGCTGTTTCGGTCTTGCACAGCCCGAAGTTCTTTTTCCACGAGCAACTTTGACTTTTTCTCTTCTGACAGCATCTGATTTTCTTTAGCAAGAGCATCGATCTTCTCTTTGCATTCTTTATTCTGATTTTGCAAAGATGCAATATTTGAGTTCATTGCTAGACTAAGCTGCAAATGCTTGCTGTATTCATCGATCGAGGTCTTCAGCAGCCTATCTTTCTCACTTTCCAAGTTTTTATTCTGCAATAGAGCAATAGTTCTTACTCATTGTGCAATGAATTCAAAGATGTCTATTTTTTACAATAACCGAGCACCATGCCAATAAATCCCTTACCCTAAATAATAGGTGACAGTCACACTAACAAAGGTGTCTTTGATAGGTCCAGGTATTAAACATAACCATCGTTCAGATTGTTTTAAATTTATTCTTAGAAGTATCCTCTTGATAATGATCCACCAGTAGTGTTAATGATCCATTTTTCTGCTTATCTTTTCAGCTCTTACTAAATTACTGTCAATGGTTCAAAACTTGCTGATCACTTCACTTAGTTACAAATTCATCCTGAGAAGTTTCACTTGAAAAGTAATTTAAACTTTCTTTTAAAAATCTACAAAGGCAAAAGACCTCATCTTACGTTTTCTTCTAGAACAGAAGCTTTTGTCTTAAATTCTTGTGCTCTTGACTTCCAGTTCTTCATATTCAAAGTCATTTCCAGCAACTTTATGGAAGTCGCTTCAAAACTTTCTTCGGCATCAACAAGACTGCGTTCCAACAACTTGAGCTTCAGTTCCATATCTTTGCTTACTTTTTCTTTCGATTGGTTGTCTTCTTCTAACTTTTTCACTTGTTCTTCACTAACCGACAACTTTTCATCAACAATGGCTTCTCGTTGTTCCGATGCCCAAAGCTGTTTTCCGAGAAAAAATGTTTGTTAAAAAGTCTTTCAAATTATAATAATAATTAACTGGATTAACAACAACAGTTAGACCTTTATCCATCATTGTGGCTATAAAATTTATTATCCTACAACATGGAAACTGCAAAAATCTAAGCGAGTTGGATGTAGAAGAAATTTGCTTTGTTCGAATCCCATCTGAGAAAATCATTTATTAAAAATTTGTTTTTATTGAAATTGTCAATGTGTCGAATAATTGTGTTGACTTTATAAGCATACCTTCTCTGCCAACAAGGAGCATCTGACTTCACTTTCTTCAGTTCTCGATTTCCAGTCTCTCACTTCCTTGGACAACTCCTCAAGTACAAATGAAGTTTCCCTTGCGTCATCTTCCAAAGCCAGTAGCTCTCCTTCGATTGTTTTGACATCGATTATAAGCAGAAACTTGGTTTCCTCCAGTGTCTTAATTGTTCCCTCGCAATCCGACAACCGTTCTTTGGCAAACAATGCTTGCTGCTCAAGCTCAGAAATATGTTTTTGTTGGGCTTCTGCGTGTTCTTTGGAATCTCTGAGCTGCGAAAAAATAAATGTTTCTTATAAGGAATCGTCCACCAATCTTCAATGTAAAATTTCCGACAAATTTAACGATCTGTCGATTGAAAGATTACCTAAAATTGCTGTCATTAATATTCACAAAATACTTCTAAACACCAACCTCACTCTGCAATATCTGCTGCTGATTCTGGTTCTCTTCATCTTGCTCTCTGATGAGTTCCTCTAAAGAGTCAATTATCACTTGACTGCTTAGATTTTCTGCCATCTTTTCTTCTCTTAATTCTCTATTCTCATTTTGCAAGTTTTCCATTTCTTCTTTGAGAAGATGTTGACTTTGTGTTAAATCTTCATTTTCCGTTTTTAGAAGGGCTTTCTCCTCTCCCCATTGTTTCTTGATCACCTGATACAAGGATATAAATATTATTCAAGTATAAAAATTCTTGTTAATTTCAATTACTTTTGTACAATAATCTTCAGACGAGTTCAGACTTTCTTACTTATACATATCTTCAAAGCAAAAAATTAGCCATTTTATATGTTTTTCTGATAATAATGAAGCTTAAAAACCCTCTGCAGTGAGTGTTAAAAAACAGCAATGTACCTTGAGAATATTCATCATATTCTGCATAGTCAAAGGAGTTTGACAACTGTCTTTGTCGGCCAAGGTGCCAAAGTTCTCTTGAAGAAATACCGCAAAGATCTGTTTCGCACACAACCTCTGCATTGCAAGCATGGATTTCTCTCGCTCATTCTCCAGCTCTCTTGTTAGTAGAAACAACTAGAATCGAATAAACGTTTATGAGCAAATAAGAGTCATTTTAAGAAAGGGTTGTTTTCTTTACTCAAACATATATTTTGTGATTCTTTGGTATCAACTTCAGATTATATCATCAGTACCAGCAAATTATAAACTTTGGACAAGGTTCGACATTACTTTTCCAGTTTATGTAATAACTGTTTTTAGAAAGTATGAAATGTGCAAACCTTGAATGGATAGTCCTTCTCTGTTTCTTTCCTGATCTTTTCAATTAAAGCGTGGTTGATGCAGCGAAGGTTTTCTTTGTCCTTCTCAACCGAGCTCAACTTTTCTCCCATCGAATTCATCTCCAACCTGATTTTAGACAACTCGCCTTTCACCTCCACGAATACGTTTTTCTGCTTTCTTCTACCTGCGTTCGCCATCACAGATTTTCTTGAAAGCCAGCAATAGAAAATCGCAAATTATCACAGTATCACGTTAAGTCTGGTATACTCAAAACGGCACTTGAATTAAGTGTAAAGTAGTTCGGAACGATGCCTCTTTTATAGCGCTAGAGTTGCGAGATTGTGACGTAGTTTGATTAAAAGTTGTACGAGGATTTTTACGTCACAATTAGATTTGAAACGAGGCCTTTTGCAAAATTGGAGAAAAAATCTGCAAATAAATACATTAATCTTTGTGGCAGAATTTAAAAAAAATTCAACCTCGATTTATCGTCTAGCCATACCTTAATAACAGCTGATAGACTAGAGCAATGATTTTGAAATAGTGACTCTGGTAGTAATTTTGGATATGTTTATAGATATTCTTCCTCTTTTAGAAATTCGATTTACGACAGTTTAGTGCTAGAAGATTTCAACAACATATATAATGAAGATTAACAGGGCCGTCGCTAGAAAATTTTCATGGGGGGATGGGGGGGGGATGGAAAACCAATGGTTTGCCGACAAAATGGGCGTGGCAACAGATACGGGCGTGGTTCTCAAACGATTATAATTATCATTGATCAAAATTCGGGAATATTTTTTCTCGAACTGCTATATTTCAGTTTCGCTCAGTGTCATAATTGCAGGGTGGCCAGCAAACCAAAAGGTCCCGGTCCAGGGTGTGGCAGATAAACTTTTTTGAGCCACACCAACTAATGCAAGAAAAGGCTAAAATATGCTCAGTTTGAATCAATTATTGACGGTTGTGGTTCTCTTTTTAAATCAAGGATTCTATGTATGGAGTTAAACTCTGCACAATAACAGCAAAAAAATGGTTCTATTAGTAACTCTAAGAAACTCTAATAACAGTTCAAAATAACAATTCTAGTCTGACAATATTTGCAATATTTTCAAGCGAACCTAATAAATATATATATATATATATATATATAGTATTCTGAAATTGAGCCAAGAAAATAATCAAAAATTTAACCTGCATGTTCTTTTCTTTGATGTGTTATCTTTTCATTTGTCTAGGTTAGTATCTTGGCTACAATTTGAAATCTACTGACCTAAAAACTTATTCACACTGAAACATCATTGAGAGAAATTAAAACGATATAGATTCCTTAGTCTGTACCAGTGGCGTAACAGAGACACTCGGGGCCCTTAGGAATTTACTAAGATGGGGCCCTTATTTAGGGGGACTGCGAAGTGAAGTGAGCTCTACGGGGCAAAGGGGTTCGGGGTAATGGGAAAATGTTTAAAATCGTGTCCTTTAGAACCTCGAGAAATGCACGTGATGTGGTAAAGAAAATGTTTACATATGAAAAAACCAACAGTAAATTAGGTGTTCTTGCTCACAACGTGAGCTTTTCTACGTGCATTAACGTTGGCAAAATCCTTTATAAGCTTTATTTTGTCAATTTTCTTTGCTTCCTTGTTCTCAATTGACAAAGTTGCTAGGTCGTCCAGTCCCTCCTGTGACATTGTAGATCTTAGATATGTCTTTTTCAGTTTCAACTTTGAAAATGATCTTTCTGCCGATGCAACAGTTACTGGCAAAGTGACGAAAAGTGTTAATAGCTTGTACATTTCTGGAAAGGATGACCTAATACGGCTCTGAAGCACGAGGTTATTAACTTCTAGAACAGTTTTCTTGACTGCAATCTCCTTTCTGAATTCAGTTGCAAAATATCTCATCTCAGAATCTAATTCATCTATAAAGTCATTTGGATATTTCTCACGAATTACTCGTACTGCATTTTCAAGCATGTCAGGACTCAGTGTTGCCAAGTTGTTGGGGTAGAGACAGCTGAATAATGACGTCACCATTGCTTGTCCTTGAACCTTTCTGTCAGTTGCATCAATGCTGTATCAACAGTCTTGTAGAAAACTTTTATCTTGAAACTTTGCTCAGGATCCATCAGTCTTCCATCTACAACAAGTTCATCTGATTCATATCTTGCTCTTTTGTTGAAACTCTAGCGATCCATCCCAAGATTTTGCAAGTGCTGTGGCAGTCAGCAATATAGACTGCCATGATTCTCGAAGATATTGGAGCTCCGAGAGTGCAGTATTAAGGTGTCTAGAGGCAACTGACAAGTCAATCCTAGGGGACTGAAGCTCCTTTGATACTGCATTGACTGATCTTAGTATTCTCTCCCAGAATACAAGGAAAATAATAAATTCTAGTGTGTCAATTTTTTCTTTGGACTCTTTGCGTTGTCACGCTCATTCTTGTTGTTTGATGTTAAGATGAGTCGCGTCAGAAGCCTCATTATCTGGGGATACTTGTCACGCACAGCTCGCACTGCATCAATGCGAGAGCTCCAACGTGTCGTACATAACTTTTTTAGTGTCAGTGATCCTTTCCCAGCTTCGATTCCAAGATCTCTCCATCTATTCAAGGAAGAGCCAAAAAACTGAAGATATCTCGAAGGGTAGCAAAAAAGTTTTTACTCATAACGTGTGATTGCCCACCTAATAACAACGGTTAATTGGTCGACTCTGGTAATATCACTGGTAGAGTCCAAGATTATACTCCAGAATGGTGCGGAATTAATATTTTCCACCAAAGTCGAGGATACAGTATTTGCAAGCAAGTGAATCAGCTTATTTTGGATCTTAGCGCTAAGGTATTTTGTTGCTCTACCTGGAAGAGACATAACTTCTGCTAGAAATTCATCATATTCAGCCATAAGAGAGACCAATGCCAAGAAATTCCCACCTTCACACACATTATCATGAACCTGCTCTCTGTGCCCTCTGAATGCCAAGGTCAAAGTTGTCATTGTCAATATAATTGAAATAAGCCATTGAAGAATTATAGCGAATAAACAAAACAAGACAGAATGAATGAATCCAGTGTTGTGTTAGCAACACTGTTTAGTAAGAACTTTTGGGATGGCTTTAGGAAACCTTGTCAACATGGTAGAAAAACATACAATACGAAACATTTAATGGGGGCCCCTTTTGGGCCCTTTTTGGTCGAGGCCCTTAGTTCTCGAACTAAGGTCGCCTAAACTGCGTTACGCCACTGGTCTGTACCAAACTTTATTATTCTAAACACGTTGTTCATTTAACAATTAGCTAACAGAAAAACTTCATTATGACATTTAAACATGCCCCCTGCAGAGGGTTTTAGAGAAAAGAAAAACTTAAAGGACAGCAAGGGAAGGCCTTTAACTGTTGCTTACTACTTTCAAGGAAGAAACTTTCGCGGAAAGAAATTTTCACGGGAAGAAACTTGCGAGGGAAGAAACCTTTGCGTTTTTAGCGTTTGTGGTCTAAAATTGCGGATGATTGATACGCAAAACTTCCAAAAATACTAAATTTGCGAAAATTTATTTTCGTGAAATGTCCAGAAGATTTTGCTGTTGATCCTCTTGACAACTTTGACGAAGAATTATTCTGTCGGACAAATTTTACATCTTTTTCGTTGTTTTGCTGGTATCATGTGGAATAAAAATAGAAGGAAACCTCAATTGAATAGAAATGTTTTTCACGCAAAGTCCATGATTCTCGCTAAAACGCGAAAGTTTGGTTTTGCAAAGCTCCTATTTCGCTTCTTTCGCAAAGTTGCTTCCAAAAGTTTCCCAATTTGAGAAGCTTTCTTCCTGCGCAACTTTCTTCCCTTATAGTGATATGACCCCAGGGAACGCTCGATCATGTGTGGAAGGTCATTATTAGCTAAAAACGTAACAATGGCGACTCTAGACAACTAACTAAAAACAACAGCTCCTTGATCTCTACATACAGTTTCAAATTATTTCTCTAGGACAGATTTGTCTTTGTGCAAAATTTGAAATAGAATTTCTGTATAGTAGATGTTGCTCATAGTTGGGCCCCTTCGGCCTGCGCGCAGACTTCATTTTGATGCTTAATTGTTAAGCAAGCACGTATGCTAGGGGCCTTGGCTGTGACTGCAGTTTCCAGTTTATGAAAATTATCTTCTCCAATCCAACTTTTGCAGAATTGGCCCGTAATTTTCTTTTGCATGTCTAAGGGCCCGGTGGGGATCGCCACTTTGCCACCCGGGTCAGATCGCGCCTGGCCTTTAGCATGAGAGAGTTTGAACGATCATCAATTATTCTCGTTAGGTTTTCATAAATTCAACTGTGACTAGTGCTGTCATCAACAACCGATAATATTTATTTGAAAATGGCAAAATTATCTGTCTTTCTTCTGAAAATTTGCCAGTTTCCGGGAGGTTGACGACAAAACTTCAATTTTCGAAGATATGCCGACAAGGTTAGTGTCTGGGGGGGGTATCATAAAACGTAAAATACATAAAAATTCAGGCCCTTTTTCTACACAGTCACCAGCCTTGTTCTAGTTTTTTCACTAGAAGGAAGATATTTATTAAAAACACATCTTTTCATAAAACAAATAATATTATTCAAAAAAAACTTAAAAGTACATTTATAAGCCAATTCTTTTAATATGCAACTGTCTTATTAAGTCTAAAATTTCTTTCTTCAACTACAAGAGGCAATTTTTCTCCACCAAGGCCTGCTCTTCGCTCTAAGTATTTGTTTCAGATCACTGATCACTTCATTAAGATCGCTGTTTCGGTCTTGCACAGCCCGAAGTTCTTTTTCCACGAGCAACTTGGACTTTTTCTCTTCTGACAGCATCTGATTTTCTTTAGCAAGAGCATCGATCTTTTCTTTGCATTCCTTGTTCTGGTTTTGCAAAGATGCAATATTTGAGTTCATTGCGAGACTAAGCTTCAAATGCTTGCTGTATTCATCGATCGAGGTCTTCAGCAGCCTATCTTTCTCACTTTCCAAGTTTTTATTCTGCAATAGAGCAATAGTTCTTACTCATCGTGCAATGATTTCAAAGATGTCTATTTTTGACAATACACGAGCACCATGCCAAGAAATCCTTTATCCTACATAATAGATTACAGTGACACCAACATAGGTGTCTTTTATCGCTCCAGGTATTACAAATAGTCGTTGTTCACATTGTTTTAAATTTATTCTTAGAAATATCTTCTTGATAATGTTCCACCAGAAGCGTCGATTCCATTTTTCTGCTTATCTTTTCAGCTCTTACAAAATTACTGTCAATGGTTCGAAACTTGCTGATCACTTCACTTAGTTACAAATTCTTCTTGAAAAGTTTCAGTTGAAAATTAATTTAAACTTTCTTTTAAATAATCCACAAAGGCAAAAGATCTCATCTTACGTTTTCTTCTAGTGCTGAAGCTTTTGTCTTAAATTCTTGTGCTCTTGACTTCCAGTTCCTCATATTCAAAGTCATTTCCAGCAACTTTATGGAAGTCGCTTCAAAACTTTCTTCGGCATCAACAAGACTGCGTTCCAACAACTTGAGCTTCATTTCCATATATTTGCCTACTTTTTCTTTCGATTGGTTGTCTTCTTCTAACTTTTTCACTTGCTCTTCACTAACCGACAACTTTTCACCAACAATGGCTTCTCGTTGTTCCGATGCCCAAAGCTGTTTTCCGAGAAAAAATGTTTGTTAAAAAGTCTTTCAAATTATAATAATAATTAACTGGATTAACAACAACAGTTAGACCTTTATCCATCATTGTGGCTATAAAATTTATTATCCTACAACATGGAAACTGCAAAAATCTAAGCGAGTTGGATGTAGAAGAATTTTGCTTTGTTCGAATCCCATCAGAGAAAATCATTTATTAAAAATTTGTTTTTATTGAAATTGTCAATGTGTCGAATAATTGTGTTGATTTTATAAGCATACCTTCTCTGCCAATAAGGAGCATCTGACTTCACTTTCTTCAGTTCTCGATTTCCAGTCTCTCACTTCCTTGGACAACTCTTCAAGTACAAATGAAGTTTCCCTTGCATCGTCTTCCAAAGCCAGTAGCTCTCCTTCGATTGTTTTGACATCGATTATAAGCAGGAACTTGGTTTCCTCCAGTGTCTTAATTGTTCCCTCGCAATCCGACAACCGTTCTTTTGCCAACAGTGCTTGCTGCTCAAGCTCAGAAATATGTTTTTGTTGGGCTTCTGCGTGTTCTTTGGAATCTCTGAGCTGCGAAAAAATAAATGTTTCTTATAAGGAATCGTCCACCAATCTTCATTGTAAAATTTCCGACAAATTTAACGATCTGTCGATTGAAAGATTACCTAAAATTGCTGTCATCAATATTCACAAAATACTTCTAAACACCAACCTCACTCTGCAATATCTGCAGCTGATTCTGGTTCTCTTCATCTTGCTCTCTGATGAGTTCTTCTAAAGAGTCAATTATCACTTGACTGCTTAGATTTTCTGCCATCTTTTCTTCTCTTAATTCTCTATTCTCATTTTGCAAGTTTTCCATTTCTTCTTTGAGAAGATGTTGACTTTGTGTTAAATCTTCATTTTCCTTTTTTAGAAGGGCTTTCTCCTCTCCCCATTGTTTCTTGATCACCTGATACAAGGATATAAATATTATTGAAGTATAGAAATTCTTGTTAATTTCAATTACTTTTGTACAATAATCTTCAGACGAGTTCAGACTTTCTTATTTATACATGTCTTCAAAGCAAAATATGAGCCAATTTTTATGTTTTTCTGATAATAATGAAGCTAAAAAACCCTCTACAGTTGGTGTTGAAAACAGCAATGTACCTTGAGAATATTCATCATATTCTGCATAGTCAAAGAGGTTTGACAACCGTCTTTGTCGGCCAGGGTGCCAAAGTTCTCCTGAAGAAATACCGCAAAGATCTGTTTCGCACACAGCCTCTGCATTGCAAGCTTGGATTTCTCTCGCTCATTCTCCAGCTCTCTTGTAAGTAGAAACAACTAGAATCGAACAAAAGTTTATGAGCAAATTAGAAGCAATTTAAGAAAGAGTTGTTTTCTTTACTCAAAAATTTATTTTGTGATTCTTTGGTATCAACTTCAGATTATATCAACAGTACCAGCAAATTATAAATTTTGGACAAGGGTCGACATTACTTTTCCAGTTTATGTAATAACTCTTTTTAGAAAGTATGAAATGTGCAAACCTTGAATGGATAGTCCTTCTCTGTTTCTTTCCTGATCTTTTCAATTAAAGCGTGGTTGATGCAGCGAAGGTTTTCTTTGTCCTTCTCAACCGAGCTCAACTTTTCTCCCATCGAATTCATCTCCAACCTGATTTTAGACAACTCGCCTTTCACCTCCACGAATGCGTTTTTCTGCTTTCTTCTACCTGCGTTCGCCATCACAGATTTTCTTAAAAGCCAGCAATAGAAAATCGCAAATTATCACAGTATCACGTTAACTCTGATGTACTCAGAACGGCACTTGAATTAAGTGTAAAGTAGTTCGGAACGATGCCTCTTTTATAGCGCTAGAGTGGCGAGATTGTGACGTAGTTTGATTAAAAGTTGTACGAGGATTGTTACGTCACAATTAGATTTTAAACGAGGCCTTTTGCAAAATTGGAGAAAAAATCTGCAAATAAATACATAAATCTTTTTGGCAGAATTTAAAAAAATTCAACCTCGATTTATCGTCTAGCCATACCTTAATAACAGCTGATAGACTAGAGCAATGATTTTGAAATAGTGACTCTGGTAGTAATTCAAGATATGTTTATAGATATTCTTCCTCTTTTAGAAATTCGATTTACGACAGTTTAGTGCTAAAAGATTTCAGCAAGATCTATAATGAAGATTAACAGGGCCGTCGCTAGAAAATTTTCATGGGGGGTGGGGGGGGGGTGAAAAACTAGTGGTTTGCCGACAAAATGGGCGTGGCAACAGGTACGTGCCTGGTTCTCAAACGATTATAATTATCATTGATCAAAATTCGGGAATATTTTTTCTCGAACTGCTATATTTCAGTTTCGCTCAGTGGCATAATTGCAGGGTGGCCAGCAAACCAAAAGGTCCCGGTTCAGGGTGTGGCAGATAAACTTTTTTGAGCCACACCAACTAATGCAAGAAAAGGCTAAAATATGCTCAGTTTAAATCAATTATTGACGGTGGTGGTTCTCTTTTTAAATCAAGGATTCTATGTATGGAGTTAAACTCTGCACAATAACAGCAAAAAAAATGGTTCTATTAGTAACTCTAAGAAACTCTAATAACAGTTCAAAATAACAATTCTAGTCTGACGATATTTGCAATATTTTCAAGCGAACCTAATAAATATATATATATATATATATATAGTATTCTGAAATTGAGCCAAGAAAATAATCAAAAATTTAGCCTGCATGTTCTTTTCTTTGATGTGTTATCTTTTCATTTGTCTAGGTTAGTATCTTGGCTACAATTTGAAATCTACTGACCTAAAAACTTATTCACACTGAAACATCATTGAGAGAAAGTAAAACGATATAGATTCCTTAGTCTGTACCAGTGGCGTAACAGAGACACTCGGGGCCCTTAGGAATTTACTAAGATGGGGCCCTTATTTAGGGGGACTGCGAAGTGAAGTGAGCTCTACGGGGCAAAGGGGTTCGGGGTAATGGGAAAATGTTTAAAATCGTGTCCTTTAGAACCTCGAGAAATGCACGTGATGTGGTAAAGAAAATGTTTACATATGAAAAAACCAACAGTAAATTAGGTGTTCTTGCTCACAACGTGAGCTTTTCTACGTGCATTAACGTTGGCAAAATCCTTTATAAGCTTTGTTTTGTCAATTTTCTTTGCTTCCTTGTTCTCAATTGACAAAGGTGCTAGGTCGTCCAGTCTCTCCTGTGACATTGTAGATCTTAGATATGTCTTTATCAGTTTCAACTTTGAAAATGATCTTTCTGCCGATGCAACAGTTACTGGCAAAGTGACGAAAAGTGTTAATAGCTTGTACATTTCTGGAAAGGATGACCTAATACGGCTCTGAAGCACGAGGTTATTAACTTCTAGAACAGTTTTCTTGACTGCAATCTCCTTTCTGAATTCAGTTGCAAATTATCTCATCTCAGAATCTAATTCATCTATAAAGTCATTTGGATATTTCTCACGAATTACTCGTACTGCATTTTCAAGCATGTCAGGACTCAGTGTTGCCAAGTTGTTGGGGTAGAGACAGCTGAATAATGACGTCACCATTGCTTGTCCTTGAACCTTTCTGTCAGTTGCATCAATGCTGTATCAACAGTCTTGTAGAAAACTTTTATCTTGAAACTTTGCTCAGGATCCATCAGTCTTCCATCTACAACAAGTTCATCTGATTCATATCTTGCTCTTTTGTTGAAACTCTAGCGATCCATCCCAAGATTTTGCAAGTGCTGTGGCAGTCAGCAGTATAGACTGCCATGATTCTCGAAGATATTGGAGCTCCGAGAGTGCAGTATTAAGGTGTCTAGAGGCAACTGACAAGTCAATCCTAGGGGACTGAAGCTCCTTTGATACTGCATTGACTGATCTTAGTATTCTCTCCCAGAATACAAGGAAAATAATAAATTCTAGTGTGTCAATTTTTTCTTTGGACTCTTTGCGTTGTCACGCTCATTCTTGTTGTTTGATGTTAAGATGAGTCGCGTCAGAAGCCTCATTATCTGGGGATACTTGTCACGCACAGCTCGCACTGCATCAATGCGAGAGCTCCAACGTGTCGTACATAACTTTTTTAGTGTCAGTGATCCTTTCCCAGCTTCGATTCCAAGATCTCTCCATCTATTCAAGGAAGAGCCAAAAAACTGAAGATATCTCGAAGGGTAGCAAAAAAGTTTTCACTCATAACGTGTGATTGCCCACCTAATAACAACGGTTAATTGGTCGACTCTGGTAATATCACTGGTAGAGTCCAAGATTATACTCCAGAATGGTGCGGAATTAATATTTTCCACCAAAGTCGAGGATACAGTATTTGCAAGCAAGTGAATCAGCTTATTTTGGATCTTAGCGCTAAGGTATTTTGTTGCTCTACCTGGAAGAGACATAACTTCTGCTAGAAATTCATCATATTCAGCCATAAGAGAGACCAATGCCAAGAAATTCCCACCTTCACACACATTATCATGAACCTGCTCTCTGTGCCCTCTGAATGCCAAGGTCAAAGTTGTCATTGTCAATATAATTGAAATAAGCCATTGAAGAATTATAGCTAATAAACAAAACAAGACAGAATGAATGAATCCAGTGTTGTGTTAGCAACACTGTTTAGTAAGAACTTTTGGGATGGCTTTAGGAAACCTTGTCAACATGGTAGAAAAACATACAATACGAAACATTTAATGGGGGCCCCTTTTGGGCCCTTTTTGGTCGAGGCCCTTAGTTCTCGAACTAAGGTCGCCTAAACTGCGTTACGCCACTGGTCTGTACCAAACTTTATTATTCTAAACACGTTGTTCATTTAACAATTAGCTAACAGAAAAACTTCATTATAACATTTAAACATGCCCCCTGCAGAGGGTTTTAGAGAAAAGAAAAAAATTAAAGGGCAGCAGGGGAAGGCCTTTAACTGTTGCTTACTACTTTCAAGGAAGAAACTTTCGCGGAAAGAAATTTTCACGGGAAGAAACTTGCGAGGGAAGAAACCTTTGCGTTTTTAGCGCGTTTGTGGTCTAAAATTGCGGATGATTGATACGCAAAACTTCCTAAAATACTAAATTTGCGAAAATTTATTTTCGTGAAATGTCCAGAAGATTTTGCTGTTGATCCTCTTGACAACTTTGACGAAGAATTATTCTGTTGGACAAATTTTACATCTTTTTCGTTGTTTTGTGGTATCATGTGGAATAAAAATAGAAGGAAACCTCAATTGAATAGAAATGTTTTTCACGCAAAGTCCATGATTTTCGCTAAAACGCGAAAGTTTGTATTTGCAAAGCTCCTATTTCGCTTCTTTCGCAAAGTTGATTCCAAAAGTTTCCCAATTTGAGAAGCTTTCTTCCAGCGCAACTTTCTTCCCTTAAAGTGATATGACCCCAGGGAACGCTCGATCATGTGTGGAAGGTCATTATTAGCTAGAAACGTTACAATGGCGACTCTAGACAACTAACTAAAAACAACAGCTCCTTGATCTCTACATACAGTTTCAAATTATTTCTCTAGGAAGTAGGACAGATTTGTCTTTGTGCGAAATTTGAAATAGAATTTCTGTATAGTAGATGTTGCTCATAGTTGGGCCCTTTGGCCTGCGCGCAGACTTCATTTTGATGCTTAGTTGTGAAGCCAACACGCATGCTAGGGGCCTTGGCTGTGACTGCAGTTTCCAGTTTATGAAAATTATCTTCTCCACTCCAACTTTTGCAGAAAGGGCCCGTAATTTTCTCTACTTTGCATGTCTAAGGGCTCGGTTTGAAAATGGCAAAATTAACTGTCTTTCTTCTGAAAATTTGCCAGTTTCCAAGAGGTTGACGACAAAACTTCAATTTTCGAAGATATGACAACAAGGTTATTGTCTGGAGGGGGGGGGGGGGTATCATAAAACGTAAAATACATACAAATTCAGGCCCTTTTTCTACACAGTCACCAGCCTTGTTCTAATTTTTTCACTCAAAGGAAGATATTTATTAAAAACACATCTTTTCATAAAACAAATAATATTATTCAAAACAAATTTAAAAGTACATTTATA